TTTTATATATAGTATTATAATTATTATTATTTATATAAATATAAATTAAAAATTAATATTTATAAGTTTAATTTATTTAATAATATTAAATTTATAGTAAATTTAAATAAAATTAATTAAATAGTAAAAGATTAAATTATATTAAGTATTTTTTTAATTAAAAATTTATATACTTTATAAAACTTATATTTATATATAATTTTTAAAGATTTAATATTCTTTTATTATATTAAAAATATTTTTAATTTAATTTTAATAGGTTATTATAAGTAACTCTTTATATTTAATAGGTGTTATAAGTTTAAATATAGTAAAGAATAATCTATAAATTTAATTTTAAATATTTATAAATTATAAGTTAGAATTAAAATATTAAAATAAAATATACTTTAATAAAGTTAATTATTTTTAAATAAAGAACTTTTTATATTTATTTAAAATAATTTAAATTTTTTTAAACTTAATATACTTACTTAATAATATCCCTTTATACTATAAAGTTAAAAGATAGTAAACTTAATGATAAGTAATATTATATATAGCTTAATAAATATATTATACTTCCTTAATTTTACCTTTTAATAGATAGCTTTTAGAAAAAATAATAAAATTAATATAATTAAAAGTTAATAACCCTTTATTATATTTAAAAGATTAATAAAATATAAAAATTATTTAATAAATAATAATAGATAAGCTTAAATTTTAACTTATTTAATTTAATAATAAAAACTATATATTTAATAAAACTAAAAGGGGTAATAATATATTAAAATATAAGTTAATAAATATTATATAGTTTAATTATAATTTAAAATTTATATATTAATTTAATATTTATAAATTAATTTAAAGGTTTACTAATAAAGTTATTATAAAAACTATTTTTTACTATTTTAATATCTTTTAATAAAAATATTTTTATAATTATCTTATAATCTTTTAATATTATACTTTATAAAACTAAAGTTTTAATACTTTTTAAATAGAGTTATTTCTTTAAATATTATTTTTATTAAATTTATATAAATTTTTAAAGTTAGTAATAACTTTATATTATAAGGTTATATTATATTTTATATTTTTAACTTTAAAAATAACTTTAATATTAAAGTATTTTATTAATATATTTATTTATTAAATTGCTTTTATAAAAGAGAAGTATTCTTCTATATAAATAAAGTAACTATTTTTATAGAATTAGAATTAATTTTAAAATACTTTTAGAATATTTTTATAAGATTATATTAAAGGCTATTATATATTTTCATCTTTTATTTTAAACCTTTAAAATTAACTTAAAGTTAAAAATAACTATATATAATAGCCTTTAATATATAAAAATATTTTAAATAGTAAAATTTAAGTAATAAATATATCTTAAATATAAAAATTAAATACTATATTTTTAATAAAATATTATTAATATTTTAAAATTAAATATTTTACTTTTATTTATAATACTTATTTTAAAAATAATATTATATTTATAATAACTATTTTAACTTAAAATCTATAGTATTTTATTTAAATAAAATATACTTTTATTTTTATTTTATTAATATTTTTTTTATATATTTAAATAAAATTTATTATACTTAAATAAAATATTACTTAAAATTTTAATAAACTTTTATATTATTAACTTATTATTATATAAAACTTATAAATATTAAATTATAATATTAATAATATAAATTAAAAACTTTAAATTAATTTTATTCTTTTATAATAATAATTAATAAAATAATAGTATATAAAGAATACCCTTTAAAAGAGTTCTAAATAAATTAATTTTTATAGTTAATTTTAAAAAAATTAAAAGGAGACTATTTCCTTAAATTAAAACTAAATAAAATCTTAAATAAAGTTATATTCTATTCCCTAAATACTACTACTTCTTCCTTTATATATTTATATATATAATAGATTTTAAAATTAAAGTAATATTTTTAATAAAATATTCTTAAATTAATTAACCCTCTTTTAAATAATAATTAAATATAATTAACTTAAATAAAAAGACTATTAACTTATATTAAATTATATAATATTCTCTACTATAATAACTTATAAATATTAATTAATTATTAATATAAATTTTAAAATAATAATAAATTTAAATTAATCCTATTAATATATATTTATAAAATTAAACTTTAAAATTTATTTAAAAGTCTAAATAATAGCTTTAAATTTAAAATAATTAAAAATATAAACCTTAATACTTTATTTTTAATATATATATAAGGGAATATTTTAATAATTTTTAATTAATAAAATATATACTTAAAACTACTACTAATAAAAACTTTATTAATTTAATTTATAATTAATTTTTCTTTTAATAAACTTAAATAAAAAAGTAGTAAATATTTTTAATTTAAAATTTAAAAAACTATTTAAAGATTTATAATATATTAAAGAAGGTAATATTAAAGTTAAAGGGTAGTAGTTAAACTAAATTATTAATTTTAATATTTAAATTAAATATACTATTAAAAATCTCCTAATCTTAAAAGCATTAAAATATTATTAGTATAAAACTTACTATTAATAGTTATTTTATATTACTCTATCTTTTAAAATAATAGTATTTTTAAAATAGTAATAATCTTTTAAGGTAGTAGTTTAAAGTAGTGGTTTAAAGTAGTAGTTTAAAGTAATAGTTTAAGGTAATAGTTTAAAGTAGTAATCTTTTAAAGTAATAGTTTAAAATAGTAATAATTTATAAATAAACTTAAAGTTACTCTTTTATTATTTATTTTTTATTCCTTTAATATTATTTTATAAATTTAATTCTTTATAAGTTTAAAGCTATTATAATATTTTAAACTTTACTTAATAATACCTTATTAGCTAAGAATAATTAATTATAATATTATTTAAAAGTTTAAAGATATCTTTATTCTAATTTAACTCTTAAAATATTCTTAATCCTCCTCCTTAAAGACTCCTCCTTAAATAAGAGAAAATTAGAATTTAGTACGTGAAAAGGGAGATGTCCACTTTATCGATGAGGCGCACAAGGTCCTTAAGGAGAACAGCTTGCCTCTACAGATGGCCAGGCAGCACCGCAATATTCGCAGTACACCATCCGAGGCGCGAGCCTCAGACATCTAGCTGGTAAGTGGCACCCCATTCGGCGCGCAGCTCAAAGACTTGGCCGCTGCAGTGAGTCTCATTGCCCCAGAACGTGCCTATGATGCCACCGATTTGGAGACTACGTACAAGGCAATCGCTCCTGCGGTGTCTAACAACCCTAGAGAAATGTTCGAGACACTATTCCACAACGTCTTCCACCAATTGGTTATCAAAGATGATTTCGACACGACATGGCTCGGACAGCGTGTGTCAGACATTCGGAGCGTCCATCCCCAATACATCTCGCGGGACACACCCCAAAGCCAATTGCATAGTGTTCGGATGTATATTACGACAACGCTCGAGAGAGGGCCCTCCGGCGCTTCGTTCGACACAATTCTGAACATGAAACAGCAATCGGAGCACCTATACCTGCTTTCTATGTTCCCGTCTGCGGCCATCCTTCTACTCGAGAATCCACAACTCGCCATTACAGACTTGGATACTCGGAAAACTATTCGAAATATGAAAAACACGACGGGGGAGTCGCTGTTAGGCCACAAATACTTTCAATCTTTGGCCGAGAAGCTCACCCGTGGCCCGCGGAGCCCAAAACTCCAGGTGATCCTGAACGATTTGGAGCTTATGGCGAAGGACAATACACCGCGGCCCCAGTCCAAGTCCAGCGCCAGCGCCAACGTCCAGTCAGACTTGAAGCTAAAGAAGATGGTCATTATCACGCCCACCCTCTTCACAGCGCTTATGCTCTACATTATCCTGGCGCGCAACCACCCCCGCGCGGGACCCGTCCTATATCACGAGGACTTGAAGCAAAGCCAGCGACAAGACGTCCTGAGGCGCTTCAACAGTCTGCACAAGCGTGACGGTCCGACGCGGATTTTCATTGCACCTGCATCTGTTGCATCAGAGGCTCTCAACCTCCAGATTGCTAACCGCCTCATTTTGACCAGCCCTCTCACCGATGTGCACCAGCAGAACCAAGCCCTTGCTCGAGTGAACCGGGTTGGCCAATGCTTTGATATTGAGCTGAAAATTCTTATCCTTGAGGACAGCCCTATTGACCGCATGGTGATCGCCAACAGGGCTGGGGTGAAGCTGGAGAATGACCCTTTCAATGTGGACGAGAGTGTAGTAGTAGTACGATGATGAGGGAAAACGACCAGTGCTTTATTATTGTCCCAAGAGGCTTGGGAAATAGTTCTCCTGCCAAGGTGCTTTTGAGTAAATTTTAGGCAAGATGAATAAATTGGTAGTTACCTCAAAATGCGGTCCTATACAAGAACATTGTTGACGCGTGATAGTTTTCAAACCCTACATGCCAGTTGAGTGTAGTCTTTTAGAGATTGACTTAGGTACTTAGGTCAGATGCAGAAGCCACACAGCTTGAATGTGTGTGTAAAAATGCCTGATCCTGTGTTCTAATGATACAGTAGTGCAAAGGAGCAAAGTATATAGGTATATAGCTAAGCTTTATACTATATAGATAAGGCTAGAAGGTATTACTCCTAATAGTGCTACACTAAAATTACTAATATAAGTAGCCTAAAGGATAATAGCCGGTAAAACAATTATACGGTGAGATTAAAATAATCTCTTTAAATAGCCCCTATAAGAAGAAGAATCCCACAACGTCAGACCCAGCAAGCTGGCTCTTCCCTATCAACACACTCGATAGCACTAACTGATCTTCGCAGCCGTATATCCCCAGCCAAAATGCCGAGGTCCACCGGGACAGCATATCTCCGCAGTAGTCTCGAACAACTTGGCCGCGGAACCCCGCATACCAGAGTGTAAAGTCATCAGCCTGTAAATGTGTCTTCTCTAATAAATGCTGCACCAGTAGGAAGTGTTTCAACTCTCGACTCAAAGCAACATCAAATTCTCCACACCTTGTTTTTGTCGTTCTTCAAATACCACCCGTGCCAGCATGACGAGCCCAATTACCAATGACTGGCAGGCACGCGGCGCCGAGAAACGACTACGTTGCCAGACTCAGATACCAAAAGCCTGGCACTTGCCCTCTCCGCTCGTGCAGGGCCTCAAGCACCCGCTCGAGTCTTCAAAAAACAACCTTATCGAGCTCGACATTGCCCGCCGCTCAGGTCTTCTCACGGAGAAAGAGCTCAAGATCACAGAAGGCTATGACGTCCAGGGCCTCCTTAACGCGCTTGCATCCGGGCAACTTTCCTCACTTGATGTGACGGTGGCATTTTGCAAGAGGGCAGCTATTGCTCAGCAGCTGGTCTGGTCGATCCTCGCTTCATGTCGCAATTTTTGTTCTTCGTCACTGATATCGAGTCCCAGACGTCCTGTCTCACCGAGATATTCTTCGAACAGGCCCAAGAGCGAGCCAAGCATCTGGATGCTCTCAGAGCGAAGGGCAAAATTGTTGGCCCTCTCCATGGACTGCCTATCAGCCTCAAGGACAGTTTTCAGGTCCGCGGTACCGATGCGACCGTTGGGTTTGTTGCATACCTCGACAATGGACCATCTCAAGAAAATTCTTATATGGTCGATACTTTGTTAAATCTAGGCGCTGTGTTGTACTGCAAAACCAATATTCCACAGACACTCATGGTACGTTGCTACTTATCTCACATTCAACCTTAGTCATATCTCCTCCCCACTCCCACATCCCTCACTAACAAGACTCCGTTCAAAGACTGCTGATTCGCATAACAATGTCTTCGGCCGGGCACTCAACCCTTGGAACACAAGCCTCACCGCAGGAGGGTCCACAGGTGGCGAAGGTGCCCTAATTGCGTTTCGGGGCTCACCTCTTGGCGTAGGCACTGATGTCGCAGGTAAGTCGACCGCCTTTCATGGAGAAAGACTTAGAAAATTGACAGGCCCAGGATCAATCCGCATCCCTGCTCTTTGCTGCGGCTTATACGGCTTCCGCCCGACGACGTGCAGAACCCCGTACGGAAAACAAGCACCAATCTCCAACCCGGGCCTGCGGACTATTCTGCCTTCTGCCGGTCCTCTCGCAAACGACGTCGGCGCCTTGGAGATCTTTCTGAAATCAGTCATCAACTCCAGGCCGGCGCTGCTTGATTCAACAGTGCTCGATGTGCCCTGGAGGAACGTTCGCCCACCGAAGGCAAGGCTCCGGTTCGGTGTGCTTGCTGAGGACCCGCTGCTGCCTTTGCACCCACCGGTTAAGAAGGCCGTTTCTGACACAGCGGATCTACTCCGGTCCCAGGGACACGAGATCGTCCAGTTAAGCGCTCAAGAGTGTCTGACTGCCGCAAGCTACGACGTGGCTACCCAGTTGTTCAGCCTGGACAAAACGTCTACCAAGATACTCGCCAAGGCTGGCGAGCCGCTTGTCCCATCACTTGTCTTTATCCGAAACGCAATGAAGGAAGTCAATTGGGACCGAGATTTCCTGCCAGACACAAGGACTATCAAAGACTCATTGGAGAGGCTCGCATTCCTCAATGTGAAGAGGTCCGAGATCCAAGACCTTTGGAAGAAGATGTGGGTGGCCCGGGGACTAGATGCTGTAATTGGTCCTGGAGCGCAGACGACGGCTGTAGAGCATGATATGTATGCTTTAGCGCCGTACACTTGCCTCTTCAGCTTCCTTGATGTAAGTGCCGACGGACCCCAGCCTTGTAAGAGCAAATGGCTAACATTTAAGCAGTATCCTGCGTGCGTAATACCTGTCGGTTCAGTCGAGAACCCAAGTCCAGCCGAAAACCTCGTAAAGCGCCCAGGTCAGACTGTACCACCTTGTAAGTAAATCCATTGTCACATCAGGTCTTTCTGGGCCACGAATCTGCTCTTGAATCCGGCACTCCTTCCAAGGTCCTTAATCGTCCATGCGCTCAGTGATTGACAAATCAACAGACAACCCGGCAAATTTGGAGGGTGCTCCAACATCCATCCAGATTATTACTACGACGATGCGTGACGAAGAATGCCTGGAGATTGCCAAGCTTATTGACACGTATCATGCAGGCCCCGGAAGTCGCAATGGCGCAAGTTCTTCCAAGTTGTAATTAGATACCTCGTACAGTTTGGCTTTGGGTATTAACCCGGACCTTGGGACTTCTTGCCCAGGTAGTCTTAGATATGTTTACCTAGGTATAAGCATAGAAGACGCAAGTCTAAGCCGATATTTTAATTATAAATAGGCTCGAATCCCTACCTAGAGCAATCAATATAGATGGCTGGACCATACCATATTGTTCATGCAATTTGAATGCCCAGGTGTGTGACTGTTTGGCCACGAACCTTAGAAGAAAAGGCTGGCATCCAATTTTCATACGACAATAGGCTTGTTGAAATCTGACACGCAGCAGCAATAAACAAGTATATCCGTTTTCTTTCACATAGCTCATATGAAATGCAAAGCATCATGCCTCGACGGAGTCATGAGCTTCAAGCTGTATTCATCACACATTGATCTCTATCTGATTGGTACTGTCGAGTGGTGTCGAAAGTCTACATGAGAATTAAACGCCTAATCATGAATCCTATTAACATTTGAACGTAGCTGACAGACCAGCTCGGTATATGTGAAGAAGCGGCAGCCCGCCTACTGAGGGGGGCCCGCCTCGAAGAAACTCTGCATCATGGCCGCGAGCGCCTGCGCCCCATCCTCGGCAAACATCATCTCGCAATTCCTCCAAGTCTCCTCAGCCTTCTCCTGCGCCCGCACAAACATGACCTCCTCGTACTTCCTCAGGAGCGGTGCCAGCGCGTCACCGAAATCTCTCTCATCCTCTCCGCGCGCAGCCCACGCCTCAGATACAGCAGCGGCAAGGTGCAGCGCGTCCCACATGGCCGAGTTGACGCCCTCGCCCGCGAAGGGCGTCATCACGTGCGCGGCGTCCCCGACCAGAGTGACCCCGGGCTTCGGGCCCCACCTGTGCCCGATGGGCAGCATCACGAGAGGCTTTATCTGCACCCCGTGCGGGGCCTGCTCGTCGAGGGCCACCGTGATGATCTCCTTCAGGGCGGGGCCCCAGTCGCCGTAGCTGTTGGCGTCGCCGAGGAAGTGGGCCTTGAGCTCTGGCACGGACATCCTCGAGAGGGACTTGATCATTGCGCCCTCGTCGCCGCCGGGCGCGTTGGTCATCAGGTAGATCAGGGCTGAGCCCTGCGCGGCGCGGTGGCTGTTCAGGCCGTGTTTGTTCCCCAGCGCTATGAATGACCCCTTACCTACCAGGCCTGCCAGGTGGGGATAGCGCGTTTCGATGTCCCTGATGTACATCGTGAGGTACTGCAGCCCACTCGACTGCGGCTTGACTTCACTGACGAGGGGCCGGATCTTGGACCACGCCCCGTCGGCGCCGATGACTAGGTCGTACTTCTCGAACGATACGGCGGAAGGGTTTGTCGCGGAGCAGAGTTCCAGGGTCACCACGCCAGTCGTGGGGTTGCGTTCTGCGGAAAGCAATTTCGAGTCGTACCTGATATAGGCCTCTGGGATCTTGGACATGAAAAGCCGGATGATGTTGTGCCTGGAGATCTCAGGCCGGTTGGCAAGCCCAGCCTGGTCCGAATGTAAGATGTTGCCGTGCTTGTCCGAGACTATCATTGACTCCTCGCAATCCCCAGTCAGGGGGAGGAATTTCTCGTAAAGTCCACATGCGCGCACTGCGGCTAGACCAGATTCCTCGTGGAGGTCGAGCATTCCTGACGGTTCGGCGAGCTCTTTGTCCGTTGGACGAGGGCGAAGTTCGTAGATAGTAAAGGGGATGTTGTGCTGGTGCAGCAAGGCACCAAGGGTGAGCCCAGCAGGACCTCCACCGATAATAGCGATTCTTGGTTGCGGCTGTGCCATGATGTGGGTTTAATTACCAGGTAAAGTGATACAATTTGGCTCTAAAATGCCTAGATGTTTGATGCCCAGGTGGGTTGGCGATGCTGTGTCACAAAGGCTAGAGTGGCTGACACAAGGAACGGTAACATCTCGGCTTATATAGTCTGTAGCACAGACAAGAAAAGCTATAGACAGTTCCCGTTTTCCTATAAGTGGTATCAAACCTGCCCGTCCGTGCGATATCCGACGCTGGCTGCTGCCTTCGAGGCCGGCGTGATAAGCGCCAGGCAGCTTTGGCGGAACTCGGTGAATTCGGCAGATTCGGCAGACTCGGCACACCCGATGCTGCGAAACCTGAACGAGGAGGATCAACAAGCGCACTGCAGCGCACGCTTCGGCCACGAGCTAGTGGCCGTTGGGACCTGCTGACGGGCGGGAACACCTTCGGGGCCGTTCTGATACCAGACATGACAATTATAACTACGTCCCTACCTACCTAGGTAATCTACTGGTTTCGCTTCTATTCCGCATACGCCCGGGGAGATACATGGCGCCTTTATACGGTAGGTAATCTACAGTGACCAGACTGGGGGCACAGAGTCACTTGAGCACCCATCACCGGCATGACTTCACTTGGTCACCGAGGTAAGGCTATTGCACGAATTTCGCCTGTTCCATCACTGACCATTCAGAAGCAATACATTATACATATATCTTCTAGGCTGGGTGCTCTAACACCGCTCCTTTTGTAGTCCCACAGACGTTCGTCTTCGTTGTCTTTCGTAGCCATTAGTCGTCATTAACGAATTTCAGAATCCGCCAAGGTCGCTCCAAAAAAAATAATAAATACAATGAGAAAAATGGCGGCCTCCGAGGATCTTGTAGAGCCGCGAGACGGCAGGTTTCCCGCCTGCAGACTCGCGCTTCCACGCGCCCAGGCTTGAGCTCCCCAACGCCCAACAACAGCCCCGGGGCCATGGTCCAAACATCAGCGCCGAGGAGCACACATGATACCCGCATCTCTGATGACCTCGAAGCCTCTCTCCATGATGCCGACCCGCCGACACAACTCGCCCACGACAGTGGCGACGTTGCTGCTCTCTTTGGCACACCGGCCCATGTCCCTCGCATATGCGGCGCCGTCCACCAGCTGGCCCAGCTTCTCCCGGCTATCACTCATGTATTTCTCGAGCACCCAGTCCATATTGTTCACCTTTTCCGTCAGCCACTGTAAAGCTTGCGAGTTGGCGTCACTGGCACTCGCAGCCTTTTTCGTCTGTTGCGCCTGTTTCGCCTGTTGTTGACTGGCGGCCTTCAGGTGCTGGTAAAACTCCTTCATGGTGAGGTCGGCCTCGGAGGCTGCAGCCCGGGCTTCTTCTCTCTTGGCCAGGGTGGCGGGCAGCTGTATCAGCGTCTCGAGGGACTTGGAGAGTTCGTCGAGACGGGCTGCGTAGACCTGCAGCGCGAGAGCTTCTCGGGAAATGTCCAGGTCGTCGAGGCGTTTCGAGATGTTGGTTTCTTGCCGGTCGATATTCGTGATCTTGGTCTGCATCTCCGACATGTTCTGCTCGATCGTTGGCAGACAGCCTAACCCAGTAGCAAGCCTCTTTGAGAGATTTACGATTTCTTCTCGCGCCTGCTCGAGACCCACCCGGAGCGTTTGGATGTGGGAATCGGACATCCTCAGGTTATCAGCCTGGGTTTGCTCCACGGTAGATACTCTTGCGCATAATCGAGCTTCAACCTCTGTGATATCCGTCTGATTCTCCAGGGATTCGATCCTCCCGTTGTATCTGAGCGACTGGTCCTCAAGTACCAATAGTCTATCCATTGCCCCCTGGACAGTTTGCTCTTGTTTCTCTAGGGATTCGATCCTAGCGTTACGTATTTGCGACTGGTCCTCAAGGACCAAGAGTCTATCCATGGCCCCCTGGATAGTTTGGCCTTGTTTCTCCAGGGATTCGGTCCTAGCGTTACGTATGAGCGATTGATCCTCGAGGATTAAGAGTCTGTCCATTGCGCTCTGGACAGTTTTCTCTTGTTTCTCCAGGGACCCGACCCTAGCCTTGAGTAGGAGCGACTGGCCCTCAAGGGCCAAGACTTTGTCCATTGCCCTCTGGACAGTCCGATCTTGTTTCTCCAAGGACTCGAACCTGGAGTTGAGTGCGAGCAACTGGCCCTGAAGGACCAAGAATTTTTCTATTGTCCTCTGGACATTCTGATCCTGTTTCTTCAGTGTTTGCTCGGTCGCTTTCAGTCTTGCGTCCCGTTTGTCCTGTTCATTGGAAGAGTCCAGTGAAATGGCAGTCGCCTCATCTTTCTGAGCCTCGACCTTTGCCTTCAGCTCTCGAATGGCTTTGTGGAGATCGTTGAAGAAGACATTTTTAGCTTCGAGAGCCGAGATCCTGACCAGCGTGTCAGAGAACTCCTTCCTTTGGGCTTCCATGGCCCCCTCTCGTCTTGCCAACTCTTCTCGTAACGAGGAGATGGTTGCCTGCATGTTATGTGTGGCCTGGTCCCTGGTCCCGAGCTCTTGCTCGATCTTGTGTAGCTTTTCGGCCTGGTCCCTGGTCCCGAGCTCTTGCTCGATCTTGTGTAGCTTTTCGGCCTGGTCCCTGGTACCGAGCTCTTGCTCGATCTTGCGTAGCTTTTCGGCCTGGTCCCTAGTCTCGAGCTCTTGCTCGATCCTTTGTAGCTTTTCGGCCTGAGCCTCAAGCTTCTCTGTCATATCCTGCATCTCCCGGGCGACACCGTCGTTGGGCGGCGCGGGAGTACTCGCGGCTGCAGACGCCCTTTCGAAAGCTGTGAACCTGGCTTGTAGCGATCTGATGGCATTGTCCCTGTCTTTCTGGGCCCTGACGGACTCGAGCCTTTCCTTCTCGAGGGATTCTACGCGGGCCTGGAGGTCAATATTGGATTGTGCCAGCGCCGCATAGTCGTCGGCCTCGGGGTGATAGCGGTCCTGATCCAGGGGCGTCTTGTGAGAGCCGCGAATCTTGAGTTGGAAATATGGTTCCTTGTGTTTGCAATCAGGTTGTTGATCTGTAGGTTGGCGGCCGTTTGTGCTGAACGCCGAATTAAGAGGCTTATCCTTGCCCCTGAAGTCGAACGATATTGCCTGAGTTCCTGTCCCGTCCGTGGTGGTCGAAATGGCCCTCTTCTTGGCCATCGGGGATGACTCCAAAGGACAGGGAGACGGCGAGCGTTTCATCAGAGCACGAGGCCTCGGTGGAGGTGCTGGTGGAGGCGCGGCGTCGGGCTCAGCTGTGAGAACACGTGCAAGATCCCCGTTTTTGTATTCTTGTGCCTTGAAGAGTTCATCGACTCCTGCAAAAACGTCATTCGTGGGTGGTGGTTTTCGCGGAAGCCGCCCGTTGATGAATTCGATCCATTGGTCGACCCAATACGTGGCGCTTGACCTCAAGCCCGAGGTGGGGTCATCTGGCGGGTCGTTGAAGAGATAGATTTCACGGGCCATAACAAAAATGTCTACTACGGACCTGACCACCTCGGAGGAGACTCCATATACACGACCGACGGCTTTCCAGAGATCACCAGAGGCGTGGAAGTCCCTGAAGGCGCAACAGGCCTTGAACAGGAGAGAGATGTTGTTTCCATAGCGGACCTCCTGCAGCGGTCGCTCGCGGATCTGATGATCGTCGGTAGGCAAACCAGCCTCCCGTATTGATTTGGCACGATCGTTGGTGTAGGTCTTGCGGAGCCAGGCTGTTCCGAACTGGATGGACTTGAAGTCCATGCCGAGCTGTGTGGCGCGGTCGAACCCAGGGAGATATATGGGCTGCCTCTTGGCCCACGCCGCGTTGATGCTGGACATCTTTGGCACCGTTGTCGAGCACTTCTGCGGGGGTGGCTTGAATGCTTCCATGGGGTTTGCGGGTGAGAGGGGAAGGGGGCCTGGCAGATGAAAGGCGAAGACGTCGGCGGACACGTTATGGTTAAGGTCGTGGCACGAGCCACGAGGACCCATCTTCTACCCGTACAGTGCCTGCCTTGGTGGGGTGAACAAGGGAAGGCAAGGGCCGGGGCACACAGCCAGACAGACACAGCCAGACAAAGCACAGCATATGTTGCAAACTGGAAGTCGCAACCTTGGAACCTCAAAAGCCAGCAAGCACACGGGTTGAGGGGCAGCAATTTTGAGTGTTGATGAGGAGAGGGACGCGTGAGGGACGCGTGAGGGACGAGGTGATACTGAGGGGGATCAGAATTTATTACACGGTCCTCATGCCCGGACTTGCTCTTCCCACCCATATCGATAATTTGGATGGAGTTACAGGCCTCCCTTTCCCCAGCAAGGACAGGGGCTCAGGCTGGCACCTGGCACTAGGAACATATCAGCTCACCGGCCGACTGTTGGTGGGATTTTGCGCATGGGCATTGTGAGGTTGGATTGAACTCAATGCTGTGGTTGCCCTTGAATTTGGTATCATTGATGTGGTAGGGGAACTGCATTGCACAGTCTGTGAGAGTCAGGAGGATGGATTCTTCTCACAGCTTCTTTTGACGTGGAGCACCCCGCAATAGACATGCCATTGTCATGTGTCTGTTCTCATCCTGGTGGATGAATGGTCCGTCTCCTCCAAGCCTCAAACATGCCCATGCGTTTGTTATCGGTGTCCCTGGTGTGCCGACCTGCCTGCCTGCCAAGTCCAGCCTCTTGCAATCTCCGGTATGCTTCTCTAAATTTGCTTCTGAGGGAAAAGGGTTTCAAAATCCTACCCCCCATCTTCTACTGTGGTAACATTGAAGCTCTCATCCATGCTACCTGCAGGGGACTGTGCTCTGTTGTGCATGCCACTTACACACAGCAGAAAATCCATTAAACTCAATAGTGCAGTAGTCCAGCTAGTGCAAATATCTCCTCAAATCCTCGGCCCCTTTGAAGACCAATTGTCCCATGGGGAAAGAAAGCTGTGATGGACGACTGATCTTCTGCGACCGCGGGGCAACCCTGCCACAGATAATTAAACTCCCTGTCGGACCTCCGCGCTAGCCAGAATAGCAGGGGTACCCGGCCCAGATCCAGGGGTGCTGCCGCGGTAGCCTCCAAATCTTTTTGCCATCCACCTGCCAGGCCTGCACCATGACCGACACTTTTTAGACCCCGCGACGTCATCTCCAACAATCTGGGCAGCCAACATCTTCACTGGAATTGCCCTCCTTGGTTGTTAACAGGACAGTATTTCTGAGGCTCTAGGTTTGTCCCTCTGATAACTGAATACTGCCTATCTTACACTCACCATGTGAACCCAGAATGGCCGATAGAAAGCCCGACAACATCCCCTCCGACCTCGTCAAAGTCGGCACCTTAACAGAACCCCGCGACAACGCCACCACCACCGCGATGCCTTCCCTCACCGGAAACCAGTCCTCCTCTTCCTCCGATGACCCTCCCCCTCCGCTCCCGAAGATCCTAGACCAGCCCACCCAGGCCGAGGACCTCGCCCTCGAGAACTGGATCAAGCGCAACACATCCTACATCTCCACCATCCCCTGGCACAGGTACGCCCAGATGCCCGTGCTCTCCTGGCTGTGGGGCTACCCCGACGCCGACTTCCGCCACGACTGCGTCTCCAGCTACATGTTCTACACGCGCGCCGTCCGCCGCAAGCTGACCGACGACGAGCGCGACGGCGTCCTCGAGCCCGCCGCCCGCTCCGCCGCCGCCGCGAGCTACGACCGCCCCATCGCGACGGGGCTGGGCGCCTGGCTCATGTCCCGGAGCTGGGCCAAGAGCGGCACCAGGGAGGCCGTCCGGAGGGCGGCGGAGGAGGCTGCTGCCGCCACCGCAACCGCAGGCGCTTCACACCACGGCATGGGCACCGGGACGGTCGGCGCGGACGGGCACATCACACACTTCTCCACCCCGCAGCAGCAGCAGCACGCCGGCACCGGCGCGAGGTTTGGGTTCGGCGGTGGCAGCTTCAACAACATCGGCAGCCGGGGCAGGGCGGTCGGCCAGCTGTTCAGGCGGGCGGGACGGGCGTCCGTGCCAGGCCTGCTGTGCTTCGTGGGGCTGCAGGTGCTCGGCGAGCCGTACCGCCTGTACCTGAGCGACAACGAGGCCTGGACGATGCACTCTGACATCCGCCTCATGGGCCTTTTCGACGACATGGAGAAGACCATGGCCGCTAAGGCTGGGGAAATAGAGGATCTCCTCCGCCGCAGGGGCTACTGATGTGGTCGGTTGCAAAGAGCTGTGGATGGGGCCAATCAGCTCGGTCTTCATGGCTATCGCGTCTTGGTGGCCATCGCGACGCGATCGCCTCCCACGGCTTACTACAGGAAGGGCAGCTGGAGTTTGGACACCAAAAAGGGACAGTGGTTTGGTTTTCGGCTTTGAATATGTACAAAAAGGGGAAGGATGGACACCCGGCCGGAATGTCCATGAGCATGCGCGTGCATTGAGCATGTGTCACCACCACCACCACCATCACACTGGAATGTGTGTTCGGGTGGCACGAGCAAGGGAGATACCCAGATGATAGGCCCAGCAAGGCGTCCAGGAAATCAATTTTGCAGATAGAGCACCTCCATATCCATAGCAGGAGGCAGGGTCACGAACTACCTTTTGGTGACACCTTGTACAGTACAAAATTCAAGTCACCGGGCAACAGTGGGTGCATCTAAACAGTTTTGGGAACAGCCGCCTCGAACAGGGCTTCATGTGTGTATGTAGATTTTGCCAGTAGGCTCCGTTGCCATGAAAACATCCCCCAGGCCAGGGTCGAGTCCTCCGTCAGCCATAAATAGTTCCCTAGCTCCCACCCAGTACATTCCCATGACCATGGCATATATATATATATATACTTATTTGGCGGTCTGATCCAGTCCCCATCGGACACAAAACGCCGTTTCTCCAGAAACAAAAGTCGTTAACCATGTCATAAACAAATCCCAAGCCAGAACGTTTGTCTAGGCCTCTTTCATCCCAAAAGTTGCAACGCCCGATGCAGAATAAAAACAGGAGAAAAGAATACGCATGCCCGCCCAGACTACCGCATATGAGCCGTTCTTGGATCGCACCAGTCGGAAAAGAATACATTAGATGAAGTCCTTGCCCTGCGCCGGCCGGCCGTCCCCAAGGCTGTCGACCTGCCGCAGGGGGTATGCCGGCGGTGACGAGTAGCCCGGCGGGCCGTGCGAGTTGGGCCTGCTGTAGGCCATGCCGACGTCGCCCGAGTTGTCGGCACTGTGGTAGTATGTATCCTGGTCGTAGTGGGCGTACGGGCCTTGGGGGCCTTGAGGCCCCGACTGCGCGCCGCCGTGCGTCCGGTCGTGCTCGGGTCGGTACGGCGAATATGCTAGGTTGGTTGGTGTCTGCGGTGTGTGTGGCATGCTGAAGGACTGCGTCGACGGGTACGAGTGGTAGGCGGCGCCCGGGTCGACACCGTTCGTGGGCATGGGTTGATAGTTGCCGGTGTTGGCGCCGAGCCCTGCCTCGGCGCCGTAGCCGCTGTCGTTCCTCGTCAGGCCCAGGCGCTGGGCCTCCTTGTTGGCCTGCCTCTCGGCCTGCTCGGATAAGAGCTGCTTCTTGAACTTGGCCATCTTGAACCAGATCCACACCCCGGCTAGCACGGTGACGACACCAGCCACGGCGAACAGGGCGTTCTTCACCGTCGCGCCGTCCTGCTCCTCTACCAGTAGCACGCCGAGGTAGACCAGGATGAGCTGCTTGGGCAGGGTCAGGAAGGTCGAGACGGCAAAGTGCCAGAACTTGACGTCGCAGGTTGAGAAGACAGCGGTGGAAAGGTGGGAGGGGATGATGGAGAATCGGATCACGAACACAATCTGGGTACTGTGTTAGTCAAGTTTGGACGTGGATTGCCGTGCAAGTGCCAGTGGGGAAAAGGACATACCCAGAATCCGCCATCACGGCATAGCCTTGCCATAGCACCGTATGTGAGATTCGTCCTCTCCATCTTCTCAGCCTTCCTCCGCAGGAACTTCTTGAAGGCGAACCATGTTCCGACTGTTGCCGACTGCATTAGTTACCGTCTCACACAATGAACGGGGAAAGGTTTCTGGATGCGACAGGATAGGTAACTCACTCTCGCCAATGAAAGTCCCCGCCGAGACGACTGCGAAACCAATCCACAGCCCGTAGACAACACCAGCCAGCAGCGCGACGACCTCATGGCCGAACAAGGGCGGGAACGAGATGATAAACAGGATGGCGACAAAGATCAGCCAGCCGGCAGGAATATTGCGGACCTTCTCGGCGAATGGGCGCAGGGCGTCGACAACCTCGTCGTGCTTGAGGGTTATAATCGCCGTCAGGACGCCGACAATTATCAGGATGATCCACATGGGTATGTATTTGGGCGCGAAGAAAACCCTCTTCCAGTTGACGGGCTGGTAGTTTGGCTCGAGGTCTTCTGGTGTCCTGTTGTCGGCCTCGGTCTTGCCCTTCTTTCGTTTTGGGTCGTTGGCATTGCTGCTGGCCTCTGATGACGTTGAATTCCACATCCCTTGTGCCCCCATCTCGATGTCCTCGCTTCTGTCTCTGCTGCCTCCCATTGCCGCATGTGTGGTGGTGGCTGTTGTGATTTAATGACGTCGGTATGTACTGGTCGGTGCTGGTCGATGCTGGTGTGCCCGCTTCTCCTTCCTTCTTTTTGCCCACTCGATTCGCAGTTAGGATACTGATGAATCTCTTTGTCCCGATATATCTAGTCAGTGCTCGAGGAAATGGCGAGTCTCGGGCGGGTGGCGCTGGATACGGAGGATGCACGGAGTGGGTGGTGGTGGTGTAAGTGTGCGTGTATGTGGTGGCCAAATTCAAAGAAAGGGCAAGATGAAGCCGGGTGGAATTGCGGCGGGAAGGAGGAGAGTCAAATGTTAATCAGTCTATATTTGGTACGCGAACAAGTAGCGAATACAAGGAAACAAGTGGTCGAGGGGGCGGTTGGTTAGCAATCGAGGATGGGAAGTCCCAGGAAACAACCAAGGGCCTGGGAAGCGTGGAGCCTAATGATATTATGGTATGGGGGTCGGCTAGCGCTGGAATCCACAATATAGAGGTTGAAACCCTTTCCTTTGTGGGACCGGCGCTGGGCAGAATGCAGCATGCAGGTTGAAAGAATGGGGGAGGTTCGAGCTTCTGCCCAGTGCAGCCACCCCCAAGACGGTGGACGGTGGGGTCTGGGAAGAACAAGACGGGACCTGAAACTCGAGACACGAGCCCCCTCTGGCGACGGGCTGCAGGCTACTGGGCCGAGTGGCAGGCTGACTGGCTGGCTGGCAGGGCGTGGGGTCTGGCTAATGATTGGGCTGGGCTGGGCTGGGCTGGAAGGCTGGCAGTGCTGGCTGGCTGATGAGCAGGCACGCAGGTACGTACCGAGTAGGTTGGTAAGGCAGAGACACCCCTGCCACGCCACCAGCGTCGTAGATTGTACCTTGCGTGCCTGCCCCTGCAGCGCTTATTTGCCTCTTTTATTCGGCTTGGCAGCCGAACTGTCATTTCGTCCTCCTTTTCGTCGACCAAGCGACTGGGAGATGGGGATTGGTGATGGAGATTGCCAAGCAGAGAACCCAGCTGCCGAAGCTGTCAATCGCAATCACCACCGTCGTCATTCCTGATCCCACAATCCCACCCACCGTGCACACTTGAGTATATGTGCTGCGTGTACGTGTGTACGGAGTATGCATGGACAGGCTGACAGGACACATTTTATTGCGAGCACCAGCACCAGCACCAGCACAGAGCCCAAGCAGCGCCGTGATCCGGCTGCTATCCGGCCAGATGCGACACCATGCGATACGATACGATACGATACAAGAAGAATGCACTGCCCGCGATAATGGGGCGCTGACCCTCCCCAGCAACCCCGGCGGCCCCAGCAGGCTCGTGTAAAACACCAGGAGCAGGCTGCTGTGACGGCGCCGACGGCATCAGACGAAGTCGATTCGTGTGGCTGCCACACCTGCCGAGAGCTACACGGCATTCGCCAGTCCGCCAGTCGCCTAGCAGCCCTGCTAGCTGGCCCTGCTGGGTGCCGCTAGGCCGGGTGCTCGAATGGCAAGAATGGGTGGACGAGATGCTGCGATGATCGTTGCAGGCCCAGCACTGCCACACCAAAGCGCCATCCGAATCCCGCAGATCAATGCAAATCAATCCCACATCCCAGAGTGGAATTTCCTTGCAGCCCTTGCTGGTAGCACTCTGGACCGTACCACAGTACGGGTACACCAGCTTGACCAGTCAGACCAAGTCCACTGCTGTCATCAGCGCCCTTGCCGCGCTCCTGCGTGCTGTGCCGTGCTGGGCCCTGCTCGGCTCTTTTCTTTTCGGGCCTGGCTCCTCCAGTCGTCTGCTCCCGGAACACAGGATCGCACATGGAATCGCGGCAACGCACAACGCAGGGCACAGGGGGCGCCTCTTGCAGGCCAGCAGGCCAGCAGGCGGCCAGGACACAGTCCACCTGGTACTCGTCGGGTATTTTGAGAATGCACCGAACACGGGCCGTATTCGTGGCCTGCTGGTCATAATTGCGGACTAGTCTGTCTGCTTCGTTCTCTGACAGCTCAAGATGGCTCGCTACCATTGCACCATGGCTTCTCGCCATCGTCCTCTTTCTGTCTGCCCGCGATACGCCCGCCCGGTCGTGGCCAAGCCCGGAGATCCCTCCTGTAATCCCGGGGCCCTCACAATTCCACGCGGGGGAGCGACGATCCAGACCACCACGCGTCAGGCCCAGTCTCCAAGTCCACCACCGCCCCTGACTCGGGCCAAGCAGGCCTGACAGTCAAGACAAGCTCTCCGCCCAGCCCTTCCTGTTCCTGTTCCTGATCTTGGCTCGCGACGGAACGGGAAGTAAGCACCTCGTGCGCACTGACGGTGTGGGAAAAGCTCGACAAATAATTCAGACACACTCGCTGACCCATCATCATCCACCACGCACACAACCACGGGCACTGTATGGCCGGCCAACCAATATGGCGGGCTAACGAGCTTCGACGTTCTGGTCTCACCGAAACAGTTTCTGCACGACCAGCCCGGAATGTGCAGCTATCGCGAAAGTCATCCCAATTCTAGGCCGTGAGAGCTCTCGAGCTTTTCTGCCAGCGCCCTGTGCCTATGAAACCCAATGGAAACCAGGTCGCCTCGGAGCCTTGGCCACCGGTGATGCTGCACAGCCCGGCAGCCCCGGGTCACCCACCCAACCAACCTTAATGTGCTTACACACCAATGCCATTGAGCGATCACTCATCAAAGCGTGCTGACGGTTCACATCTGTCTTTCGGCTCTTCCACTACCAAATGAACCGTCCCCGCACCACTGTCGAACCCGTCCAAACCTACAGGGTTTTGCCTGCAATAAGGTTAAAAAGGTACTTCTACCCTGATGGTGATGGGGGCCCTACCATAACTCACACTCTGTCAGAGAACCAGAAAATACAATTATCTTCACTATAAATACCTAGAAAAATAAGTCAATTCCAGTAGACTTACAATAATGAAACGGTAAGTAGGCTAACGGGAGAGAGGTACCGTTTTAAACTTAAGATAGGAGATTCTGATTGGTTAGTAGGGTAACACTGCATGTATTCACGCTAACAAAGTGCAGGGGAAAATCCTGTACGGCGAGCTCGTCCACCACCAGCACCGGAGCATAGTTGTGACGCAAAATTATAGATAAAAAGAATGTTCGGCTGTCTACCGGTGTAACAAGCGTAAGGGCGATGATGCAGTCCGGTATCCCGCCGGCGGAACCCATGCTGCCCCACACCATCCCGTCGTTTCACATCAGATGCCCAGGTGCCCGGCTCCAAACCGCTTCGAACCACCCTGCATCGAGTCGCATTTCCTCTCCTACAGAGCCTTGGCCAGGGCTGCCATGTGAGTTCATGACTGCTCACATATGTGCACAGACTCGGCACCCGCGTAGCCACTCAGGAGCTGCGGAGCTTACATGTCGCCGTCAGTCAACCTTGGGGATTCTTACAGCCCCCACCCTTCAAGTGTCGCAGTTCTCTGCTGATCCGATCCTCTCCATCCGCGTCTAATCAACGAAAGCGAGGCAGTTATCAGCAGCTAGAACGGAATAGCGACCGAGTTCTGCCTGCCTAGCCTCTTTGGCTCGCAGGAGAAATGTAGCATGTTCCAAACTAACAGCAACTCATTTATCCTACAGACAAATGTTTCACACCAAGGACCATTAGAGTGAGATTCGGCGGCCACACAGATCTACACCTTTACACTATAGCCGCTGTCAAGGGAGGTCGTTGCTAGTGGGTCAGGAACTCCGTAGCTCGCTGCTCGCCGAACAAGAAACCCTCGAGCTGTAACGGACCCGGTTACGTGGTGCGAGGTGTTAATCTTGTGCCCGGTCAGGGGCGTTCGGTGCTCAACCGGCGCTGCGGACCATGTGGCGCCGTGGTCACAGATGTGCCTGGACTGCCCCTGGCCGTGGCGGGCTCAGCTAGATCATGATGCGGGCTGACGTGGTGGGGGAACTATACTTCAAGCCGCCTATTACATTATTTCAATTATCCAGAAAAGGGGGTACTGGGCGTGGACAACTGTCGTGGTCTTCCTTCATCCTTGAACGCTGGTGTATATTGCTTCCGAATTATCAAAAACCCCATGTTGACCCGACCAGACTGACCACCCCGTCAGTCAACCCGCCCTCCGCCCGATGAGCATCTTGACCTCTGGACACCACTCCTCGATATTCGGCATATTAGCCGCCTGCCACCTCTGCGGCTGGTGATACCCCAGCGGCGTCTCGTAGTACAGGGTCTCGACGGCAAAGGTCATGGCCGCCTCGACGGAGGGCATCTCGGCACCGGCCTTCTTGAGCTCGGTGTAGAAGTACTGGTCTTCGAACTCGTGGCCCGAGGTCGCAAAGTCGACGTGGCGCGTCACGTTGAGGAACACGCGCGGGTTCCGCACGCTCAGCCCGCCGTTGAAGCCGTGCCCGTACTGCTCCGCGATGGGGGCCCCCACAAGGTCATACTTGAAGTAGTCCTCGACCTTCTCCTCGGACCGCGAGCACAGGATGCTGTCGCTCTGGAACAACAGCACGCGCTTCGCGTCAGACAGCTGCTCCCACACCCACGGGGACGTGAGAAACCGCGACACCGACGCCGAGTCGGACAGCTTGGTCTTTTCAGGGAGGAACTTGACCTCCACGCGGCCCTCGTCCTGCAGTCGCTGGAAGGGCGCCGACAGGGGCTCCACCCAGTTCTCCTTGAGCGTGAAGAGAACCATTCCCCACGCCGGCCCGAGCACCGCCGCGAAATGCAGCATTATTGGGATCAGGCTCGGGATCATGTTGCTCTCGATGATGACGGCCATGGGGCGGTCGGCTGCCGGCTGCGGCGGGCCCTGTTGTTGCTGCTGTTGCTGTTGCTGCCCATGGTTGTTCATGATCTTATCAAACGACGAGGAGGCGCCGGTGCTGGTCCCGCCCGGGGCGCTCCCGTCCACCGGCGGACTGAGAGACAAGCCTCCGGAGTCATCGACGACGGGAGGCTCGATGTCGTCTCCGATCGGGAAGAGATGCTGGAAATCAGCCGCCGAATGGATGCCGCCGCTACCTCTCCAGAAGAGGAAATAGCATAGAACGACGACGACGGCCACGAGTGCGTATGTGTACTCCTTAGAGCGGAGCCTCGACCAGGCCGGTGGGGACATATTGTGGTGGGGTGAGCCAGACCGCGCCATCTCGAGCGGAAGGTCGGGGCGATTTGCTTGACTTCGATCCGCCCCCGCTCACGGTGCCGGGGGAAAAGGTAAATAGAGGATAAGCTTTTGACCCCTTCTGTCGAGCCTGTGCGTGCCGGGTTATTATTAAAATGAATGCCAGCGCGTCCCTACGGGAGATCTGGCAGATCAGCTTCTTGACAGGTGGACCGATGGGTTTTCCTCCCTTGCTGGCGGCGCCCGGGAGCTAACCAAGGGGTTCAGCTCGTTTCTGGCATTTGGGCGTGCTCCTCCCTTTTTCGAACAATGAAGGACGCACGGGTGCTAAGACATGTTCCGTGCGTCACTATCTAGACTACTGGGCAGCTGCTGGGCAAGTTCCGTGGAACCTGTGGCATCAAGCGCGGGATGGACGTGCGGCTCGCAGGTCCCTATTTTCCAGCTGGCAAATGCATTGCCAACAACGTCACGCCACAGACTGTCAGCGCAGCCTGCTCGTCATTTTCGTCATGAAGACATTCTTTCTAAGTGAAATCGGAAGCTAGTCCGATCTCGCGTGATTCTTATATTGAGGCGATGGGCAAACGAGTGTTTGCTGCATTTGACTGTACTTCGGTCTACCATTTTCTCGTCCGAGGAGGTCTCGGTGTGTGGTTCGGTTTCATTTCACCTACAAGTCAAGTCACCTTATACCATACAACATGATGGTCAGGAAGTATCCGTGAATGACGAACATGAATGCATTGGTCAAATCGCTATCTCAAGAGTGTGTATCTGGGGGCGCCGATACAATGGCCTTACTCGTTCCTGTCTAAGCGCCGCCGAAGACCAGAAGACTCTGGATGCTGGCTCGGCCGAATCCATTTCGATGCAACAGCTCCCGACCCTTGTGAAGAGGGAACTCGGCAATAGCCATGACGTGGACACGCCCGGCACCAACGCCGGCCTGATCCAACAATCGGAGCACCGCGTGAAGCGTCTCACCCGTGGCAAGCACATCCTCCACCACCACAATCGAACCTGACCCGCCTTGGGGGACCTTTCCCACCTCCAACTCGAGACGCTCCTCCGTCGCATGGGCGGGCGTCGCAGACGAGATGAACGATGGCCCCTTGACGACAGAAACGGTGGGCGGCGGCAACTTACCAGCCTTGCGGATCACCAGCATGGGCCGCTTCACCTCCTGGGCCAGCGCAGCCGCGAAGATGAAGCCGCCGCTCTCGCAGCAGACGATGCAGTCCACGGTGCCCCATTCGCCGAGGAAGCGGTCTCGCAGCAGCGAGACGCAGAGTGGCAGCCCATTCAGCTGCTGGGGGATGCCGAGCACGTGGCGCAAGTCCACATTTTCGCGCGGGAAGCCGGATACCGTGCGCACCATGTTGGCCAGTCTCTGCAGGTCCTCGTTCAGGAAGGGGAGCAGATTTCGTTTGGCAAATTCCTCTGCCTCATCAGCCCCGGCCATTTCGTTCCTGAAGGTCAGACTGGGGCGGTAGGAGAGAGACTCGGGTGGGGACTGGATGTCATTGTCATTCACTGGGGTGGTGTGACTGCCGTCACCTTTGCCCTCTTTGCGAAGCCGTCGTTTCTGGTCGCACGCTTCGACGTAGACTTCGATGATCTTGTACTCTGGTACGAGATGCGAGAAGGTCGCGAGTGGGGCCTCGTCTCTCATCCCAGTGATGAACAACACATCGACATCCGCCGCGCCGCGTACCACTCTCAGGAACTGCTCCTGGGGCAAATTGGGTCGCTCCCTCAGCTGCCTCTTGAAGAATGCTGTCAAGTCCTCTCGGTGTTGCTCCTTGTAAACACGGTCCCACAGCACACGGCGAAGGTCGGCTCCCGTGGCTACCGCAAAGTCTCGCTTGGTAGCATCGCTGATGCTGGCTACCGACGTGGTGATCTGTTCATGATGGGTGACGTTGGGCCGAGAAAGAACGGAAGCCCACACATCTGCGCAGAAGTCCTTTCCAGCGCAGCTCTCTCCCGTGACAAGAACGATGATCTTCTGATCGACGCGCGTTTTTGGTAGTGGACAGGCGTATCTTAGCACGTCCCGCGGGTCCATGAGGCGTTTTAGACGGGCCAGCCGTTGCGCGTTTGGTCCAAAGGCCTTGCTTGCCAACAGAAGGTCTCTTGGGTCCGGTCCAAGGTCCGTGCCGTAAGCACCTCGTGATTGACTCAGAGAAAGTAAAATCACGGCGACATCGTAGACCCATTGCGTGACACTTCTTGCAACGTCAGTGCCATCTTGTTCACGAGACCAAACTCCAGTTATAACGCAGGCGAATTTCCATCCTCGACAGCCGAAAGCAGTTGCTTCAACCCCAACTTCGCTGACTGCGCCGCCGCCGTGCAAGAGGTGGAGGTAACAAAGGGGTGAGGGTCGATTCTCGATAGCCGCCACGAGGTGGTTAGCGACGCCTTCGCCTATGTGTTCTAGAAAGATACACCGCTTGAAAGATGAGGTCTTTCCACCGCCATGGCCACCATGCATCTTCGACATGTACGTCTCCGCGCCGAACAGCTCAATACCGTCCACGGTTTTGACATTACCAACTGAACCCACACCGCTGTCCAAGGTCGACAAGGTTGTGTCCAGGCTTGGATCGTCGCTTTCCGTTGACGACGCGAACATTGCTGCGGTCAGGCGCAGCTCGCCATTCTCCGAGTACAAGAACAAATCGGCAGATTTGTTTCGAGGAGCATCTTTGGCGATGTCTACGTCGAAGCTGTGAATCTTGTTCGCTGCGTCGTCTCTGCCCTCCAAACTGCAAGTCCAGTCCCTGATCCGATAGGTAGGAGCCGCAAATGCCCGGAACGTCACGCTGAGCACGATGCCGAAATTCGTTCCGGCGCCTCTGATAGCCCACAAAAGTTCAGCCTCATTCTCTGGGCGGACCGCGCCTACCGGTTGGTGTTGGCTCGGGACATCCCCGATACAGAAGATGCGATCTTCGTTCTCGACGCTGGCTATCACGGCTCCCACGACGGCATCGCATGCGAGTCCGTGCAGCCTTGCCAGGTGCCCGATCCCGCCTTGTAGCCACATTCCAGCGCCCACGCTCGGTCGGGAACCAAGGGGCACTGTCATTCCTACTGCAATTGTCTTCCGAATGATGTCTTGTGTTGTGCAGCCGGCCTCAGCTACAACCACGGCGCCGGCTCTGGAGCCTTCGCCACTGTGCCCTTCCTTGACGATGTGTACTTGGTTGAATCCGCTCATATCAACCGCAACGACGCTGGGTAAAAGACATTGGCCACTGTGGCTACCGCCGATGACGGTTAGGCCGAAGCCGTAATCCAAAGCATAGCCGATTACCTCTTGAATTTGTTCAATCGTGGTCGGCTTGAGGACGGGGGCAGGATGGCGGAGGAGTGCCTCGCGGTTCTTGATGATTCGATCGTTCGGTGCCAGAGGGACCGTTCTGGTCAGTGTTCTCAAGCAGGCCGCATGATTGGAAAATGCCACCATGAGCTCCGGCGAGCTAAACATGAGACGCCCCGGCTGAGCTCCTTCGCGACGGCCCAGGGTGCGGCATACTTTGCGCCACGCGGCCCGTATCGCATTGCCCGCTTCCGTATCGCTCTGCATCGAAAAGCCGGCTATGAAATTCGCGAATGTGTCCAATTTCTTGTCGTCGTCGGGCACGCTGACCACTCCGGTCGGGAAAGATGTCGTGTGATGGGCGACCAGATCCTCGAAGTGAAGGGCCCCGTTGTCGCGATGGAAAACCAAAATCAACCCTCTTTGATCCCACAGGAATCTGAGCATTTTCCGCGCCTGTCTGATGACCATGTGCTTATCCTCCATGCCATACATGCTGTGGCAGAAGAGGATCACGTCGTACTTGTCTCGTGCCTCGTCGACCGTCCGACTACCGCTTGTATCAGCGTGGCTTGCATGGGCATCCTCGGAATCGAATGATCGTTGACAGATTTCGGGGCTTTTCAAGTTGGGCAGAGGTGATCCGCTCTCCGAATTGTGACCGAGAGACTCTTTCAATTGTGCAGCAAAAAGGCCGTTGGGCTCATAAGCCCTGTACTTCCTGACCTTCCGTCTCAGTTGGAGCGGGAGATAGCCCAGGAGTGTCCTTGGGCCTGGGCCGACCTCGAGGACTGATACTTGGGGGTGAGAGGCGAAGAGAGGGCCGAGGAGTCGTATTGTTTGAGGGATGATGAAGTCTTCGTAGCTCATCCATCCCGCGCCATGCGTTAGGACGTCGAAGCCCGCGCTGTACTGTGCATCTGACAAGGGCTGCTTTAGGGTCGACAGCTCTGCACCCTCAGCTGACTCCCGAAGAGCCTTCTTGAGAGTTTCAAGGGTGGCCATTTCGGAAGCTCGGCTCAGTTCGTGGCATCAACGAGCAGTGGTTCTTCTTTGGCAATAGTTGTGGATGGTTGTCGCAGCGAATATGAATCTCAGAATCAAATGATCCTTTAGTAAGAAACATTGAACAAGACGGGATGGTACTTAAGTATATCACTGATGCAGACGTGGTGCGTTAGCCCGCCGTTTGCTGTTTGCACAACACAACAAAGAAAATGTCTTACTTGAAAACCACTGTTCCGCTATCGATTGTGCCGTGTAGACCTCAGGCATGGAACCCTGACATCAGCAAACATTTCATTGTTTATTGTCGTGGCCCGCATTAATTTCGCGCGTCAGAACGTCGCTGCCACAATCAGCCCATGGAAAGGTCAAGAAAACGCGCGGTACTATACAATCTTTTTGGATGGCCGCATAAGACATGTGATTGCTGATATTGGCCACTTCTCTAGTTGCCATTGTTGGGACCATGATCATCTTGAGAATTCCTGGCCCCACCTGAAACCAGATGTGATAATGTTATTGTGGCAATGATCTCATGAGGCTCATGAACGAATGATGTAGAACGCACGGAAGACTCTATCATATGCTGGTACCCAGCGGGTAAGCTATCTCCCTGAATAATGGAGAGTATGGTAATGTACATAATGGCATACCTGCCTAGGTAACTACCAACAAGGCAAATGTGTGGTTGGATGGGCTTTTAGCCATGGAAATGGTAGACAAGTTGGAAGTTACCCCGGCCAATCCAAATTCCCGATTGTCAGGACTTCATTAAGAAAGTACCCAAAAGAATTAACTGGTTGTCTGGTTTCGCTTTTATTATTCTGCATACATCCGAAAACATACATGGCGCCTTCAGACAGTGGTAAACACTCTGAAGTCACATACTCCACAGACGTATTGTATTCTCTCTGTATTGTGATTGTCATTGTCCTTTCCTCGAAACTCTAGGTGTTGAGCATTTACTATTGTTGAAGGTGCTACGTATGTTCAATATTTTTGGGGATCAGAAACAAAATTACTGGTAGTCGGAGTACTGGTTCGATGATCCACTTCTGCCTCACTTCTCCACCAGATTCATCTCTGCTGTGTGGAAGGCAAGCAAGCTACAAGTCTTTACTTGTATATTTGAGCATTTCTTCACGCATGTCCCTGCATTACCACAGCCGAAAAAAGGGGCTGTACCAGCACCCAGGCACCTGCATTCATCACCAGGCCATGGCTCCACGAATCATCCATCCTTGTCACAGTCCAATTGTCACAATATCACACTAAGTACCTATAGCAAAGCGGGTCTCACTTTTATACTATTCACTAATAGCGCAGCGGTGCAACTTGTGACACCCACACAGCCCACAAACTTGTATAAAGTCACCTTTGCCTATTTTCTGGCTGCAACTTGGCGGGGCAAATGACAGTGAGAAACGTCATCTCTTATCAGGATCGGCATGGTTTTGAACGGCAAAGACGGCACAAGGATATGACCTGCTTACAGTGTCTGACTACCTTGACCCCTTGTTCATGCACGTGCTTCTCTTGAGGGGGACCTTGGTTGTGTCGCCCGATAATTACTTAAATATTTACCATTGCAGACAAAGGCAATCAAGTTGAGAGAGAGACCAGTCAGTGCTGCACAATGTTTCTTTAAGCAGCTTTCCTCCGTGAAGCTTGATGGGCATGAAAGTAGGTGCGGCGGTTCGTTTCTAATCCCTAAGTACAGCGCACAAGCATCCCGAAGTTTTCCTTGCAAGTACATGGAGTTAGTTAGCAGTACCTCTCCTCCTCATTTGGCCGCCGTCTACAGATCTACAAGAATCCTGGAAAGTACCCACTGTTTGCTCGAAAGTACTTTTAGCAGAGAGGCTGGGTGGCAACTACCTCACAGCTAACCCTGGCCAATCAAGTTCTCAAGGACAGGGAAAACTCTGGGATGCTTGCGCGCTGTATATAAAACATATTATGTGGCACCTTCCCATAGTGGCAAACGCTCAATACCCAGCATTTTCAAAAGAAAAAGCATAATGCCAGTAACATTATAGAGAGAATACAATAGATGGCCAAGAAAATTCATTTAAGGTATGTTATTTAGAGTTCGGGGAGTCCAAGCCTTGGCCGCCTTGTTGGTGTCAGGTAGCCCATACCTAAGCGTCGTTATCAGCCTGGGCAATTGTCTTGGAAGTGGAGAAGTCGTTCATCCCGAGTGTGGCCTTGGCAAACAGACAAGAAAAGGAAAAATCGAGAACATCACGCCCAGAGAAAGCAAGGTGGTGGTCATTACCAGTTATCTGGCAGGATCCCCAGGACCGCACTGTTGGGAACAAGGCCAAGAACGCGATTGAAGGGCACGAGGTCTGGAAGCTACTTGGCGGTGTGCTCAGGGAGAACTCGTTTCGGAAGCTGAAATAGGTGGCGATATCTCGCCCAGCCTTGGAAGACATGCTCAAGCTTGACGAGGGCCATTGGCTTCACTTGGCTGCCTATCGTCCACTCGATCTCAAGCGATGCATCTTATCAACCTCTTAGACAGTTGGCGCCCAGCTTCCTACCGGGATTTTGACTGTGGAGGGGGGGATATCGGTCAACACCGGTGAAGGTGCGCCACCTTAATTCAGATAATAAGACAAGAACCGGAACAGATCACAAGTTCATGGATGAGACGTTTACTCTTGTCCGCACTGATCACTTCCGAATTGATTTCATTGTTTCGTTCAATTCTACAGCTTTGCAGCCGAGAAATGGGCAAGGAAATTGAGACTGGGGAGACTCGTGAGACCTGGCGGACAGACTCGTCACGCTCAGTCGACGTCCAAGATGTCCCAACAACCCCAATAGTCGAGCCCAAGAATGCTTGGTGGCACCCAGTCAAGGAGCCTGGGTCGGCCGCTCAGATTGTCATCGCTGCAATAGTAGCCATCGGCATTGGCCTTGCTGTTTCCAGCACCGTCGACGTCGACACCATTCCAAGGGCTTGTCCTGAGATCCTTGAGATTCCAGGGACAACTTGGCTCAGAGCATTGAGGGCTACTGGTAAGTATATACCTCCGCCCAGAAACAAGACCGTTTCCATCAATCATACTGATAGCCGCTGCGTAGTGCTGCCTCTGATTATCACCTCTCTCATCCTAGCGATCCAGTCGCTCCGTGATCTGGGAAGCGGAAATGGCGCACTCATTGCGAAATGGACTCTGGGTTATTACCTTATCACCACGATTATTGCTATTGTGTTCTCGATCTTGACTGTTGCCCTTGGCTGGCGCCGTCTAATGGTTAACGTGGGAGGCGAAGCAAGCGGAGAAGCCGATTCTGGTCTCGATACCGACGATGCCCCCAGCGAGCCTCATGAAGCTGTAGTCCTACTATTCGAGACACTGATACCTCAAAACATCTTCAAGGCCTTGGCTGACGACGTCTTGCTGAGTGTGATGGTGATCAGTATCATCGTGGGCTGCCTCCTGAAGCGCGACAGTCCCATCCTGAGGGTTGTCAAAGAGATCGAGGAGATGGTTATCAAGATCATAACCTTCCTTATCAAGCTCGCCCCGATCGGTGTCTTCTTCCTCATCCTACCCAACATGTTCCGTCTGGATATTTCAGAGATTGGCCAGAACCTTGGCGTGTTGATCGGAGCCGGTTAGTATTATACCTTTCCACGTTTCATGTGACCGACCGAGTCTTGAAATAGTTCAAGAAACATGCCCCTATGATCATCAGCAGCTGACTTACATATGACAGCACTGTCGGGAATGTTCATTCACATGTTCATTACCTTATCAATCATCTATGCTGTTCTAGTAAAGGAGAACCCTTATACCTTTTTCCTGCGCATTTCGCCAGCCTGGATGACTGCTTGGGGTTCTGCGAGCTCGGCTGCTACACTGCCAGTAACCATGAAGACGACGATTGCGCAAGGTGTTCCGATGATTGTGACCAAGTTCACAGTACCAGTTGGATGTCTCGTCAACATGGATGGGTGAGTGAGGCCCCGTGGGTTATTTTCAAGTCATTCCTGAACTAATCTCGCACAGAACTGCCATTTATTTCCCTGTTGTGGTAACATTTATGGCTGCTACCCAAGGGAAGACCCTCGACGGAGCACAGTATGTGATCGTCATGTTGCTCTCGACGCTGGCAACCATCGGGGCTGCGCCAATTCCCAGCTCCTCACTCGTTCTCACGGTTATGATCTGCGAGGCCATAAATATTGAGATCTCAGAGATGTTTGCCGTCGTGATAGCCATCGACTGGTTTTTGGATCGTTTCAGGACGGCAGTCAACGTTTGTGGGGATTGTTATGCGGCCAAAGTGGTCGCAAAGATGACTGGTATAAAAGACAGCGATGACGACTATGACGGGGAGGTGGTTGAAGGTGTTGCAGTGAGAGGGGATGGGGACCAGCAAGCATGAGAAATCTTGGGTGACCAATATTCCGGATCCGACTCGAGAGCCTCCACGATTTGGTACTTCAGCGGTATCACACGTATACAAATACGCGGTTCCGGTTTTATTTAATCCATATATATGCTCCAGAATATGGAGTCACTTCATAATAGCTCAAAGACCCAGCAATAAACCCTGGAATGAAACCACACTGCCAATAGTACCTAAGTAGTAGCCTCGCACAATACAGCTCCTTTCGACACTAATCTAGACTATAGTAACTCGAGCTGCCCTTACCCATCCAGCTTAAAACGAGGCTGGAGGTAGTGGTTTCGTTTCCAATCCGCATACATATAAAACTACTATGTAGCGCCTTCATACAGTAGTAAACGCTTAAGACCCAGCATTTTTGCTTTAGAAATACATAATGCTAAGAAAAGTGCAGACAGAACTACCGTATGAAAGAACTGTACAACATTAGAATATAAATAGATTAAGAATTAAACCACGTAATCAGTCTGATTCCTCTTCATTGAACATTTGCGGTTCCCGGACAAATCCCCAAGGAAACCCGCCTGTTCCACTTGAAGTAGCAGGCCAAAGTTCCCTCCTCACACTGTTGCCAATCTGAACTCCACCAAATTTGCGCTCCCTCGCTAGGAAGAGAGAGCAACTGGCGAGTCAATTTCTTAGTTACATAAGTCAGTGGACCGGTCTGCGCACATCCCCACCAACGCACACACATTTCCCACCAAAACGGTTGATTTTCACCATACTTTATTTAATTCTATAAAAGTACTATATAAATAAATTTAATACTATTAAAAACTAGATTTTTCATTTATATTAGAAAAAAATTTAGATTATTAATAAGTGTTATTATAAATTAGAAATAAATTATTAAAGTTTAATATTTTTTATATTAACTTAATAACTAATAATTAATATAGAAATTAGTTAAAATATTAAACTTTAATTTTTAACTTAATTAAATTAAATAATAATATAAGTTTTATTATAAAAATATATATTATTATAATATTTATATATATTTTTAAAGTTTTTATTTATAGAAATTTATTAGAATTAATTATTAAAGATTTTAAAAACGTGGAGTAAAATAAGTGAAATTCACTCCACTTTTTAAATCTTTAATAATTAATTCTATTAATTTTCTATAAATAGAAACTCTTTAATTTTAATTTTAATATTTTTAATAGATATTATTTATATAATAAATAATAAATATTTTTAAAACTTACTTTTTATAATAATTTAAAGTTTTTAAAAATACTTTTATATTAAGTAAGGAAACTTTAAAAAAGGAATTTCTAACTTTAAATAATTCTTTTAAAAATATTTACTTATTCTTTCTTTTAAAAAAGTATTTATATATATAAATAATAAATAAAGATTTTAATAAAGTAATTTATTTATTTTAAATATTTAAATAGATTGATTTATTAATAAAAATATAAATTCTATATATTTTAATTTATTATTATAAAGAATATTATTTATATTAAAAAAAACTATATTACTATATAGATTTTAAATATATTTATAATATATATTTAATTTAAAATTATAAAACTTACATAGAATTAATAATAATATATTATATAGTTAAAGAAAAATGTGCGTTAGTGGGGATGTGCGCAGACCGGTCCACTGACTTATACTACAGTGTGTTCAATGTGGTACAACTATTCAACCAATCCTTGTCACCCAAAACGAACTAGATTGTTGCATGGAACGACTGGCTCAACGCTGGGCCGGGGCCCTGGGTCCAGCATGCTGAAAATATGGATGGAACGATCCCAATTACCAGTGGGCAGTCGATCAGGATCCTTTGTATAAGTGTTAGTGTGGTTTCGGTTCCAATCCCCAAACATAAAACGTATGTGGCGTGAGTCTTAGCATTTAGGTCATTTCGGATGCTTCCGAGCCAGACTGTCGGGTTTTCCGTAGCGCTGTACCAGTTGACACCAGTGCAGTCTAGGGGCATCAGGTGCTGCATCCTCCTACCACACCGTTGCAACATGGCACCAGGAAGGAATCCACTCAAGAGGAGCTTGTGTTCTAATGCGGCGAAAGGAAGGGACAATATGAGGATCATTAAGCGGGGTCGTCCTCTTTGGCCATAGCAAACAGAAATCGATCTCCTCATATTAGAAGTTAAAGCCCCAAGTCCAAATATCTATGTATCTATCTATTTATCGCTTCAAACACACACGTGGTGATCAGCACATCCTACCTTGCCATGGCGAAGACACACTCGGAGACGTCTCATTTGGAGACAGCGATACCGCAGGAGCACAATGGAGTCCATGTGCCGGAGGATGAACCAACAGGTGGTTATCAAGTCGGCTGGCGGACTCTGATGGCCATTATGGCCTTGTCCATGGCAAACGCGTGTGCCGCAATTTCGAATACCGTCAGTACACTTCATTTTCAACAGACTATGCTAAACCTTATGAGCACGTAAGACTGCTAAATTTGGATATTCTCTGACTGAGCTCGGTGGCCAGACTAATACAATTATACGCTTCCAAGTCATGAGCCTCGGCGATGCGAAAGATGCCTCCTGGATAGCCAACGCCAACTTCCTGGTAACTCTGGCATTTGGACCAGTGCTTGGGTCTCTGGGAGACCGATTTGGAAAGAGATGGATCATCATCGTCGCCGCCATATTTGGTGTTGTGGGGTCATGTATCTCGGGATCAGCCCAGAAGACTACGACTATCATCGGCGGCAATGTTCTGACGGGTCTTGCGAATGCTGGATGTGTACGTTGAATGCTTATGACGATGAAGTTCCGCGGGTCTGAATACAAGACGACAGAGCTAACGATGGCATCCATCCATAGATCATGGGGACCCCCTCCGCCCAAGAAGTCACGCCGAACAGACTCCGCCCGTGGACTATGGGCTTCGGGCAGTTTCTTGCCAGCGTGGCTGTCATCGGAGGAACAGTAGGCGCTGGCGCCTTCGTCAAGTTCCATACTTGGCGATGGTCATACTACCTCAACGCGATATTCTATGGGATCACTTTTCTGCTTGTCACTCTCTTCTACCACCCGCCACCTCCCGGTTTGCGTCGCCAAGGGGCCCGGCTGCAAGAACTCCTTGCGAAAGTCGACTATATTGGCATACTCGTCTTCACTGCCTCCCTTGCATCCATTATAATTGGTGTGACCTGGGGAGGAACGACGTATGCCTGGGACTCGCCTCAGGTCCTCGCAACCCTGATCGCAGGTTGTGGTGGGCTATGCTTGTTTGGTGCCTACGAATGGCTGGTCGTAACCGAGGGTATCCTGGACCACCGGCTCTTCCAGTCCCGCAACTTTGCTATTTTGATCTTCGTTTGTGTCATTGACGGCATGCTTCTCCTCGGTGTGAACGTTTTGTTCGCACAAGAAATTCCGACTCTTTTCACGACTGATCCAGTACGTATCAGCCTGGTACTAACGCCTTATCTGGCGACATCGGCTTTTGGTTGCATTCCTGCTGGGGCCGTGATGGCCCGTACCAAGTCATACAGAACCATGCTTGTAGCTGCCCTGCTATGGTGTGCCTTGTTCACTGGTAAGCCCCCAAGGCACGTATAGGAGCAGTCGCAACAGCTGACACAATATTATTAGGCCTCATGGCAATGCTTAACCCTTCACGGCTGAGCTGGGCCTACGCCTTCTCGGCAATGTTTGGAATCGGCACCGCTGTAACTACAGTCATCCCCATCGTAGCGCTTGCCCTTTCAGTGCCCTCCTTTCTCCTAGGAACCGCAGGCACCTTCAGTGTCTCATGTCGTGCACTGGGAGGAATCATCGGCATCACCATCTTCACGGCGATTTATAACAACAAGATGGCAGACCGTCTACCGGGAGACGTGGGTGCGGTCTTGGGACGCGCCGGAAAAATTGACCTTTTGCCGGACACATTGTCGGCTCTGCAAGCTGGAGATCCCAGCGCCTTGGAACATGTACCGGGGCTGTCAGCGTCGCTCATTCCCAGCATTCTTGGCGCTCTGACAGACGCAAACGTTTACAGCTGGAAATACGTGTGGATCGCCATTGCTGTGATCGTCGCTGCGAACGCTGTAGCTGCTTGTTTTCTGGAAAGTGTGTCCGTGAGAATGAACAACCATATCGAGTCAGCTTTGGAGGAGTCGGAGGCCAGAGAAAAGCAGAAGGGAGCGGTCCACTGAATAATTTGACAGTTGTGTCTTCGACTTGAGACAAACGTTCAGTTCCGACGCAGCCTGCAAACACCGAGGCATCATGTTCAGTTTGTTGGAATTTATCTTAATTTTATCTGCTAGTGCAACGGAAACAATTAATTCGCAAAACTAATTCTCATATTTTCTTTCCCACTGCTTGGGATTGCTCTTGAACATCCCTTGTACAATCAACGAATCTCCCCCTTAGAGGAGCCGCCTCATCTGTACATAGCCATACACACGTCCATGCCGGTAGCTCGCCTTCGAAATGAGGTCGCCGCTTGCTGATCTCTGCCATATGTTCGATCACATATGGTGCCTCCACCTTCGTCTTCTCGGGATATGCTGTCTGGTGCAAGTCCGTCTCGATCTCGCCAGGGTGTATGCTGAAAATTGAAATTCCGCTTTTCCGACCCTCCATTGCAGATAGCTGGTCCAGTTCAACCTGCAGGGTCCCGGCAAATTTCGTGACGCCTGTCTTCGCACAATTGTATGCAGTCGTCCACGGAAGATTCAGGTCAGGTGCTGCAGCCCGACTGCTCGTGTAGATAATCGTGCCTGAGTTCCGCTCCCTCATTTCCGGTAACGCGAGTCTCGTAAGCTCTACCGGTGCGCGTAAGTTCAGCTCCAGAATATCCCACCATTCGCCCGGGTCCGTGAGGTGGAAAGGCTGGAAGGCGTTGGATCCGGCGTTACAGATTAGAATGTCAACGGGGCCTAGCTTTAACCGAAATTCATTGAGCAGGCGTTGTTGGTCTTTGCGGTCGAGTATGTCTGCGACGATGCCAACTACTTTCCCAGTAGCTTCTGACTCCTTGTCTCCCCGTCCCCTAATCGACTGTATTTCTGCAACAGTGGCCTCAACCTGGCTTGTAGTGCGCCCGGTCACGCAAACGTTGGCCCCAGCCTGTGCCAATGCAATGGCAATGTAGCGACCGATGCCACGACCAGACCCAGTTACGAGTGCATTCTGGCCCTTCAGGGACCCGCCAAGAACCATGGGATCGATTGCTCTGTAGATGCCGGTTCGGAGCGTGAACGGTGAGGGTGGTGGCGCCATGATGGGTGCTGTCAGCGTTGCCAGTATCAAAATCCGAACGTTCCTTTTTAAAAATTTGAAAGTGAGTCTGCTAGCACGACCTGATGAGAGTCAGATGCTGAACAGCGAACTCAAGGGTCTGGACAGCTGGGCATCTGCCGCTGTCCGGAGCCGATATTCACCTGGCTCATAGGCTAACCATCCGAGCGCTATGGCGCCGCCATGCCGTTCCATGTGTGGTCTACTTCGGACAATCCGCGCGGGGGCGGAGTTCCGGCCGGAATACCCGCCAAGAAATGTGCTACTTGGCTTTACCGGACTCCTTCTCCTCGAGCTGGACATCACCTCATGCGATGTGGCTTAAATCTCGCGTTATTAGTACCGTATTGACGTGTTTACCACTTTTTTGAGTCCCATCTGCAGAAGCTGAGAATCAAATATGGAGTTCGAGATCTACATCCCTGAGAACCTGAAGTTTTCGGACTACATTGCAGTACTTCAAACAGCTAGGACGTGGGCAGACGGGTACGATAAAAAAGTAAGCAATGTCCTGTCCCTCTCACACACGCTCTCCGCTAACAAAAGAGTCAGGACATTAAAAGGTTAACTGCCGCACTGGCAGACTCTGTCATTATTGACTACTCTCTCATAGTCCCAAGCTGGGGGGAGAAAAGATACTCGGGGCCCGAATTTGCCAATGAATGGCTGTCACCCGAGCACCTCGGGCTGAAGCCTTTGGTAACCCAGCACATGCTTGGACTTCCTTACTTCAAAAATGTGTCAGAAGAGGAGATTGTGGTCGAGTGGCAACAGCTGGTTTCTCATGGTCGCCGGGATAGTGACGTGAACCACGCTGCTCAAGAAGGCGTCTCGGAGACAAGTGACCACCGCAGCTATGTGGAGCATCGTTTCATCAAGGTTGGTGGAAAATGGAAGATCGCAAGAATTACTCCAAAGCTAATTTACAACACTGGAAACTTCATGAAAATACGTCGACCGGAAGGGGCGCCGTAAAAGCCAAGACCTGTTAGCTATCATCTACCGGTTGTCAACATACGATTGAGGACTACTAGTACAAAACTCAATTCAGATTCTACAATTCGAGCATGAAGTTCCAGACCAGCCTGGGTGGTGCTGTCGTGGTCGGGTGTTCCGGTACCTGTCTGCTCTACAGTCCCGACGAGTTGCCCGTCATATATCTTGTGCTCTACCACATATCCCTCCAGTACCCTAACAGTAAACGTTGATAGAGGCCATATTTTAAACCCCGGTTTTGTAAAGAAATACGCGTTTGGTAGCGTCTGGTGTTATATTCCAACGACTTTACCTGCTAGCCTACCGGAACTCGGCAAGACGACTACTTTCATGTCTGATGGTTTAAAAAATTTCAAGCTGTAGTAAACAACCTACGCAACGCTGAAGCCAAGTAAGCGTATTTACAAAGGTGTGTCAACAATCTAACTAAGGTACCGGGGCCGCAAAGGGAGCTCAAGGGTGTGAATAATATCAGTGGAATGGAAGTTTGAAATGGATTGATATCTACGGACTGAACTGTAGCCATTTGGATGTCCAGAAAGCACCATGCGCGCAACCCATTCGCGTTGCGAAGACCACATTTACGCAGAAGGTTCGTTGTAAGACTGCGAGAACGGGGCCGGGATCCCAAAGTTCGGACCCCCATTACTGTTCGCAGTCAAAGGCTGCACCATCGTATACCTCGAATCATCACACGCGCCAGCCGAATTGCTAGTTGCATGATACACGAGCCACGTCTGCTTGGTGTCCGGGCTCTGGAAGAACCCATTACTCGCGGGGCCGTAGTTTCCATTGGCACTCGAGAAGACACACCCACTGTTCTTGCTCCAAGCGCTGGCGAGGTACGGCGCGGTGGTCCCATCCCACGTGAGCAGTCCTATGCAGTAGTTGGCCGTCCAGCAGTAGGACGCGGCATAAGCGATGTGGGTCTTGCCGTTGAAGTACAGTGCGGCGGGGGCCTCGTTGACGGGCGTGCCGTTGCGCTCAAAGGCGAGAGTCGGCTGGGAAATGACATAGATCGAGCCCGTGAGCGACGTGTAGCTGTCCGAGAGCTTCTGGATGCATATGGACTGATACTGAACCCCGTGGAAGCACGAGAACATGAGCCAGTTGCCATAGTTGTTGAAGCGAAGGACAGAGCCGTCGATAGACCACTCGTTTGTCAGCTGACCAGCGTAGCTGTATGTGTCCCAAGGTGTAGCACCACCTTCTCCTGTGTCAGCATCGGCCGGGGAGATGCAAGATATAGGTTAAGAGCTAGGCAAGCTTACCCTTGAGAACATGAAGTCTCTGTCCGTCGAGGTTCGCACTGGTACCTGCAGTGTAGTAGATATACCAAGCTCCACCTAGGTAGTGAACCTCAGGAGCCCACACATTGCAGCAACGCGATGTCGTGGACGTTGAATATACGACCTTCTTGGTGGCCGACTTGAGACCATCTATACTGGTTGCTCGGGAGATCTGAACATCGTTCCAAGACGTGGTGAGTAAATAGTAGTAACCGCCGGTGTAGACTAGGAAGGGGTCAGAGCCGCCTGGGTTACGGATTGGGTTGGTATAGGCATCAGAAAAGCTGAACAGGCAGACAAAGAGACTCAAGAGAGCTGTAATCTTTTCAAAGAAATGCATCTTGTCCCGGTCCCTTGACAATCGAGCCCAATAAACCAGCTGCTACACAAGTGTTTGTCGGTTCGTCACACGCGTTGTATTTATACGCCCGAAGCGGAACTTGTCAACATCGCCAAGACGGCAATGCAGAAAAGCATACCCAGCAGCGGGTTGAGCACCTCATGGAAGGCTGCAAGCTTATTCGAGCGCATCAATGGCGATTCATTCATGAGGGGCCTGGCCCTGTTCGCAAAGACCCCACAGCTGCTTCCTAGCGCGACCATCACACCGGCTTCTGGGGTATATTCCGGGGAGAGGACCAGGGCTTTAAAGACGTGATTTGTGGAATTCACCTGTCATTTCCAGAAGGAGAAATACGGGACATCATAGGCCTCGTGTCTTGGCTAGCAGGTGACAGCATCTTGTTTCTTCAATTGTTAACAAAATAGCACAGGGGTGGTCAGAAGGTTCACATTTATATTGTAACTCTGAAAACCAATTAGGAAAAGCAGTAGAAGCCAACTCTGAAGCCTCGAGCCACTGGGTCCGCTTTTGCATGCATGATGTCTTGGGCTGCAGGGTCCCTCTCTTCTCGCGCCCTAATCAGCGTTCTGGATATCAAATTTGACCAGCAGTGATGACTTTGTCTCCCGTCCCTTCAGATCGAGCAGGCGGATAAAGCTCCAGCCGGGCGTAGCATAGAGCAGCCGCACCGTGGTAAGCGCAAGGATCGGATTGACAGAAAACGAGTCCTCGCTCTTGATCAGGATCCTCAGGAAGGCCAGCTCGCTGTCTTCGTACTCCCACTCGAGCGTCTCATCCCATACTGGCTCGGTCGTGGGGGGATTTTCCCCACGATGCAGGAACCCCGTGAGCTTGTGCTGCTTGTATGACGCAGTCCTCTTCTTGTTCGCCGTAGTGTCATCATTCTTGGAATCAAGAGGGTGGATGAGTGACGCAGTCACGTACGGCTTGATGTCGTCGGCCTCCTTGCCCTTTGCCAGTGGCAGGTCGGTGGCTCCGGCGACGTGGACACGGAGACGCCTCTTCTGCCCGGTGGTGACGCTGCCGTCGCCGCCGCTTCGGAGAGCCGCGGGCTTGAGCACAAATCCGTCGGTGCCTGAGAACAGCGCCTCGTTCAGCTGCATGCTGATGCCAAAAGTCTGCCAATTCAGCGCGCATATCTGAGCACCATTACCCCAGAAAGGTACAGGCTTGAGGTTCTTGGACGAAATCCGAGTCCCCTTGGGAAACACTCGCATGAGGTGGTGCGCGTTGTGCTTGGCGATGTTCTGGTTGAACTCGGGCATGAGCTTCAGTAGCCCGGTCTCGGAGACGTTGATGAGATGGTGATGTGGGCCGTTGTTCATCTGCGGCTGCTCGAACCACGAGTTGTCGACAGGCTTGACCGACTGGGCGTAGACGCCGAGCTCGGCAAGCTCTGGTATGATGACACCTGCGCCGGTGGTCTTCTTCTTCTCCTTGTACTTCTTGCGGGCCTCCTTGCTCTCATCATCGGACGATTCGTCACTGGTGCTGGATTCAGAGTCCTTCTCCCCTTCCAGATGGAACTCGACAATGACGACAATCTTGGAGCCGAGCTCCTCCAGGGTCACGTGGTCACCGCCCTCTTGCTCCTGGTGGCCCTTCTCTCGGATGGCCTTGCTCAGCAGGCGATGGCCCCAGACCTCTTTCATAATGTCGACCAGCCGCTTCTGGCCGTGGGCATCGCAGTGGTTCTCAAGGGAGATCATGATTGGCGCTGCGCGGTAGCCCTGCTCGTTGACGGCCTCCTTGGCCTCCTGGTCGACGACATCCCGGATGGTCTCGCAGACCTGGCGGAAAGGGATGTGAGACACAAGGGTGTAGCCGTGGGTGACCTTTGGCTCGTCCTTGTCCTCGTCTCCATCCCAGGCATCGATCTCGACACACCGGGCGCCTGCCTTCAGTGCAGTCTCGTAGGCCGAGGCGGACGAGGTGCCAAACAGCTGGTGTGCCAAGAGATACGTGTTGTGGCTTGAGCTGATAAAGTACTCGGGCAGCGGGTGCGACCTGTCGGTGACCTGCGGTGGAACGTTGATGTGCGGCTTCTTGACCAGCGCGTGCAGAGCCGCACTCTGTACCTCGTCTGTGTCACCCTTGAGGTCGTGCTTGCTGAGCACGCCCTGCTCAAGCAAGAATGACTTGAGCGCACCGCTGACTCGTAGCTGGTGCTGAGTCACCTCTGTCTGGCGAGCGCTGTGGCCGCCACCGGCGATCGTGGTGTTGTCGACTTCCTCGCCGTTCTCGTCATCCTCTGGAGAGGTGCCCTTCCTGGCGAAGGGGTTCAGGCTGGCCAGGGTCGAGGTTATGGCTTCAGCCATGATGCAGGATGCAGGATGCAGGATTGCAGACTGCGCTGGAGGGTTTGCAGGCGAGAATGAGATCGGGACCGCGGTTGAGTCTGACAGCTACGTGTCCCTGGTGATGAGAGAGAAGAGGGAGTGAATAACAACTCAGAGTCCCGTCTTTTGGCCCCGCCACGAGTCTGGCAGCGTTGGACTCGGCTAAGGGCTGCCGTCCAGTCTTAGCTGAGACGCCCACATCAATACCTGCCCCGGGGCGCCTTCCCAGGCTTCCTTGGGCGTGGTGGAGAGAGGGGTCGAGCACAGCCCAGGCCCTAGGTGGGCCAACAGCCAATTGTAAGCTGGGACAAGGGCCCTGGGAGGGAACCATGGGGCCTTTTGGGGGCCGTTGAGATTACATCATCCTCACCGCTCAGGCTATCCCCGATTGACACACCGGTACGGTACACTGCTGCTCTTTCCTGTTGATGTACTTAAGTACCTAGGTACTTACCTATCACAGCTCCCAAATACACAAGACTGCATGTGCAAATATTCTCCAAGAAACTCTGGGACAATCTGACCTGTCGATATCTTTTTGGCAACGTTGTAAAGCAGCGACGCTGAAAACTGTCTGGCCTCTTCACCGACACAAACTTCCCCAGGTTATCATTCTAAGCCCCCTTCATTGACATCTTCATCGCAATTTACCTACGTCAACGTTTGGACGAGTCTGTTTGCTACTGCCCAACAAGATACGCCGCTCATAGGAATTCCTCAGACCACTATTAACACATCCGTGGAGCTCACATCATCTTTGAAGCTATCCATGGACCAGAGCAATGTCCACTAACTGTGATGGTTTTGTGTTCCTTACCCAGTAATAGAACAATATATCTAAGGATTTACTGTTCTGTGCTGCTTGGGCTCACTCTGCACCCTGTCTTCATTCTCTTTCGGCCTTGTTCAGGTTGTCCTAGACGCATGCTGAATGAGATACTTACGATATCGCCTACTAGGGGCACCGGTGTGCAACGGGACCGCGACTGCTAGGTCCCACACTCTGCCGCCCGGCCAAAACAACCAATTTGAAGGGATCGGTTATTCCTAGAAGTATATAAGTACCGTACCGTGACTACGTAGAGCCAAACACAACTGCAGTATGATGTAATTAATTTACAGCCTTGTGATTGGAAGTGTTGCATATTAATTTGAAAAATCTCAGCAGCGGTCGATTGTTCATCGAGAATCGCGTACTCCCTCATGGACAACTGCTAGGGAACCATCCAACGAAGATATGGGTAGTACTAGAAGTGGGAGTCCACAGGTTCCACGGGAGTTGAAAGCTTACATAGGTACCTACTTAGGCACTCAAGTAGCTTCCAAGGTTGTTGATACCGAAGAGACCCAGGCCGCTCGCTTAAGTGAGTACTGAAAAAAGTAAGAATTACTCCAGACATGGATATCTTCGAGAGGATCAATCCACTATCCAGCTACACTTGTACCTAGGTACATAGGTAAAGGCGCGAGGCTGGACCAATAGGTCTCAATCAGCATCAATCACAGACCCACACGAACCAACCGTCGTGAGCGCTTATAAATACCCGAGTCAACAGTAAACAATCCCCTCCTCGCTTCTCTCTACCATTGTAAGGAAAATCTATGAACCTGAATATGGCGTATCACCCGTATGCCTTCCACGGAGGCGTGGCCTATCCGATTCAGGCGCAGGCTTAGAGCCTCTCAGCCGGGAATGGGAGCCTGTATTATGTACCATCTCAAGTGCTAATAAGGTTTTTCAACACATCTATTTGGTCCTGTCTGGGTTTTTATTACCTCGAAGGCTTATGGTGGCCACTTGATCTGCTTCCGTAGAAGCATCCTTGGGCATGGAGAATGGGAGGGAGGGGAAGCACCTTCATAAAATAGGCAAAGCCCAGTAGACATCTTCAGGTATGGATCTCCCCTTGAGCTTTGTTAATTCTCGAACCTTGACTGGTTTACAGGTAGGTGGGTGCCTTTGGGCGCCGCCATCAACAACTTTATTGGCGTTAGCCCCGGAAGCGAGGCTATCCGCGCGGAGATCGTCATCCCAGTCGCACGCGTGATGCGCGAACTGGCAAGCGGACCAACCCATTACAGCGTTAGTCATGATTTTATTTTACCTTGTCAGGGGAATGGTAATTCAGTTCGCTTGTCCACGGCTGTGGAAGCGGCAGAGGTGAGCGATTCCAAGGCAAAGACTTCAAATAATGCCGTGATCAACACATTGTACAGCAGTGGAAACGGCAGAACACGGTCCCCGGATATCGTGGGTTCCGGTGGCAAATGACCGAACAATCCGTGTTCATTCAATCAATTACGAATAGAATCGAGGTTAATTTTATTATGTCTGAGAAGTGATTGGCACGCCTCGACAATGAGCGGCTCATTGCTTGAGCTGACGTCTAACTGTGCCTGGGGTCCTTTTCTAAGCGTCGTGTCGATATATCCATTTCAAATACTGACTTGAGGACGACGAGTTTGCCACAAACCATTTTCCTCTCGTAACTTGCTGAATTTGTGACCTATCCATCGCACATCACCAATCATCAATATGCAGGGCAAGAAGATTCTCGTGGCCTTGTCGGCAACCTCAGCAGTCTCTGCCCAACGGCCGGCTGACGTCCCCATGTGCGACTATTACAGTATGCAACACTCTGCACCTACACTTTGGGATCTGTAGCAGGGCTAATGGCAGCATCAGCGAAAGCGATTTTGAAAGAGAACACCGCCGAGAACCAGTTGACACTGCTGACAGTCCTTGTCAACACTGTGGTGATTGGTAACTGTGAGTAAGAAGACGTGGCTGAGCTGGAGTTGATACTCTGACACCCCTTTCAACAGATACGATGCCGAATGTTGGCATCGCTGTTCCTGGTATCCTTGCCCCAGGCAAATTCGAAGGGGTGGATGTCAATCTATTGCCATATTTCGATGGGTCCATGGCCTCGTCGAATCGCGGCGGATCTTCCGGTGTAGCTGTCAACAACCTGGACGGTGGTGGCGCCGAGCCGCTCAAGATGAACTTGCCAGCCAACTCCGAAACCTCGAACCAATACTTCCTTCTCACTCATCTATACGCATTCTTCGGCTCTCTCCTAGGCTGTACGACTTACGGCATGCCAGGCTTCCCCGCGTACGACGGCATTGCATCCCAGTACAAGGTGCACAAGTTCATGGACCTGAATCACTATGAGGTCTCATACTTCATCCAGCAGGTTGGACTTGCTGCGTCGTCCTTCGGTGTGACTAATGACGATATCACCGCCGTGGCTGATGCGCTTGACAAACTATTCAACCATAGATGTCTGCCCCCAGCTACCGCTATCAAGGAGCAGGGCCCGCAGTTGCACTCCATCTGCATTGAGGAGACAGTAGGTGTTTTCTTTGCTTTGACTTTTCTTGTTTGACCTCGCGCAATGAGTGATTAGGGTGTTCCCTAAGCGCGAATCATACCACCCGTGGACTAACTTAGACCACCACAACAACGGTCATGATCTGTCAAGTCTTGTGTCTCTTTGGCCGCTGTCGCTTCTTCAGAGAACAGTACAAGTTGAAGAGCTTGTTTACCCAAGCCTGCCGGGTTCTTTCACAATATGATCATATCACGATGATGCTGACTTGGCTTCTACAGTGTCCTCTGGCAGAGGGAGCGGTCTGCGACAAGTACGAGCCCGCTACGCCCCCAGCATCGCCGCCGGCGGGGGGCTCGAATGCAACTGCAACAAATGGTACGGGTAATCCCGCCAGCCCAAGTGCGACAGATACTTCAGGTGGCGCCTCACCATCGGCCCCAGTTCAAGTCGGTGGAGCCACTCTAGATGCAGCTGTCAACATCCTTCTTTTTGCAGTTGCACCCGCTTTCTGCGCAGGACTGATGATACTATAATCAACGGGTCTGAAACAGGTGGAAAACCACCATAACTACCTAGGTAGCCTTGTGCGAGGATAATTTTTTCGGTTGTTGTTGCACAGGTAGCGCAGCAAGAAGTGGCATGTCTGGTCCCCGCCCTTCTGGGTTGCTGTGTAAGATGTGTGGCTGCCAGGCTGTGCAGGAAGACCCCTTGTCTTGAAAACGATGAATAATATAGCAGGTGTAGAACTCAATTGAAATCCTCAACTCTCTTCTGACAGATGGATTTTGCTGATCCATAATGTGGCCAAGTCATCTTGTATGGAAGAGCATAAAAGAGCATATTATGGGAAAACAGGTTTGATGTAGTCACTTAAGAATCAATAAGATCTGATCTGATTGTAGGTAAGCTTGTGATATGGTAGCAACTGTGCTATTGCGTGCACGTGACATGCGCGGAACCACACAGAAATTTGCTGTCTCCGGGACAGTCTTCCAGGCCGACACACCCCCCACATTCCGATCTCAAAGCAGTCAGGGTGGCTCATTTGCCCTCAGGCTGGCTATTTACAAGTATGAGGACTAAAATTGATGGGCAAAGCATTTTGTTACACATGTGAATGCCGTTTTCGCGTGGCAGTTGCTATATATATACCAAGATTTTCCTGGAATTCAACAACAACACCTGGTCTGGTGGTCTAGTGGTATGATTCGCGCTTAGGGAACACCCTAATCACTCATTGCGCGAGGTCCCGGGTTCAATCCCCGGCCAGACCCTTTTGCTACTCTTACTCTTGTGTTTTGATACTCCCAAGATACTTGGATAGACTCCTGGCTGGTGTACGGAATATCCTATTTTTACACTTGTTTAGAAGCCACAATAGCATGTCTAGCTATTGAGCGAGCATGCCAAGGACGTGTTTGTTGTACTGGAAGAGTCTGGACACCTGGATTGTCATGTGTGTTAGGTCCGTATTATTCCCGGGCTCACCAGCCGCGCCGACCAGCCGCACCCACGTCCATTAGGTACCCATACATAATCCACCCGTAAAGAGGCTTACTTCTTAGATTTTGTTATTCAAATTAATGGACTGCATCTGTTTATGTGGCTTGGAGCCTGTCTCTTGAATTTCTATCATTGACTGATTTTCATTGTCATTGCTCTTGTGCTTGTTGACTGGTTATCCAGCTTATAGCAAGCTACCCTGAACTATAGTATGCCTGCAGTTTGCGAGGCTGGGGACACCGCTTTCTGTCATGTGTCACCAGCAGTCTTGTTGTCTTGCATTCTTCATTGTTAACCAGATAGTAGCAATACTGAATGTGTCTTTTTTCCAACGGTGCCTCAATGGATTTTCCCGTACGGCAGCGGAGCTATGGGGGCGTGTTTGTGGTACCGGCGACCACAAAGACAGTGAATGTGAGGGTGTACTGGCCTTGGACGTCTGGACCGCGTCCATAAATCGAAAGCGTCACTGCTATCGGACCCAAGGGCTGTGTTGCAGGCACATTCCCAATAAGTCTTTGAGCTCTGAATGGCGGGGGCTGATCGAGACGGATCCAGTCGACCTGCGGATTCGTTGAGGATGAGCCGACGACATCCCCGGGTGAGTACCTGTAGTAAGGATCAAATCCGATACCGAAGGGTTGCCCCTGTGTCACGGTTGCAGTCGGGAAGGATGTTGGAATTGTCCTTGAGGCTGTTGACGTGGTCGTCGTTGAGGTGCCAGGAGCGTCAGTAGGCAAGATTATTGCGCTAGTCGTGGTCGTGGGAGGCGAGGCAGCTGTCGTGGGTGAAGTCGGTAGGACAGAATTGCCTGAGCTTGCGGGCCCTGCTGGGGAAGTTGGAATGGAATTTGCAGTACTGACGCTGGTCCCTGCAGGCTGACAAATATCGAGGACCAAACAGAATTCTTGCTGAACAACTGTTCCAGCGATGGACAATTGCACCGTCAGGCTTATCGTGACAAGGCCTTCTGGGTAGTTGCTGGGCACGAGACCGGTGATTGCCCTCTCCTTGCAATCCAACGAGACCCAGTTCACTGCGGGGCTAGTTGTTACTTTGGCATTGTTTCCGAGGGTCTCCCCGAAGTTTGCGAGGCTGATGAAAAATGGCTGCCCCGAAGTCGCTTTGACAACAATTTCCGTTCCTGCTGTTGTGACAATGTGAGATTCTGAGACAGTATTGGCACCGATATTCTCAAGATGAGTAGAATAGCTGCTCGGCCCGTCAATCTCTTGATCGGGGATCGTTTTCCACAAGGCTGGGATGCTGTCTGCACTTTGCTGACGCTCAAGAACTCGAGATGTAGCTAAAGAACGAAGAGACAGCAGTCCTAACAATGCAAGGAATAAACGAAAATGGACTGCCATGGCGTTTCAATATTCTTCGGTTGATGAATAGGAAGAGCACGATGATAGAAGAATTTAATCCAGCGAGTCCGACCGACGAGTGACTTTGCGAGAGGGTTGATGAAAATGTCAGCCATCAATACAGGTTGAGTTCCATAAGAACTGAAGTAGGAAGACGAATGAATATTGGCGAGATATCTTGGACCCCATATGATATGATAAACTAAATAGTCATGTCATGATGATGCTGCAAATGTCCCTCAATGAGAAATGAAGTTATGAGATGTCTCGAATCGGCGATTACTTCGTGGTTAAAGTCTCATATTCTCTGCCCTAATTCGCAACTGCAGACTCGGCTTAACTAGCGGGTTCCACCTTAACCCGCCAGTTCCCCAGGATAGCAGTACACTGGCAGACTGGGAGACGTGTTAGCAGTATTGTTGTACAGACCTGATTCTAAATGCGTCACATAAATCACTTTAAATTCCATCATCAATCATTTGATACGTGCTGATTCAGGAAAATAAACATTCATGATACACAACAAGACTTAGAGGAACTCAAACAAACATACTATAATCACGTTTAAATACCAAGTTATAATGTATTAATTTCTCTTACGTGGTTTCGCTTCTATTCCGTATACACCCGGGAACATATATGGCGCGTTCAGACGGCGGTAAATACTCAAGACCCAGCATTTGAAAAAAACATACAGTGTCGATAACAGTGGTGAAAATACGATAGGTGCATTTTCAGGCTTGGGACGACTGGCCTGTTGATGGCCTGTCATCTCGCCGCCCTGTTCTGGCACGACTCGTAGTGGATACAGAAGTCTTGTCAGCAGGTACCTGAAGGGCTATTAATACCGCTGACTTCAAATATATTTGTTCTATGTGGACTTCTTACCTAGGTGCGAGAAAATGCAACCAACCCTGGCTCACACCTCTTAACATTACGATATCGGGTCGCGATCCCCGCCGGGGTGAGGAGAAAGCGGGAGTTGGTGAGAGGGGCCCGTTTAGTCGGGTCACACTCACCCGCGTCTCCTCTCCATAATAAATCCAGCCAAAACCTGGGCCTCGGTAGTGAGCGCTACACGACGCAGACACTGCAGGAACCAAGACTCTCAAGGTTTGCTGTAGCGCAGATTCGATTCTCGGCACCTTCGTAATATCCCCACCACACTGAGATTTCTCTTTAACATTGCTACGTTTCATCCCCTTGAGCTGCAACAACCTCAGACTTCCCCAGGTTGCGACCATGTCGAACTCGTTCAGCGTGGCCGGCAAGACAGCCATCGTCACTGGGGCAGGGTCTGGTAAGTAGCGACCCCTCTCTGTCTGTGGAGGACTTTGCTGTGATGACTTCATGTTGTTGACATCTTGTGATATCTTGCAGGGATAAATTTTTCGTTTGCAGCACTTCTGCTCTCCCGGGGCTGCAATGTCGTCTTGGCCGACCTTGCCCTGCGGCCAGAAGCCGAGGCCCTCGTAGCTCAACACAGCGACGCCGGAAGCACGCCCCGAGCCGTGTTTGTGAGAACCGACGTCACATCTTGGCCTGCGCTGACAAACATGTTCACTGCCACTTTTGCAGAGTTCGGGGACGTCGACATCGTCTGCCCCGGAGCTGGTGTGTGTAAGCATCACTTTTCACCTGTTACGGATCCCCGTCTTTCATGCTTTGGAATTCCAGGATGCAACACTTTAGGGTCCGTAGGAGGACTAACGTCATCACTAGATGAGCCTCACTGGTCCAACTTCTGGCACCCGCCAGGCTCTCCCGAGGCCAAAGACGCCATTGACGGAGAGCCGGGCCACTACGCCCTCCTGGACATCAATCTGAACCATCCGATTCGCGTGACGCAGCTCGCTTTATCTCACTGGCTGCATCCGCCACCAGGAAAAGTCGCGGTTTCCCCGTCCAATCCGAAGAGGATTGTGCATATTTCGTCCGTGGCTGGATACGTGCCCAACCTCAACGCCCCCATCTATGGAGCATCCAAGTTTGCTATCACTGGGTTCGTCAGGAGCCTTGCAGCCCTAGACGACAAGCATGGAGTTCGAGTGAACGCTGTTGCTCCAGGGGTCGTCCGTACGCCATTATGGCTGGAACACCCAGAAAAAATGGCTTATCTTGAGACAGAGGACGGATGGGTCACCCCGGATGAGGTTGCGGCGGCGATGCTCCAATGCGTGGAAAACAGCGAGCTAGTCGGTGGCACTATCTTTGAGGTCGGGAAGGACAACACACGCTGCGTACAAACTTTCAATGATCCAGGCCCGGACCGGGATCCAAAGAATGGCCTGATCACGAGGAATTCGAAAAATGGGTTCGACATGGTGTGGGCATGGCTCAAGGACAAGACCATCTGGGGACCGCATTAAGGTTTTCTCAGTTTTTGATTCGTGCGCTTATTGCAGCCTTTGCAATGTGCTGCTATCTTCCTGCTAGTGCTATTACCTGGGATGGCGGGCGAAGGATTCAATAAACGAAAACAGATCGGGAAACGACTTCGTCCTGTACTAGATATCACACATTGAAGCGAGAGAATGTCCCCAATCACAAAGTCTTGGCAAGTTTCCAAGGTTTCGAGGCAGTTTCCGAGCATAGCTCTTCCGACAGGTTTCCAGAACTCGCACCTCGCACCTCTTCCATTTGCCGTATTTCCGTCTAAATAAGGCATTCGGCGACAGCTATGCAATATTATTGCCGATCTTCAGGGGCAAGATTCCAGACTATCAGCGATGATGCCCAGCCAATAGTTTCTGGATGAAGATGTGGTCAACTGGGTAGGCTACGAGAGGGCGCCACTCCTTCACGATGGGTTGTCGCTACCACAAATCTCATACTTATAAACACACATACGGTTGGCTCTAAGAATAAGAGGCTAATTAAATCAAAGCCCAGGAATCTTTGCCTATTGACAATGTTGTCATTAGATTAAAAATGGCTGGTGGACTTTGGGGCCAACAACCAAGTAAACTCGGCGAAGATAATTCAGACAAAACAGGTAGTAGTATGAGGCCACAGTCAGATACCATCCATCTGCTGCCGTTGGTTTCATGTCTAGTCTCCGCATCATATCCCGAACAACTGCAGATCAGTCCTTTCATTATTGATAGACATTCCCAAGGGTTGGCTCGGGTACCTTATCCGGACTGCAAGTTCCATCCTTCGAACATCACACCAATGGCAGCACTCGGAATAGCACTCGGTCCTTTCGGATCGACTGCCTCTTGTGCATGTAGCCTGGTCGCAGATGTGTGCTAAAGAATATTTGTGCAGACTGACCTGCCGGTCTGCTTTTCCACGCACATGATGCATCATCCTAGTCTGGCTCACGCGTCAGAGCCTCGGCTCGGTCAGACCTTGAACAAGGAATCGTGGAAGACTAAGTTCATGATGCATACGCGCAGTCCTCTGTAGGAGTAAGCGAAATGAAACAAAGCAAAAAGGGCCAGAATAGTTGCATAAACCTTACCGCATCAGGTGTTTCCTTCAGCAACGGCTTTCCCAGACTAGGAGTGTCGCTTAAGAGCTCCAGGTTCCACAGCGCTCTGCATTGCTTACGATGTTTGCGGTTCGTTATTATGCAGTTTGCTATGCACATCGACCCCCACGAAGCACGAAAACAAGAGGATACTGCTCTTTCTAATGCTTATTCAACACGCGGGCCTCGCCTCGCAAGGTACATCCTCCGGCCTGATCACCTCGCAGCGATGCCAGGTCCAAGGGTTCCGATAGGCTTCCAGTTTTCCGGGATCTAATAATTTGAATCGGGTAACATTGAATCGGAATGGATTACCGATGCCCATTTCTCATAACAACCCTGGGAACCTTGGAAATGGTGTGGTTCAATCTTTGGGGTGTACTTAAGTACGGGTCAACGTTGACGTGCCAAATATCTTGCATGTTTCTATGAATGTCTCTCTTCCTTAATCATATCGAATGCCTCCTAGAGTTTTGTGATCAAATTTGCTGCGGCAGGTGCTCTCTATCTGAGCTGTGTCCGTTCGCGTGCATACCAATTCCATCATGGCTTTGGTACTTGCTTCGCTATGGTGAGCGATTCCACCAACGACTGGTCATTATAAAGACTTACTTTCGACAGGCTCTGGGGACAGTACGAAAGCCATGTCGAAGCCTCATTAGATAAGGCCTACAAGCCACTGCCGCTCCCGGAAAACCCGCAGTATAGCACCCAAGATGTCAGCATTGTGGTTGCCACCATTGATACCCCGGGAACCCTCCCCCAATCTCTGTGCGAATGGCTTCGCAACGATCCACACGAGATAATAATTGTCACAATCCAGCGAGATCTCCAGCTTGTCCAATCCCTTGTATCGCAAGTTCCACACGCAGCTACAATTACTCGGGTTGTCACCTGTGGCATCACAAACAAGAGAGAGCAACTCGCCAAGGGTATCAGAATGGCAAGGGGTCAGATTATAGCTCTCGTGGACGATGACGCGTTTTGGCCCGCTACTACGGTGCTGCCGTTCCTACTTGCTGGTCTGGAGGCAGATCCAAGCGTAGGAGGAGTCCAGGGAAGACAGAGGTTCGTCGTTCAGGGTTATTGATACCTTCCAGCATGATTAATGACAATAAACTTGAACATTTTCACCACAGCTAACGTGAGTCGTGCCCATCAGTGCCTACATTCCAGAGAGCAGACGCAAAAGCGATGAAATAACCCCCTGGGAGGTGGCTGCGATCCGCTGCCTGGAAGTTCAGAACCGAGTCCAAGCATCCCGGTTTGCAGCAGATGGGGGCTGCTTTTGTCTGGTTGGCCGCACGATGCTCCTTCGCTCAAGTCTGCTCAATGAGGAATTCCTCCATGCGATGTGTAATGACTATTGGGCAGGCAACAAACTCAGCACAGGGGACGACTGCTTCATTTCTCGCTGGATGATGAACAAGGGTTGGAAGTTCTGCATCCAGAATGCAGATGAGGCCGAAATTCTAACATTGATACCTAGTGACAGCAAGATGCTGTTACAAAATGTGCGATGGAAAAGGAGCTCGTTCCAGTCGTGCTTAAAAATTCTGTTTTATTGTCCTGGCCTTTCTCGTTTCAGGCGGTGAGTTGGCTTACAGTCTCGCTCTGTTTTTGACGTCGAATGGCTACTCTGGGGTCTGCTAGCCAGACTAATTCCATTTGGTTTTGCAGAACCTATCCTTACACGGGTCGAAAACTTGTCGAACGGCTTTTGACCCCGCCCATCACTTGGATTCATATCGCCGCCTGGGTCGTGAGCTTCCGGGAAACCCCACTAGTCGCCGGCATTTTGTTGCTGTGGTACATCCGAGGATGGATCAAAAGCTACGGGTCCCTCGTGCAGAAGTACCCATTTTGCGCAACGAAGATCTGGGGTGCGCTTCTCTTCGATCATTGCTACCCGGTTTTAGACCTTTATTGCTGGTGCACGGTGAATCATGAGGCCTGGCTGACCCGCCGAGAAACCGGGTGAATCAACGCAATAAGCGTTTGGGGTAGCTTGTACCAGCGCAAATTTGGATGTCCTTTGTGACTGGAATTATTTGAGAATGACTCCTCAGAATGGCAGGTTATTTGTGGCAGTTGAGGGAAGTCGGTTTATGTACTTATTAACTGGTTTCGTTTCTAATCCCCATGCATATGAAAGGCATGTGGCACCTTCATACAGTGGTAAACGCTCAAGACCTTGCATGTAATTACCTAGGTATTAAACACAATATACTACGTATCGCCCCTCGACCCACCACGGTCATCTCAAGCATTTCCTGAAACCCTGACTGCCAAAGTGAGTTATTCGCTCACTGTTCTTAGTCTGTAATCGGTAATATTTCTGTCTGATTGCCTTCGTTTATGTCGAGTGGATGCCGGATGTTATGATTTGGCTCCAAGCCGCATATCGAGTGACGCCGTGTAAACAATTTCGCAAGGTAATGATTGTACTAAGTCAACTGGTCTTTTCGTATCTAACCCATTTTACGTCGCTGTATCACTGGCATTTTCTAGGATAATTAATAGCTGCCATCGGTCGCGAGTCATACTGGACTGACGGACCGATACGTCTAGCTTGACTAAGTTGCTGGTGGAGTCGAGCCGGTCTCGTGAGGTGATGAGAAGCCCCTGATAGCCGGCATCACGATGTCAGTCATCCACCGAAGGTCCACAATAGATAACCACAAGCTGCGTCCCAGATATTTTGCATGCTGCGAATCAATATCCATGAAAATATGTTGAGATTTCCAGTAGATGTTGGAAGAGGCATGACTCGTTCATGAGAACTAGTGCTGTATATTTACTTTTCGTCCCTGGTCTTCGCTGGCAACGATACCTGTCTCGGTCTCGCTCAGCGCCCAAAACGGATTCTTTCGACGTTTCTTCATCAGACGGCCGAGAGATCATGGTTGCGGATTCTACTAACATGGCTACGCCCGATCAAGCCGCGGGCTATCCGAGTGATGGGAAGAGGCACGTGGAAACGACCGTCTTGTATTTCAGCGGTGACCCCAAAGTACAGCTCGAGCCAACGATCATCGGAGGGTAACGACTCTTCCCTAATAACACGCAGTCTGCGCAGCCACTGATAGGAGTCGAACAGTCCAAAACCACCCAACTTGACGCCTAAAATTCCTTCGCCCGTTTTCATTACGGATGTCACGGGAGATGAAGACAGGTACTCGCTCGAGGCCCAAGGCTTCCAATTTGTCAAGCACAAGACCAAGTTCGAAAAGGACCTTCCGGAACTGAAGAGCCGATACAAGGCAGCGGAGGAACTGGATGAGATTACGGCTGGTTATTACGAGGAGATGAAAGAAATCCTGGCGCAAACATTAGCCAGTAACAAGAAATAGTGAGTTCCCATTGCTTTAACTAGAGCTCCAGATCACTGACATTGTCACAGCCCAAAGCCATCCAGCATACACATATTAACCCACATCATCCGAGCCGGTCCTAAAGATGGCGAAGGCGACCGAGGGCCAGCAGGACCTCTGTATGGAGTCCATGTCGATCAGTCTGCATGGGCTGCGGAAGGAGTGGCGGAGAGATGGCTAGGAGACCAAGCAGCAGATCTCCTCAAAAAGCCGCGTTTCCAGATCATCAACGTGAGCAAACCCTTGAGAAGAGCAACCTGTAACCCGAGGCACATATTTGGCTGACAAAAAATGACCAGATGTGGCGACCTTGCAAACCAATTACCCGAGACCCTTTTGCTGTCTCCGACGCCACGTCAATCCCGGATGAGCACATTATTAAGGTGCCACTGATTTTCCCTGACCACACGGCTGAGGCACTGGAGGTTTGCCCTTCACCGGATCCACAGAAGCCGCACCGTTACTACTACAAGTTCAACCAGCACCCGGATGATGTGCTGTTTTTCATTCAGGTCGATTCCAGCAAGCAGCCAGGCGTGCCAAGACGTTGCCCGCACGTTGCGTTCAAGGACCCGAACTTGGATGAGTCCAAGGGCGAACCAAGAGTCAGCATTGAGACAAGAGCAATGGTCTTCTATGACCAAGACGAGGCATGATCACTGACATACTCTGGAATGTGTGGCCAGCAAATGGGAAATAGCCAAATTCGTGCAGTGTAGGCAAGCGCGTCAAATATTTGCAGGATTTTCGAAGCGATTATTTCCACTTTCTGCCGTATACAGCTAGCCCTTGTCCATTTATGCGCAAGGTCAATAATAAGTGGTTCCCAATGTCACCAGTAAGCACATCAGGCATCACGTCTATCACTCTCGGCGTGAGCAGGGGATCGTCGAAGAGATACCCCGCCTTCATTCCTGGTTTCTGACAACCTGGCATTATTTTGCTCCAAGTCTTGCTGTCGATGTTCGTCGAGAAACCGCTGTATGAGGACGACTAGAGTTTTGCAATTATACAACGACAATCCTGGCAGAATCAGAAAGCAAAAGGCTCACCAAAATGCCTGTCGATAACGCCCAATACGAGAAGGTGGTGGGGACATACGACAGTATACTCGGAACTGCTGTTCGCCGCTGTGACACAGTGAACATACTCCATTCCGTGGGCTCGGTTGAAGGCAAGAACGTTCTCGATCTTGCAACGGGCACTGGCTATTTCGCGCGAGCTTTATCCAAGAAGGGCGCCAAGGATGTCGTTGGGGTCGATATCAGCGAGGGCATGCTCGATATAGCTCGCAAGTTGACCGAAAGTGACGCTTCCGTACCAGAGGGCATTTTGGACTTCGAATTAGCGGATGTTTTCAAGCCGCTCAATCTTCTCAACTGCCCTGAGGCGAGCCGTGACGTGATCACGGGTGCTTGGTGCCTTAACTATGCCGGCAACCAGGTCATGATGGATCAAGCTTTGCAGAACATTGCCAAGTACCTCAAGCCGGGAGGGAGGTTCGTGGGTCTCATCCCAAGCACTTTTTCCTCGTGGCTTAAGGATGATGAGAGATTTTTTGACTTCTCAATCAAGAGGCTCGAATCGGTCGAGGGCGGGCACATGTGCAGGCTCACCTTGCATGCCAAGGAGCAGCCTGTCTCTTTTAATGCGTATGTGCTGGAGCATTCTCTTTTTGAAAAGGGTGCGAAATCCGCTGGGCTGGTGAATATCACTTTCGCAGACCCTAGCGTTCTCCCGGAATTTGAAGGAGCTGAAGACGGAGAGTACTGGAACAGCTTCTTGGCCCGTCCCCTATTCACTGTCATGACAGCGACAAAGCCTGGGCTGAACTGAGCTGAGCATGGTCACCTATATAATTCTTAGGTCTTCAAACGCATCTGCACCTCCAGTTGTCTTTCAGAATACTGATATACAGTTTCATCATTTTCACCACCCTGGGCATTTAACCAGATTGTGAGATGAGCCAGTCTTGCAGTCTGTTATGTTACAGCATCTTGCTTGACGTACTAACTACTGATCTAGCGCCGATAATTTGAACTATAATCAGGATCCCCAGCCAGTTCTCTTAATCTATCAGTCCCACCTCCCCCGGGGGACAGGAAATTAGGGTATCCCACGAACTGGGGGCTCCGTTGGGGTCCAGCCCTAAAGAAGCGCGATGTCTCCTGCCCAGGTCCGTAAGACATGCTGGTATCCAGATCTGGCCTACTAGAAAATGTTTCCTGCCGCCCAAGATCATACATCTCCTCCTTCCCGACCCTGTCGAATGTCTTGGGTCGCGCGGTCTCGTACATATTGTCGAGGTCGTGGAGCATGCGATCGTCGCTTATGCCTTGCAGCATGTCCTTTGTGTATCGTCGTCTGCGCTGCCACATGTATACTGCCCAGATGGCCACGGCCATGGCACCTAACCCGCCTGCCACAGAGACGCCGATCATAGCAGGCACTGGGAACCCACCGTTTTCCCCCTTGGAGTCGTCCTGATCCTCTGCGCCAGCAGCTTGAGCCGTGTTGATGTCGGCGTTACTCGGCGCGGCGGCTGTCACTGTCTCCGTTGGCAACGGTATTGGGGCAAGGCTCGCGAAACTGCTGGCTGTCTCGAGGTCCCCGGTTGGCGATGCTTCTCCTGATATGGTCTGAGTTCCCGAAAGACTTGGTGGGTCTGCAGCCGAAGAACTCAGGGAACCTGTTTCTGTAGGCTGCGAAGATGTTGATGAGGCGACCGCACCAGGAACGATGTCACTGCTCTGCCAGACGATCTGGAACATTGGCGCGAGGAGCGTCACAGCTATGGCAGTCTGCCTTGGGAGGATTACGTTGTCTCTAGAGCCACAGTCGGTTGTTGGTACTTCCAGTAATGTTGTAGTCTGTATACAGGTCTGTCCACCAAGATTGTCGCAGCCATATCCGCTGATAGAAGTCAGTATCCCATGCTACTGTCAAAGGGGTCGCCCTTACTTACTTGGGACAGCAGCCCACGGCAGTCTCACTTGCAGACAAAGTGTATTGCAACGACCAGTCTTTCGGGCCTAGCAGGCCTCCAGTGGCAGAACACGCGCTGGTATGACCTGCAGGACATACTATTCCAGGCGAGTAGAAGCCCCATCCAGGAGAATCTGTCAAAGGGCCAGAAACACCGGCGGTTGCTGTCGGCCAGCAAGCGGTGTCAACAGCACCAGTCCCTGCTCCACAAACTTCTGCTAGGCGGCCAAGTAACGCATCTCCACTAACCTGGGCAACGGCCGTAGTACACTCTGGTGGCTGAGTGAAGGTCGCGGTGAGAGGGCCCAGAATTGTACGGTCCTGACCAGTAATTGGCCCCAGCGTAGAGGAGCCACCCAGAAGGCTCCCAAGTCCATCTATGAGGCCAGGAGACATTGTATTGAAGATTATGCACGATCCTGTGTACCAAGAATGGTCCGGGAATGCACTGCATTCCAACTGAAAGAATTATGAACAAAGCGTTCTCAATATTTCTGGAATGTCAAGTTCGAGGACAGGAGCGTGGGCAATCGAAGGGAGGAAAACAGAAGGCCTCCCTCTTTCTCCGTTCCCTTCTCTTCCTTCCCACTCCTCTGCAACCTTAAAGGCGAAGGACAAAAGAGCCCCTGATCTCGCCAACACGTCGATCACAGCAATCTTGTTCTCGAGTGACGTCGTGATTTGTTCCACCCGTCAATTGTCCACCACGGCGCTGTTTCAAACCGAATCACAGAGTTCTTCTTCCGGGGGTCCAGCAAGCAAAGATCGACGGGATTGACAGTGCCGATCGTCGACCAGCCGGCTGGTTTTCCAACGTGATTGGCCCGTTCCGCGGAAGCATCTCAGCCCCTGAAAATCCCAAGTGACATGGCTCTTTGGGGTTTAAGCGTCAGGCTCGGTATTGGCCTCCAGGGTTTCTCTGGTCAAACATTGCGCTGTTTCAATCACAGATCAGCTGCCCAGCTTGTGAGGGCGCAACCGCTGTCGGACCCTGAGCCCGAGGTGTGGCGAGGACGATGGGCAAAAGGTTCACGGCTGGCGATTGGCTGTCTCATCCTCTATGGACTGCCAGCTGCAACATGTATTGAGGTACAACCTTCTCAATTCATCGAAAATTCGCGGTCAGCAAAATATGCACGCCAAGTTTAACAATTTCCAGGAAATGTCGAGGAGCTTTATGCGTTGGTGCTGCTTTTGATATCACTTAGCATGATCGTCTCAGAGCCTGATTGCACAATGACTTTGTGCTTCAAAAGAAAGAAGCAGAATCTCCGGGGGCTTGGTTGCTTTTTTGCGATATGGTTCAACACAGAACGACTCCACCGTATCAACGCATCGGTTTTCTGATTCTCGCCATGTCTTGTGGGTCACGGCGTCGGCTACCCGGCATGCATGCAGAAAGAAGCATCGGTTGAGGTGAGGGGTCTGCAACGTGCCATCGACCGGGTGTCGCCTCCGTGGAGAAGCACCATCAGCAGCTGTCGAGTGGAACATAAACGCCAGTGCAAAGAGGCAGCTCTGCTCGGTTCTTCCATCATGGTTACGGGCAAGATTTGGAGAAGTTCGGGTCTTTCAGCGCGGGGCCCCGGTGGAAGCAACTGTGCAGTGCAACCTGAGTTGCATGGAGACCGGCAGCCTGCGTTGGACATCACGATCTCGGCAAAGCTAGTTATTGAATGGCATGACCTGCTCTCGCCATGAAGGTCGAGAATGCGGGGAAGCGCAGATCCCATGGAAAGGCGTTGCATGGTCATTGTTGCGGCCTAGGAGATTGCACCGCCAGGTTCACGCCGGTCTACAGGTGTGGGTTGATGTGAACCGTTCTAGAATGCTCAAGATTTTCAATTGTGATGACAGCTCTAAGACCGCCAGAGCCAAGATAATACCTAGGTAGCTATCGTCGTCTCAATTGTTTGATGGCAAAGAGCAATACATACAATATGAAACGCTTTCTACCAAGGAGCGGGACTTGTGTGGCCGTGGCTCTGTTGTCATGGCACGGCCGTGCACAGGTGGACTACTCGCAATTTGTAAATCCCCTCATCGGAGGCAGCGGGCCTCGTGAAGGTCAAGCCTGTGAGCACAGCGCTACATGATCCTAATACGCTTGCCTCAGCTAACTTGCGCTCTTACAAGATGGTGGTGGCGATATTTTTGTCGGTGCTGCTGTCCCTTTCGGCGTCGTCAAAGTCGGCATCGATACGTGGGAAGGCTTTGGTAAGGAGTCGGTCACCAATGGTGGATGGACACCAAAGGGCAATGTCACGGCCGTCACAATGCTTCATGAGAGTGGAACAGGTGGGGCCCCAAAATATGGGATCATCCCACAGATGCCGTTAACAACTGTTGACTCTCCTGTTAATGTCCTCGACAACCGAACTTACTTCCAACGCAGGGTGGTTGAGGACACAGCACGTGTGGGGTACTATAGCACCGAGCTATTGAATGGAGTCCAGATAGAACTTGGCGCCTCAAGACACGCTGGTTTTATGCAACACTCTTTCCCCGAAGGACAGAAACATATCCTGGTTGATCTCTCTCACTACCTGCCTTACGAAGCTGGAGGCTACACTAGCCAGGTGTATCTTGCTGGCCATATCGATATCACTGGATCTGAGTATCGTGGCTTTGCAACATACGGCGCCGGCTGGAACGAAGGTGCACCGTACACTGTCCACTTCTGTGGCTCGTTCGAGTCGACTCCTTCTCAGATTAACACCTTTAGGGGGAGGAATACGGATCCGATGGTCAGGTATTATCGATCTCTCACAAAATTCACAGCGGTGTCGGCTCTAGTTTTCTGATCATCAAGTTCGTCACAGATACCACACATACAGTGGCGAGGCTATACCCCAAGCTGTGTTCAGCAACAGCACTGCTCAATTTTCTGCTACAAATGGGGGCTCTGATTATCTAGGAGCAATTAATGACCGCATAGGGGCAATCTTTACATTCGAGGATGGCGTGGCCAGCACAGTGAAATCTCGTGTCGGTGTTTCCTTCACCTCGGTCGAGCAAGCATGCAACTATAGAGACAGTGAAATCCCGACCTGGTCACTTAACGACGTTGTGGACGCCGCGGTCAAGGAATGGAATGAGGACGTGTTCAGTAGGATCCAGGTCGACACAGATCAAGAGACCTCGAACATCACCAACGTTCGACTACTGTACTCATCCCTTTATTTTATGCATCTCATGCCCAGCGATAGCACAGGCGATAATCCACTGTGGCAGTCCGAGGAGCCGTACTGGGATGACTTCTACACAATGTGGGATATCTTTCGCTGCACGGTCAGCCTTTATCACTTGATCCAGCCCGCAAGATACACCAGCATGATTCGGGCCTTGATTGACATCTGGCGGTTTGAGGGATTCTTGCCCGATGGCAGGAGCGGGAACTATAACGGCCTGACGCAAGGTGGGAGCAACGCCGACAACGTGCTTGCGGATGCATACGTCAAGGGTTTGGGAAGAAATACCGATGATCCATCGATGACAATCAACTGGACAGCAGGGTATCTAGCAATGGTCAAGGACGCCGAGGTACAGCCATACAATACGTTCAGCCCCTTGGATCAGACTGGCAGTGTCAAAGAAGGCCGTGGATCACTTTACGACTGGATCCCACTAGGCTACGTCTCTAACAACAGCACGAGATCCGTGTCGAAGACGGTTGAGTATGCGTTGAATGATTACGCACTAAGCGTGGTGGCTGCCGGCGAAGGCACGCAATCTGAAGTCGACAAGTATCTGAAACGCTCTGCGGGGTGGCAGAATCTCTGGAACCATGACATTGTCCACGCAGGTTTCACAGGCTTCTTGGCCCCTAAGGATGATCAAGGGAAGTGGGTTTCTCCAGAGACATACAACCCAGCCGTGTGCGGTGGATGCGAATGGGACTCTATCAGCTACGAGGCTACTCCTTTTGAGTACAGTTTTGTAGTCCCGCACGACGTCCAGACACTCATCGAGTCAATGGGAGGGGCGTCAGAATTCGAGCGCAGGCTTGACTACATTGTAAGCTTTATTGGTCTCGCAGTCCTTTGGTGGGCACACCGGCTAATGTTGTCGCGCAACCAAACAGTTCATGCCGAATACCTCCGAACAAGACCTGCAAGAAAATGGTGCTGGGATTACCACTATCATGAACATCGGGTATGTGTTGAGACGACTTGGAATGTGTCCTGTCCTTGGTTTCGTTAACAGAAATATCAGCAACGAGCCTGATTTTGCAACTCCATATCTCTACAACTATTTGAATAAGCAGCACAAATCAGTCAACGAATCCCGAGCCCTGGCAAATCAGTTCTTCCATGACGAGCTGTACGGTGTGCCTGGGAACTCAGATGCAGGCGCGCTCAACTCGTGGCTCATCTGGCAGATGCTTGGACTGTATCCTATTGTCACCCAGCCTGTTTATCTGTTGGAGTCTCCTTGGTTCACTGATATCAACATGACGATCAACGCCAATAAGACGCTCCGGATCACAAGTAATGGTGACAACATATCTCTGGGGCAGAGCGGGTACTTCGTTGAGTCCGTGGCGATCAACGGGGAGGTCTGGGATCGCAATTGGTTCAACCACGAGGACATCATGATCGAAGGCGGCACAATTGAGTTCACCGTCGGGAACGCCGGGCAGGTTTGGGAGACTGGGGGTGTGCCTCCGAGCCCGGGACGCACAAGTGCTGATAGGGCTTGACCCCGAGGTCATTATGAATCTGGATCGTCAACGCCTCGGATGACTTGTCACTGACGAGAAGGGGTGCGCGGCCTGCAAACCTGTGCTCGATTTGGTCGGTGTGCGGACGCCACATCGCAATCATAATCAGCCATTTCCTTGATAGTGCATCCGGCCGCATTTTACTTCACCGGTGCAGCTCATGCTTGGGAATCAACAAAACGCCTTCCCGAGGCTCAAAGGCTGAGCTGGCTCCAACCACTGGTTGACTGATCTACGTGTGTGTTCAGCTGCTCGCTCTAAAATGTCCGCGTTGCCTTCACTGTCTAGTCCAAGTAGAAGGCCAGGGGAGCATTCCGAATGGCCGCCCCCCATCTCCTCATCTGACATCATCGTAGCGGCAAGGCGTTTTGTGTGTAGTTACCTAGGTATGGAGAAGATCGCCGTACCTAGGTAGTCACGAAATCCCCCCGAATGATTGTGTAAAGGTTGCCTAGGTAGCATAGCCTTGGATTCCAGCTCGGGATTGAGAGGCAGCCCATGCCATCGGTCGATTCTAAATCAGTGTGCTTGGAGCCGAAAGAGTTACCAAAGGACCGCCTATGAATAGAATCGAGCACGCGCTCCGCAATGGAGATACGCACCGCGTCTCCTGACGGCTAATTAATACTCCAAATCTCGGTTTATGTTTCAGTGCATGCATGCAGTGCTATTTTGCGATCAGGTTTCGGTAACAAACGACCAAACACTACTGGATGGCCCACAGCGGTGACACGGTGACACAAGTCATATTGTCCCGTCTGTCTGACCGGAAAGCGGTCGCTTGAGCAAGCGAAGGTTGGCTGACACGCAGCACGCACGATTTCTGAAGTGATGTTGCATGATTATCCGATAATGGTGCAGAGTTAGCTCCATGCAGGTTAAATAGTGCCAATTCCGGCGCCCAGACCGCTACGGAAATGTTGAGACGGACCTTGGGAGAGCTGCTCCTAGATATCGAGATGTGACTAGCTGTTCAAATCTGAACCTTGGAATGCAGCCTTCGGATTGTGTACGGAAGAGCAATTGTGGGCGGCCACGTGGAGAATGAATGTTTCCATCAAGGCAGGCCCGTCTGTTGGATTGAGATACTGTAGAATCTCCGTACATTACACTCGCTCTGTCATATTAAGGAATGGACCGCGTATCCAGATTCGTGACACCTCTCCGGGTCTCAGGGCCCTCGCCGAGACTTCAGCACTTTGAGAATGACCTCGGTGACTTCCTCAGGCACGCTCATGAACGCATTGTGCCCCCCATTGCACCGGAAAACCCGGACATCAACCCCCTCACCTCTCAGCTTCTCAATAGCCATCTCCTGGAACTGGGGCAGCATGGCGGTGTCGCCCTCGCAGACCAGGTAGCTTGTGGGGATCGTCCTGAAGGCCGCCATGCCGGGCGCACAGTTGACGGGGGCGAACTGGGCCTCCACCTGGTGGGCCACGAGCATCCCCACCGCCTTCTTGGTCTCCTCGGGTGACAGGTCGTTGTAGAAGAAATACTCTGGGTTGTCCATCTGCAGCGTACCGTCGGGCTGCGGGTGAAACATCGGAGGCAACACGCCGCCGAATATGCTCGCCATGGACTGGCCCTCGCTGGGGGGACATGTGGTCACGTAGAGGAGGTCCACGACCCCGCCCTTGACTGTGTCACCATCACTATCCACAGGGAAGGCCAGCTCGCCCAGGGCGGCGGTTGACACGGCGCCGCCGTAAGAGTGGGCGACGACGGTGAGGCGGGTGCCCTTTGCAGCCTCAGACGCCGCGAGGTCCCGGATGAGCCGGACGTCGTCCTCAAAGGTCTTGTTGGGGGGCACGGCGTTGTTGTTTGTTGGGAGAGTGGGGCAGACAGTCCGGATGCCTCTCGACTCGAGGCTGTCGATCAGTTTGCGATAGTGACTCGGGACGTGCCAGGCGCCGGTGACCAAGAGCACGGCATCATTTGCTCGTTTGCGATCCATTTCTTACGCGGCACAATGGGTGGGAACATGGGTTAGAGGGGGGGACAAGGCAAAACGTCCATGTGAAATCAGATGTCTGGCTATCTACCCTCTATTAATATTGTGCGCCAAAGTTGTACGGTCTGGAGAGGGGCCAAACCCAGGGGTCGAAAAAGTCTTTTTCTCCCATGTACCGCACATTAAAGTGCATGCTGGACAACCCCGCCTACAACCCCCCTGCCAATAGATGGAGTGATACACAGCAGAAAGCTGGGGTCGTGATTGGGAGGCGGGAGTGATTCATGTGGAAATCTGCTTTGCGACGGTAAGCACTGGCTGTCGAGATCCTGTCTCGATTGCCGACAGGAATGGCCAGTGGTACATGTACACCTGCAAGGGCTCTTGTTGCATGATATAAGACAAGAAAGTGAAAAGTGACCTTGACAAGAGCCAACGCCTGACCTGTCGGAGTCTCACTAGCTCCTGCAGGAGCGGCCCGCGATCACACCCAGCCATGGGGCCTCTAGGGATCCAGAAGCCCTCCCCCCCCTCACGAAGGGCGGCGATCAGAGCTTACTAGATTGTAGAAACTCAGTCCGTGTCCGCGAGTCGTCCGTGCCGTACAGATACGAGTGTTGGTTCTAACGGCCAACATTCGACCAACATTCAACCAACAGCACTGGCATTGGCGAACCAACAAGTTTGAGCATGACCAACATGAACACAAGGGACCGCCAACGAATCTGATTTGTGATCACACCCAAATATATTGAAAACTGCCTATCCCACAAGACCGTGACTTGCTAATTGTCGGCGTGGCCTCACCGTTTCGAACATGCTGAATCGCAGTCTCTACTGTGAATTTTTCTTCCTTTTTATGCACGCTTGCAGCCATGTTCTGCGGTACATTTTGCCATTGTCGAAGTCATCCAAACTGACCGCCGCAGCGGAAGTGGTATGATGATTTGGTCGGGTCAAGCGAGTCGAGTGGGGCCCTGATAGGAGATTAGACGAGTGCGAGTAGGCGAACCAAAGGAGAACTAAGCATCAAACTCAAACCGACTTGTAAACCTACGCTGACTATTTGTGAATGTTAGCATGCCATCTAAGAAGTCGCCGGGCTTGGGGATGACATACGTTTGAGACTGTAACTCGTGGACGCGTTCGGCGAAATTCTTGGTGCACCCGAGACACTCGAGGATGCGCTCTGCGTACTCGAGACAATCGGGCTGGTACAAGCAGGTCCTGCAGGGATTTGAGCAGCAGGGTCATTGACGGAAACATCCGGACCCGGGGAAGGAAACTTAGTATCAACTCCCTCTGTGTTCTTGCAGCCGTTGATGTTGGCGACGAAAATACCGGGCCTATCAGCAAAGGAAGTCGGTTGTGTTCCCGCTTGCCCACCTGATATAGTTACCACGGCACAGTTCATGTACATCTCCCGGTTTCCTATCTTGTTGAACCACGTCCAGGCGAACACGGCCTGATTTGACGAGGTGGTGTCAGAGGGCAGCGTGAAGGAAAATGAGCTGGATGCTGCGCCGCTGACTGGGCAGCCGCCTTCCCAAGAATGAATGACGTGAAATGTTGCTCCAGCATCTGTTGATATGGCAGCCTGGCAGGAACCTCCGTCGTGCGTAGACCCTCCTTCGAGTGTCATGTTGTAGGTCTGTCCGGCTATCCAGTTGGCGACCGGCATTCCCTCTGGTGTCCCCAGAAGCTTGAGACTACCCTTGCACGGATAGTCTGATCCATCTTGTTTCAAAGGGTTTGTGAGAGAGTAGTCAGCGTCGTTTCCGGAATATGGGTTGCCTCTCCACCGTAGGGCCGGGGGATAGGAGAGGATCATGTGGGGGAAAGCTGTGCCAAAGAGGCATGCGAACAATAACAACAGCATAATTGCAAAGATCACGAAGCGCGAAAGACAAGGATTCTCGCCTTTCGTGTAAATCTGGGTTCGCCACTGTATGTCTGAAAAGTTTTAACTAGAGGAACGGGACATAGTCGGTTGCACCTGGGCAGCGCCCTGGCGAGGTTATAAAACCCAAAGTGAACACGGTCACAGCTGAAAGTGACAAACAGAAACTCGCAAAGCACATCATTCCCGTCATCCAATATTAAATTTCGTGTGAATAATTGATCACGTACGAAGTTGCCGTTGCCCGTCATACGACATCGGGAGACACCCGTCTCAGTGCCACTTGCTGCCATTGGGGACGGTCAAACAGACCCTTTCATTCCGCTGCGAATGTATCCAGATACAGGAAACCGAAGTGTGCGACGTTTTCCAGCCTAAATTAAATCCAAGAAGAAGTCAGATACTGTCTTACGGAGGTGGGAATTGTAGCGAGCCCATGAGCACTCGTGGACTGATCTACCTAAATGTGCTGGCTCCATAAGATGCTAAGGATGAAACCGCACAGCGAAAGAGTCAGTGCAGCTTTTGGAATCATGTGTACGATAGAGCCTGCGCTGCAAATTGCGCTTCTGAAAGACTCGCGAAGCTACGGGCGAAGGCGCTGGGCGTCCAAGCCTACTCGCGCCCAGTCGCCGACGACCTGACATGCCAGCAGAAGGTATGTCAAGAGGCGAACGTAAGAGTCAATTTCCCGAGATAGAAATCAAAAGATTCTGAGTGGATGTAATCACGCTCTTCCACGTACCTCTTACACTGTCGTCGGCATTGCGTCTTTGTTTTCGTTCTCTCCCAGTTTTAAATAGAGATCGAGGATTCGCACCCACCAAAACGGATGATACACCCATACCAGGGAACTCGGAGATCAAAGTGCTTAGTTGAGCATTAAGCCACAAGTAATTATCTCATGAGTTTATCCTACAAGATATTTTCCTATAGGAGGTTATCCAAAAGGAGGTTATCCCATAAGAGGTTATCCTGTGAGAGGTTATCCCTTGGGGCTTGGGTATACCCTCCGTTTTGGTGGGTGTAAATATCCAATCTCTACAACTTGGGATGTATACGGATTAAGACCGAAACGACTTGCTTAGGTATATAGAGTCAGGCAGCTCCTTCTGAAATTCATTCTGGCAAGTGAAGCAACAACTGCATTACGGACAATTGGATTCGTTGCACCCCAAACACAATTTTGTTTTCTCGACATATGCATTGCTCGTTCGCTTCCAAATATCGGCATTATTCCATGTTTAATGTCATCTCTCTCATCCGAAATCCCATCCCATCCCATAGCTCTGAGTTGTCTTGTTCTATTAATTGATCCCCTTCAGGTGCTGTCATCAAATCTGACACGCTCGCTTACACTAATCATCCACAATGGCAGATATCCAAGCTTGCTTGCGAACATTGTTGAATGAGGGAAATCTGATGCTCTGTTGTGTAGGGTTATTTAAACGTGAGTATAGTGTGCTACCCGGATTCTGAGATTATTTTCCACAATACCAGTACTTGGGAATAGGTGTCTCTAGCTTCCGCTCACAGTTCACTCAAGCTTCATATTGAAACCGGAACTGAGGACTATACATCGACCGAACCAACCGCGGCTCAGTAATCCTGCAGGCTTTGAGTATACCTGCGCCTGCGCCTTCCTATTCACAGCATCACACGATCCCAATTCACCCTCAGACAATAAGTTCATAATCATAGCTAGATGCAAGAGCTCCCGGGTCAACACCACCTACCTAGGTAGTAAAGGCGATGTTGGTAGTCGGCACGACCGGCGGTCAAAGCATCAATTGATGCAATCAAACTGGCTGGGGTTGAATTGCATGACAGTGTACCTACCGTACTGGTAAATAGGGGGGATCCGCAAGCATTGCGGCCCTCTGCAAGCGTTGCGTATACCGCAAGACTTGCGCCTATTGCAAGAGTAATCCCCTTCCGTAAGAGTTAGAGAATTAAGGTGTAGAAGTTATGTGAGAAGATTTTGGTGATCTAAGAGTTGTTTTACCTGCCTAGGTGTGGAGGATGGCCGAGAAGGATTCTTCTTTTGGAGTGATTTTGAGGGTTTTTTTTTGTTCTTTAAGTTGTTTTGTCTTCGCCTTTGCCTTCACCTTTGCCTTTATCTTTGTCTTTGTCTTCGTCTCCCTCTTCTTTGTGACTGCCTCTTTGTGACTGCCTTACCTATCTGGTACGTACTTCTCTCCTTAAAAAATTGATTACGTGACTTTTACACCTTAATCCTCTAAGTCTTACGGAAGGGCAACCCTTGTGGTTACCGTAAGTCTTGCGCTGAGGATATGTCTTAAAAATGAGGTAAGCCTTGTGGGCCCCCGCAACTCTTGCGGGCTGCCTGCAGGCACCGGTACGGTAAGTAGGTAGTTAGCGCCCGCCCTACTTGCCACGGGTCAGTTACTATATTACCCAGGCGACTTGACACACGCCTTATAACGCCGACTAATTAATCAAACCAGCTGAATAAATGCGAGGGAGAGCGCACCTGGGCGTTTTCGCGGTCAAGGAGCGACAGTCCAAGGCAGACAACTTAACATATGAGTGTAACAAGGCCCTCGAGCAGCTCCTCAGTATGTGAGCCGACAGAGGTTATGACTTTGTTAAGCAGTGAACCTGAAACTAATAATTCTGGGCTTCCTGTATGCTCGAGGTCACTATAAGTCTGAAGCAACCACAACCTGGCCCGGCTGTTACAAGAGACGCCTTCGCCGCTTCGTTTCTTTTCTGTCAGACATTCTACAGCCTGAGGGACATTCTGCTCTGATAATACAACCGGGTCATGTTTTGCTGCTTCTCATGTGAAGGCTAGTCACCGTTGGTGTCACCAGGGAGAAGGCAATTTTCAGGAAGAGTAGCATTGGTGCTATAGAGAGCCAAGCCTTCGGGGCATCATACCTAGGTATTGCCATTGAGAATGTAGGGACGGCAATTGCGCGCGGCTGGCTGAGGAGGGAAAGTATCTCTACAACTCGCTTACGAATGAGCAACATGCTCAGGAATCGGCCGAGGCGCACCTGTAGACGTCACTGGTGCTCACCACCCTATGGAAGAGGTGATGGAAGACCGAATGCTGGAGCAAGGCAGATGCAATGGAAATGGAGCCCTGGAATCGTTTGTTTAGGCCAAACGCTGTTCCTGGTCATTCTTAATGCAGAGAAGTTCTCGTCTAGTTTTACCTTCTGTATTCGAATGAAATAAATCTGGTCGAACTGCTCAATTGTCCTGATGTCGAGCAAGAATACATCGCTTTAACTACCTGTCCCAGTGTCACATTGACGACGATCCTGCTCTCATTAGCATTTGACTTGTTCTCTAAAGCAGAGCTGAACTAGATAAAACCCCTCGTAAAGTATAGAGCCCATTCAAAGCAGGTGAAGATGCATAAACCAGAGTCCAGTTGCATCAATGGGGAGATGTGATGATGAAGAAGGCAGCTGTATGGATGTGCCTAGGTACTTAAGTACCTACTTAAGTAGGTATCCAGGTAGGTGAGGAGGCTAGCTTAGCTGCTGCCTTTGCCACACAAGGTACAACCCCCTTGTACCTTTTGTCACCAACTTGAACTACTTCCTGCGCCACAGCCGTCCCGCGCACGGTTCACCTTCTGGCACGCACCACCACCACCACCGCCACAATGCCTTCACGTCGAAGGCTAGAGTGGGAGTTTCCCACCTTGGTAGAGGGCGTCAACCCTCTTACCAGCCGCCTAAACACCTCGCCGTCGCCGTCGCCGTCGCCGCCGCCGCCCTCGCCCTCACCCTCGACCCCCGCGCCGTCCGTCGCCTCCTACGAGTCCGAGGAGGACATTTTCCCTTTTGAAATGGACTCCCCCGCTCCCGCCGTCGCCGCCGCGGCGTCGCTGTCTCCGCCGTCGGAGCAGCTCAAGAAGGCGAAGAAGAGGAAGGTCTTGCTGATGGGCAAGAGTGGCTCTGGAAAGAGCAGCATGAGAAGTATCATCTTCTCAAACTTCCTGGCTGTCGACACCAGGCGCCTGTAAGTATTCAAGACTCTCAATCTCGCTCTGCCCTCACTCTATTTTTACCGTCTCCTTGCCTCATTTCACCTTGGCAACCACTGTTCTCACTCAAGTTCGCGCCTGCGACCGTACCTTGCACAAAACTCACACAATTCTTGCCCATAATGCCGCTTGTTTTGTGTTTTGCAATCTCAATTTGAGATCGCTTCGCGTGCCCCTCACTTGCGATGAGTCACTGCTGACTGGTCGACTCGTACAGCGGCGCGACGATTGACGTCGACCTGTCGCACGTCAAGTTCCTCGGCAACCTGACCCTGAACCTGTGGGACTGTGGAGGCCAAGAGGCCTTCATGGAGAACTACATCAACCAGCAGCGCGCGCACGTCTTCAGCCATGTCGGCGTGCTCATCTACGTCTTCGACATCGAGAGTCGTGATGTCGATCGGGACCTCGCTACTTACGTGTCCATCGTCTCCGCACTCGCCCAGTACTCCCCGGCTGCGAAGGTCTTCGTCCTGGTCCACAAGATGGACCTCATCATGCCGAACATGAAGGAGTCGGTCTTCAACGAGCGCGTCCGTCTCGTCCGTAGCAAGACCTCTGAGGCCCTGCAGAACATTGCCGGCCTGGTCGGTCCTGCCCGGCTGGACATCCAGCCCTTCGCCACGTCCATCTGGGACCAGTCTCTCTACAAGGCTTGGTCCTCTATCATCCACGACCTCGTCCCCAACCTTTCCTTAATCGAGCAGGAGCTGGGCGCCCTGGGCAAGGCTATCGAGGCCGAGGAGATCCTCCTGTACGAGCGCACCTCGTTTCTCGTCGTCTCTTCCTGGCAGTCCGAGGAGGGCGCGCGCAACCCGCACAAGGACCGCGAGGAGCGGCTCTCCAACTTCATGAAGACTTTCAAGAACCGGCTCGCCTCGTGGACCGGCACCTCGCGCAACTCAGACCAGTTCAAGGAGATGGAGATCAGGCTCGGCACCCTCTTCCACTTCGTCATCATGACCTTCACCACCAACACCTACATCCAGCTTGTACTCCCGCCTGGCGAGGCGCGCCTCAATGCCGCGAAGCTCAACGCTCGGATCGCGTCATCGTACTTCGAGCGGCTCGACGCGCCACCGGCCAAGGATGCTAAGGGCTCCGCCGTTGGTTCTGCTAAGGGCAGTGACACTAAGGGAGTCTCTGCAGGCATGGCCGGTCTGGAAATCAGCGGTGACGAGCAAGCACACGCCCAGGACGACGACCGCGACTTCGGCGCGCAGCAGCCCAGCGGCCCATCTACCGCCCCTGCTGCCTGAGAGCACAGCTTACCTACGTCACTCACCCTCCTTCTACAGTCTCCATCATCACGAGCACTGTACTGTACATCGCACCCACCCACCCCCTTACGATCTGACGACGATCCCGAACGACCACCATTAGGTCGAAAATCGGGTCACATTTCTTCTCATTGCATGGCGTGGCATTTTCTCAGTTGGCCGGAAATCCTAACGATACCCCAGTGTTTTTGCCTTTTCATTGAGCACCCAACACGAAATCGGCGTTGACGGGTTCCCACGTTTCAGTAATCTGCACAGATCCAAACCACCTCTCTTCGGCTCAGCCTCTCCTCCTACTTTGCGAAGGACGCCACCACGGATACGCGTCGTTTCGCCTCTGCGGCGTCGCAACAGAACCGACTATGACACAGTGACAAAGGACTTTGCAGGCTTTGTTTTCACCGGGCTGCGCATTTGAGATCTTCTTTCTTCACTTGACCCTCTGCATCACCTCACCTAGTACTCGAGATCGGCCGACTTTGCATTGGACGAGGGGAACGGAGGCATGGTAGACAGAGCATTGTACTTGTACTTGTATGGGATGCTTTATGGGCCCTGTCCTCCAGGCTTTCACGCTGAGGACGGACGGGTGGGCAAACAGGACCACGGGGCCGCTTGACTACCTAGTTAGTTACTAGGTTTTAATTGATTGAATCGTGCGTTGGCTCTTCACCTTTGTGCTCATTACTAATGAGCAAATGTGACACCTGAATTTGACCTTAACTTTGACTCGCGTTCACCTGTTGCGGCAGCGTTGAGGGAGACCAAACTCCAGGGAAGCAACGGCCAGGGCTACATGTGCCCAAAGTAAGCATTAACCGGTCTCGTGTGATGGGATCCCTCTACCACAGTAAATGGTGCGGCTCAAGGTCTACGTAGCTAAGGCCACTGAATGCTTCAACGGCAGGTTTTGTGTTGGCGGTTTATGAAATGGGGAACAAGATCGGGACCAAAGCCAAAGCATTAAGAGCGAGTCCAGTGTCGAGAGGCCGCACACATGACAAGCTCAAGACTTGCATCTCTCTTCCTAGTCTCCCGTGTCTATGAGACAAAACCAATGAGCCGTGCCAATGTTTTCACGCCATAACGCCGGCATTGCTCATCATGCTGCCTGTTCCGCTGCTTTTTTCGTCCTCATTCGACCCCACACTGCCTCTGCTACCTAAGCCCACTTGACCACGGCAATACCACCCCGCTTGAAAGCGTCAACCTCTCCCAACAGCTGGCTGTGGTCTGTGTACTCCTTGGTCGGGAAAGTCGACTGGACGGTGAAAGCGCGAACGCGGGTCTCAGCCGACGCGCTGCGGGCGAACTGGTAGAGGTCGCCGACCGTGTGGGTCAGGTTGAAGCGGGCGGGCAGCCTTGAGCCGTCGGGCATCTGGAATCGAATGGCAACGCTGGGCTGGTTGGGATCAACATCTGCCAGCGCGGCAGGCGAGCCAGCAGGGGCGCTGATCGCAGGAGCAGCGGGGGTCAGCACCGAGGCTGGTGCTGCGTTGCCATCGCCGGGGACCGGGCTCCCCAGCCGGCGTCCTTGTCCTCCGAAGGGCTTGTAGATGCGCGGCAGCTGGTGCCAGTCCTCCTCGTGCTGCTGGAGGCGGACGTCACATCGCTGGCCATGCTCTACCTCCATCAGATGAAGAGGTGCGCGGCCCGTTCGGATCATCTGCAGGTCCATGGCATGCTCGGGGTCGTCATAGCGGCGCAGAGGTCCATCTTCGATAGAGAAGCCGTCGCGCCAGAGATGAAGAGTGCGTGTCACCACAGGGAGTTCCTCGGCGCTTCGCGAAGGAGCATGCGCGCCAGCTGGGTCTGGGATGGTTCGGGACTCGGTGCCCTCGCCACCCACCGTGGTTCCAGCTCCTCGGAAGTTGGACGACTGGGATGGGCCGGGGACGTCCTCGTCACTGCTGGGGGCACGCTTGGCGTTTCTGCATATTGGTTGTCAGTATTTATGCTTAAGTTCGAGAAGATGAGGAGCCCGCATAGTGAAGGTGTGCGGGACGTACGCTTTTGCCTTTGCGAGAATGTCCTTGATGACATTCTGAGGGTCTGCGGGGTTCCGTCCAGGGTCTTGAACAGCGAGGCCCGACTTCTCACCGCCAGCAAACAGATCTCTAGGTCCTCTGCGGTCAGCTGTGTCGTCCTCCTCTTCGTCGTCGTCGTCGTCATCGTGGTCGTGGCCACCTCCTCCACCACCAAGCGAGCTCAAGGTGGCGAGACCCTTCTTCTTGGCGGGTTTCTTTGAGGCGGAGCTGGAGGAGGCAAGGGCGGATTGAGGGGCAGGTCGGCCGTCGAGAGTTCTGGGGCCGCTGTACGCGGGTTCTGGCGCAGGCTGAGAAGGCCGGCTTGAACTAGGAGCAGACTCGTCCTCATCGTCGGCGAAGTAGGAACTGACGGCGGCGGAAATGTTCCAACTGCTGGCCTCAAGGTACTGCGCAGCCTGTTCAAGGATCAAGGTCAGTCTCGGAGTGATTCGTCATCGCCAGTCAAGGGCACCACCGTTCTGCACGCACACGATCGGCACTGGAGCCGGTCAGCTCGCAGAACTGCATGACAATCTCGTCGTGGTCTGCCATGTTGCTGATTGTTGTGGATGGCCAGGAGTAATAGCCGGCTCCGGTGCTGGCACAGGGTCGTTGGTCCGGGCGAAGTGTCGAGGACGCTTCCTTTCCAACTCTGTGCTTGCCTGAGCAACGGCTTGGGCGTAGACACTCTGATGAGAAGGTTGGTTGGGAAGTATGGAAGATTGTGAAGGGCAAAGTGAGAGTGGCAATCAAGCTGCCGCCGACAAAGTACCTAGAGAAAGTTCCAGAGCTTGGTTGATGCTGTAGAGACCCTGTGGCTGGCCCGCAGGCAGCTGGACTTCTGCGAGCACCACCCCGCCATCAACCCCAAACGTTCGTCCGTGGCGGCAAGCGCCCCACTATGACGAAGCTCATAGTCTGCCTAACAATAAGTGGCCGAGCAGCTTGCAAAGTACCAAGTACTCAGGCACCTGAGTGCTGCGGGAGGGCGTGTTTATCTCTTTCAGCTTCCCTGAACCAGGACTTTCAGAAATGTCTTTTTCTTCTTTCTCCCTGCTCTTGCCTTTTCCTATCCCAGAGGGCAGACCAGACAAGCCCCCCTTGTGTGCCTCGGTACCTGGGCATATCTGCCGGTACCTCTATTTGCAAGACACTTCGGAGATACTCTCTTGCATCCTGTGCATGCTGATGGTTTGAAGCAACACAACAGCTTGCATGTAGACAATGCCACGCTGTTTGGTGTGACAAATTGCCAGATGCTTCATCGGCTCGTAGAAAACAATATCTAACCCGTCATGCAACTCCGTTACCCGCTCTATCCCATCGTGTCAACTAGCAACAGGTACGTATCGGCACAAAGCGTTACATGGCTGGGAGCTAGGGCCAGGCTTGCCAGGTCCCCATCGGAGCTCACTGGCTCTCAGGCGGCCAGGCGGGCGTCACACGCCCCAGTCCCCCCAGAACGCCTGGCTGCTGACCCGCTGCCCCAGTCCAAGGTCGGCCGCCGACACAGAGAGCGTGTGAAGCATCGACACCAACGACACCGCTTGCCCTCCAGGACCTCGAATTCGAGATCAGCCTCGCCCACACGGCACACTAGCGAAAACACAAGCCTGCCTCATCTCGGCCGTCCTCGCTACAGCACTGGCCACGTTCGACCTGTCGGCGCTCGCCTGTTCTCGAAATCCCCCTCACAATGGCGTCAGAAGAACCCTCGAACCCAATGGCCGAGTCCGGCGTCACCATCCGCTCCGACAGCGAGCAGTACTCAGCAGGCGAGGATATCTCCACGTCACCGCCGTCGACAAATTCCCCCCCGCTGGTCCTGTACCAGCCGCCGACCCTTTTTGGTATCATTCGCGGCGCCGCGATCAACCTCTTCCTGCCGTTCATCAACGGCATGATGCTCGGCTTCGGCGAGCTCTTTGCACACGAGGCAGCTTTCAGGTTAGGATGGAGCGGCACAAGGGTACGTCTCTGAGCTTGGAAAGGTCTCCTCCGCTCTGGAATGCCGTGGCTAACAGTATGTCCGTTTGTCAAGGTCTTCCCACTGTCAAGGAGGCAACAACACCCTGCCGGTCCCGGCATTGAGGTCCGCGACAGGCCAAACACCCAGCCTGGTCTCGACGACCTCACCAGCCTCGAGTGACTAGCAGACCACCAGGACAGCTTCAACCCGAGACACTAGCAGGCAAGATGACTAGGTTCGGAGCGTGGATTTTGCGAGCTGGGGCCGGGCACCCGCCTGGGGTGTGGGCAGCTCTTGGGCATACGAGGACGGCGACACGCTGGCCTGGCAGTGACGGCAGTGCAAGCGGCGGCGGCAAGACCTAGACGAAGCATGTGAAGAAGCAGAGGTGGCCATGCCAGTGATATCTATCGTACGAGGAGTGTCTCGAGGATCTCGATTCTTTGTACATACGCTTCAAGCTGTCACGCGTGGTGGAGGATATACCTGATGGCATGTGGCGAGTTGCCTTGGTCCAGCTTTGCATATCCAACAGGTCTAGAGGTCTACATATAGAGGCGATTGATCATCCCGGGGGGAAACAGCGGGTCACCAATTGCTCATTGAAACCAAGCCAAGAATCTTGCGCAGGTGCTTGAACTAAGCCTTCGCCCCCGAGGCACTATGCCTTGCGTTATGCTAACATCAAATCGCACTGTTCTTGCTGCTGCAGGCAGCTCAGAGGTATGGTCGTCTGGAGCCCCCGGCCACTTACTGCGTTGTACTTCATGTGACGGTGGGTACCTGATCATGACGCAAGAAATATTTGGGTTGAAAATAGAAAGAAACAAGAACACAAACAGGATTTCCCCATGTTCTCGCTCATCTGCCAGAGTACAGATACTCAAGTAAGGTCTTTTGGGGCGAGTTGAGACCAGGAACGAGTACTCAGGTACCTAGGTACCTATCCAGACCGTCCAGTGGTCGACCCCGACACGGGAACCACTGCTGTTGCCGGCCGGGAACCCGATGTGCCGGCCTGGGCCCGGGACAGTCCAAAATTTAACGAACATCATCGTTTCGCGATTCCCGTGCGCGACACTTGCTCAGCAGAGTTCGACAGAGCTCCAGAGATCGCCATGATTCCAAGTAGGGGTATCGCGCGGCTCAGCCCGGGTCTCTCGTTCCAGAATCAGGTGCGTGCGGGCCAGCATTCCGTGTGCCAGACGGCGTGGGCGTGGAGCTGACGAGCGTTGCGCAGATATTCTCGAGGGCTCCAGGTCGCTCATTACCGCGACAGGCCATCTCAGTCGCCAGCACACGGCAGTTTGGGACGACTCTCAAGGCCAATGGCAGGCTACTGCATGGCGCCTACCCGGCCAGCATCTCCTCCGGGAGCAGAATAGGCGCTGCCACCATCCTCTCCTCCCAGTCCATCCTCTTCTCGTCGACACGACAGGCCCGCTTCGCCTCCACTGGCTCTGGCTCTGCCCCTTCACCGGCAGAGTCGGCCGCCTCCTCGACTCCTTCCGACTTTCCCTCCGACTTCTCCTCTCTCGGGGATCTCGATCTCGGCGCATCTCTCCTCAACACCCCCGAAACCATCGGCTACCTTCACAACCTCGGCCTCGACTATGGCTGGGGCCCGACAGCCTTCAGCCAATGGATCGTCGAGCACCTTCACATATGGGGCGGTCTTCCCTGGTGGGCATCCATCGTCGGCTTCGCAGCAATCGTGCGTCTCCTCCTGGCACAGCCCTCCTTGGTTGCCCAGCAGGAGAGCGTAAAGATGAACAAGTTGCGCAAGGACCCGCTGTTCAACTCGCTCCAGGAAAAGTTCACGCTGGCAATAGCAGGCGGGGTCACCATGACCCAGGCCGAGATGATGCAGCTACGCATGCAGATGAACATGATACGCGAGCGCCATGGCGTAAAGACCTGGAAGACGTTCGTGCCCATGCTGCAGATGCCCATCGCCTTCGGCATGTTCAGGCTGTGCACCGGTATGGTTAACCTGCCTGTGCCGGGCCTCGAAACTGCGGGAGCACTCTGGTTCACAGACTTGACGGCCCCTGACCCCTATATGATACTGCCGCTTGTCAGCTCCGTCATGATGTATCTCAGCATTCAGGTACGTCCCGAGTTCTCTTGTCCCCCTGGTTGGGTTGAAATTGTCAATCTAACACAGATGGCCCATAATAGCGCGGAATCCCATACATGAGCGCCCAACAAGCAGGCTTTATGAAGATCGTGCCGTTCGTTCTTGGCCCTGTCAGTTTCATCATCACTTACAAGATGGGCGCCGCCGTGCAGTTGTACTTCGCCGTCACCGCCATCTTCCAATATCTCCAGACAACTTTGTTCCACGTCGGCTGGATCCGCAAGGCCGCTGGACTTCCGCCCCTAGAGGAGTTGAAGCATAACGCGAGCGGCGGCCCGGTCCCCGGCGCTGGCTCCCCTGGATCGATGCAGTACCAGGCTCCCCGTACTATCAACACTACTGCCACAGAGGCCCCTACAGGAACGGACAATCCCGTTAAGGCGTTCAAGGAGGCGTGGGGTGGCATCAAGGAAAAGATAAATAAGCGGAACGAGAACAACGCGCAGAAGAGCACGCAGAAGACCGCTGTCGATTACGAGAAGAAGAGACTCCAGCAGGAGCACGAGCAGTTCCTCAGGAGGCGTGAGGCGGCTAGGAAGGAGGCTATGAGACACGAGAGGAAGTAGGCGTTTGCAGAAGTGAATTCAGACTCAAGACAGCACAAGCTTGGGAGCCTTACGCATAGCCCCGAGAGGTGATGGCGGGTAGGATCGCCACCAGATCTTGACACCTGCCGCTATAAGATCAGAGGAAGAAATCTCGGCAGCAGACCGGAGCGACGGCAACACTGCCTACATATGTAGAAAACCATACTCCAAAATCTATTGTACAACATCACACGGACATGCCCAAGAGATAATTACGAGACATCGATGCGAGTTCGGGGCCAACGGCCAAGTTTTCCCGCTCGTACAGCAATCAAAGGTCGAGGTCTGCTTGTTCGTCCTTGGTCTGTGTATGAAAAGACCGTCAAGCTATCTGAGAGGGCAATTTGGTATACTCTGCGTTGGTTTGTACACTGCCTTCATCAAGAGATTGACCTTCGCCTATATATCACACACCGAGGTTGAGCAGGTCCGTCGGGCTGTGGCCTGGCTACGGGGGACGCCGTGGTCCAGTCGCATCGTCACGCTCTCGAATTGCCTTTCGAGTACTGCCATGTCGCCGGAGGACTTGTACAGGTCCCATGGGAGCAGTCGGCCCATACGGCTATGGGCCGGTTCTCAGGGTGCCTTGGTGGGATCGGAATCTTGGGGACGATCACCAGCACCGCGCCTCGTTTGCTTCTGCTCGGCTTCCAGATCTTGTGGCCATCCGTCGAGGAAGGCCGCGGTATCAAAGATGTGACTAGCTGTTGGTGCGAACCTCAGGATGTCGCCTGTCCAGCCCAGTCGCTCGTTTCGCTACGGGCAGTCGGTCGGCACTGAGACAAAGCTGCCTCGCATCGACCAGACGGTGTTCTCGTGAAGATGGTTGATGGAAGCTCGGGAACAAGTGAAAGTGCCCTGCGACGAAGGTCTGAGGAGATGACGACTGTTTTGAAATCGGACCGGGACAGTTGGTCGTACCTAGGTATCCCGTGATTTCCGCATATCTGCATTCAAGGTGTTCATTCATGGACTGAAGGTACCAAGACATAAGAACATGGCATACTTGAATCTGTACCACGAGAGTCTCCACTCATAGCCCTTCTATTTGCCCTCAAAATGGAAACATTCTCAGCCTCGCTGTTCTCAAGAGCCTAGTTCCGAGTTCAACGTGCTCAAGAAACCCACCATGCCTTTGAATGACGAGTGTGTTGCCGTTATTTCCCGGGTTATCGACCATTATCTTCAGCTAGCCGACGAGGTTGTGACCGAAATTCAGCGCCTTCTCTCCTTTTGGTGTAGTGATGAGTTCTTTGGACCCAGCCTCCATGATCTGCGTTACCGGGGCCACATCTGGGGCAATGAGTTTCTGCAGAAGAGAAGCCAGTATCTTCAACCTAGCCCTTCGAAGGCGAAACGGAGGTAGCTATGGACCAGGGGAGATCATACACAGTCGTATCAAATACCTCGCACTTGTAAATATCCACCCCGAGGTTGGGTAGAGCAACTGGGGCCTTCAGATCACTCCCACGACATGTCAGTAGCCCTCAACACCTCACCGTTGCACTCCAGCTGGCGAGAAAGATCAGTTGGTCGCCACAGATATTGGAGCCTCTGGGTCCCCCGAGCCTCTCTGCATACTAGCCTCTAGCGATATAAGCCCTAATCACACTCCTACTATCGGTCATGCACTCAAACACATTATACGTCTGGTGGTGTAGACGGTGATTGTAGGACTGCCAAGCTGGAACGATATCATCGTCGCTAGCCACCTTTTTGTTGAGCTTATTTCGTTCTGAACCCGTATGCATCCCAAAAGGCGTAGGGTCCCTTCACACAGTTAAAAAGTATTCTAGGTAGTGCCCAGACCGAGGGTTGAGCCCGAATCTTCTCATGTCGACCTCCCAGACCGTAGACAGCGGTCGTTTGAATCGTCCCTGGGTAACTTCTTTTGACAGCCATGTATGAAAGATCTGCCGCCTGCCAAATGGTTCATTGACTTGTCAGCGAAGAGAATTCGTATCCTATCATCCATCTTTCGATATTAGGCTTCTAGCGTTCGTTCCGGGCCCACATAGCCATACGTACCTCTCAGGTAGTAGCACAAGTGCCGAGATGTGCTCATCTCTGGTGGTATCCCTAGGGGGGGGGGTTGTGTATTCTTTTTGTAAGTCGTTTTATGAATGGCACCGAATCCAAGACTTTTGGTCATGGTGTTCAATGCTTCAAGCCTTTGTTTCCATCTGTGCGGCCACTGGATATTAATCTCAGCTTGTTTCATGGATTGTAATCTGTGCGTTGCTCTCCTTCTGATGTCCATGTAGGCTCGTTACTGATTTCTCATAAGGACTTGTTGCAATTATGGCAACAAAGCCTCAGGATCCCCAGGCACACCCACCCGTCAAGCATATTGAGATTGGTCAGGACAATGTGGTTCTTGAATTGGGCCACGATGGTCTGCACATGTGGGTATCCGGCAAACGCTGAGGAAGTTCAAAAGGGTAAGACGTAGAACTGCATCCCTTTCACCACATGAGGACGAGAGGAGCCTGCTAGCATAAGACACACGTTTTCCTCGTCTGCAACCTGCTCTTATTGCTGCGTCTGCCGATGCTTATTAGATTAAACTGCATGGTTAGGTCAGTAAATAGATATTAATTATACCTAGGTAGTTCGCCGTTTCTCTTTCCATGTTCATCCCTCTCCGTTTCATTCTATCATATGGCCACCGCAACCCCCCTAGGAAACGCAATCCCAATACAAGGCATCATCCAACACTTTGGCTTCCACAACGCCCAGGGCCGATGGCAGGGCGCCTAGAAGCCAGATGCACCGCCTGCCTTCTGGGGCGCGGTGCAGTCGCTGGGCCAGCTCATCGGGCCCGGAGATGCTGGTTCTCCCCATCTCAGACAGGATGGGTCAAAGCATCAGTTTTTGCGTCCTTTGGGCCAATCCTGGCTGGCTCGCTGTTCATCGAGACCTTTTCGCGCGGCGACTGGCGGGACTAGACCAGAGCATGCTAGATCCTGGTCCCCGGGTATGGTGATAGCTCCATTCAGCCCAAGGCACGCTTGCCCTTTATATTTCCGAGTGGTCGCCTGCGAATATCCGCCGGGGCCACTGTCCTCGTCTATGGATTCTGGACCTGTTTGGCAATTTCATCCAGGAGTCGAACCTGTTGGATTTCCGGGTGCCCATTTTGGCGCGGTGGGCTTTTCTGGGGATCATGCTGCCGGTATTCCTCTGGCTTCCTGACACGCCGGGTGAGTGGCGCCCAATCCTGTCCTCGTTCTTTTTCCCCTCTCTTTTCTTCCCTCTCTTTTTTTTCCCCTGTGCCAACTGAGAGCCACAGTTTCCATCCGCTGATATATCACAAAGCGTATGTACTTTCCCCGCCCGAAGCCGCCTCGACGACAAGGGCAAAGCCACCCCTTCACCGCGTGCACGGTGGCGTGTAGGCATACGACGTCGACGCCGAGCATGCCATCATCCAGAACACCATCCTGGACGCACGAGCAGCAGAGGGCATATGAGACGGACACAGAGGCCCTCGGCGGCGGGGTCCTGCGCTCGTACCTGCCTGGCTGGACTGCTTCAGGGGCCCCGACCTGCGGAGGACGCTGGGCTTGACCGTTGCCACCTGCGCCCAGCAGCTGACGGGGTCTCGCTTTTGTGAGTGATATGCCGGCTTGTTCTTCAAGCAGAGCGGGGTTTGAAAATGCTTTTGTGATCACCACTATTATGGGTCAGTCGGCTGTCTGTCTGGACAAGGTTCAAGAGGCCCTGGAAAATGCCCATAAGGGGAGGGCCTTGGACCCAGAGAGGTTTGCTTTCGCAAGCCTGCCGTTCTCATCAATCGTACGTCGGGGGCGCCTTATGAGCAGACTCACCGAGAGTCGACCCCGGCCGAGCTCGAGAGAAGACCAAGTGCTTGGGTGCCGAACAAGGCAACACTTGACTCCTGCCTGAGGAGATCACTTGTGACACAGACTAATCCATCGATTGTACTCCCACTCGTGTTCCATTGAATTGAATTTGTCCAAGCCCACTGTCGGGCCGCCCATGTGCGCAAAACGCGCGCTCTTTAAGCCAACGCATGCATCTGAAGCGTTGGCCACGCATCTGCGCTACGTACTGTACTACAAAAGTGATTTCTCTGAATAAAAACCCAACACAATATCCCACACAGAAACAAAAACCCAAAATGAACCCCGCTGACATTAGGCGAATCTTTTTTTTTCGTACAGGTCGTTTCCATTTTACCCTTCCCTTGCCCAACTCCCGTCTCGAGGAAAAGGGGAAAAAACCATTGGGGTATATTCGATAAGACTCGATCCATGCTTGGTCATCGACCTCTCTCTCTCTCTCTCTCTCTCTTCTCTCTAGATTGGAAACAAACAGGCGGTGGCGCACCACTAGAACACCGTGCCGTCGCTGTCAATGAGGATTGGCGGCTCCTTCGTGTTCGGCCGGTTGATCTCGGCAATTTCACGGCCACCCTGTCACGCGAGATGTCAGTACAAAGGTCTACTTATGGCAGAAGAAGCTCATTATTGTCCAGTGAGCTAGGATTGTTTTGGGGGAGATGATCTCACCTTCCAGCTTCCAGCTTCCAGCATCTGGGGTAATGTCAACTCGTTGCCCGCAAGCTCGGACTTGAGCGACTGGTTGACTTCTACGCATAACCGGTCCAGGAGGCCGACTGTGACACCGCGCCACTCCACCACGAGGTCATCGCTGGGCTCGAACATGGGGGCGACCTCGATGCCGGGGTCACCAGTCCTGACGCAGTAGTCCTTGTAGTTCTGCAGGCCCCTCTCCATGTCGTCGGGCTTGAGCGTCAGGACGCCCAGGTCGACGAACAGGCCGCCGTTCCTGTACTCGGGCAGGCCGGTGAGGAGCTCCTGGCCGGCAAAGTGGATCTTCATGAGCTGCTGCATGGGCTGCATCAGCGAGTAGGTGAGCCACTGCGTCAGCTTATGGAACGGCAGGATGGACTCCCAGGCTGCTGCGGACCCGGAGCGGCCGCCGCCGGAGGACGTGTTGGGGAACGGGCTGAAGCTCGGGCCGCCGCTGGTCGGCGACGTGGCCGTGGCGGGCTGGGGCATGGAGGAGCATGGCCAGGCGTCGCCTAGCGAGATACCATTGATGGCCGTGCGCGATTGGGGCCAGATGGGCGCTAATCCTGACATGAGGACGTTCCAGAGCGTCGGTAGCGGCACGATGGGCATCGACGAGGCTTGTGTGGAGGGGTGGGTTAGGAGGTAGTCTGAGGGCCCGGGTTAGCGCGCGTCCATGTGAAAGAAGCCATGTGACAAGGCTCATTCGTGCTCACCAAGCATGTTGCCAGGGCGGCCGTTCTCGCCAAAGAACTCCTTGTTGGAGTCGAGTGCGTCTGCGAGCCTGATGAGGAGCTCAGTGCGCCCCTCGAGGCCTGCCATCTCGTTGCCGGGTTTCGACTGCAGGCCCTTGGCCACCTGTTCGAGAGTCAGGCTGCGCAGCCCATCCTTGTCGACTTGGTATTTGCTTGTCTTGTCGCCCGAGAACATTCCCTGCGAAGCGTGTTAGAATCCATGGGAGTCGTCAAGTCCTAGGATCAGGATAGCAGCCTACCGTCTTGAACATCTCCAGGCTTGCGATTGCAAGGCCCTCGGATCTCCTGTAGATGCGCCCATTCTCGGTGCTCTTGTAGCTCCACTGTGTGCCTGCACCGGCATCCAGCAGAACACTAACCAGGAACAAATCGATCAGGCGCCGGCACTTCTCAGTGCTGTCCACGTTCTCCCATGTTGAGAGCAGGTGTGCGATCCGATCCCGGCCGCCCACACAGAAGTGCTGGTGCCTGCCGTGCGCGGGGATGGATGTGAATGGCGCGTCGTAGTCTCTCTGTTGAGCCTTGTCAGCCGCGTGAACAATTACTACGTGTGGTGTGGTGTGGTGTGGCTGCATGCATACCCTGATGATGCTAGAAACGAAGCTCACCACCTCGGGGAACTTTCGCATGTCCACATCGAAATGTTTGAGCTCATTCTTGACAGCCTTGGTGGTTATGACCCTGGACCTCTCCCTCACTGCGGCCAGGTTCCTGAGGTAGCCAGCAGGGTCGAGCTCCGGGTCTGGGGGCTTCGGGAGGTCGATCTTGGGGACCTGTGGGGAAAAGGGCGACAGCGGCGTGTTTGGCGCCGAGGTGTTGTTTGTGCCGGCAGAGCTGCGATTCAGGGCCCGCGAGCTGAAGGTGCCCGCTGGGGACTTGATGCTGGAGCTCCCTGAATCGAGGCTGACTTGGGATTGCACGGTTGTGAGGGATGGCTTGGATGTGATGCCCCTGGCGGACTTGTCTTTTCTGGAGAAGATACCCATGTTGGCGGGATCGGCGGTATGGCACGAGTACCGTATTAGCACGGTCCGGTGCTGTTTTGGAATGGCCCAGAGATGCGCAAGGCACAAGGACAGGGTCCACCTGAGGAACGGGGGGACTTCGGAAGGCGGGGCGGGCTAGGGACGCGAGCAGGTGGGTCCCTGTGGTGATGATCAGGAGCTCGAGGAGGGGTCGAGAGCTCGCGAAACGGCCCGAGGTAGTGCTGACGGGCTTATTGAGCCTGAGTGCAGCGAGCAGCAGCAGCAAGCAGCGACTGGGCTGCCCTAAGCCGGGGTTGGTTGGGTGGGTCGCCTCAAATCCTCCTGGTGCGCGACCAGCCAACAGTTGCACAGCTTCAGGGGGAGCTCGGCTGTTTCCTGGACGCTTCTCGAGGTCGAACTTCGGCAGCTGTGACGTCGGTCTTGGGATCCTCGGGGGTCCAGACAGCGAGGCAAAACTCTGCTTCAAGCTCCCTCTCACGGTGCGGGAGGAGGCTGCGGTTGGACGGGACCGGAAAGACAAAGCCAATTGGGGACAATTGACTCGACAGCGAGGAGGATGGCCAGATTTCGTCTCGTCTTTTCTCGTTGGAATCGTAGTGGCGTGAAAAAGCCAATCCAGTTTAGTCGAACCAAATCAGGAAAACCTCCGATGCTTCTGCGCGTGAGAAGGGTGAGTGGTCAACAAGGCCACAGAGGCTGTTGTTGATGGCGAGCGGGAGGTGGTCGAAGGCAATTCGAAAGATGAAGGAACAAGGACCGTAGAAGCAAGGAGGTCCCAAAGGGCACGGGGAAAATAAAATCAGTCGGATAGTGCGAGCCGACGTCAGTCGAGAGGAGACCGAGATGAGATTAGATGAGAGCCGGTGGTTTCCCGCAGCGACGTTACTGTCTGTGGACGGAGATACAGTTTGATTAGCTGTGATGACCACCTCAGAGTCTGATGAGGCACAGTTGTCCCCGGAGAACCCGACGTCATAAGATGCGAGACAGGGCAAGGCAGAAGGCAGAACAGGCGCACGGGAAGAATATTAAGCCCGTGTGTTGTTGCACAAGTGGATGACGGGCGGAGGGATGGGGTGGACCAGACGGTTTGGGAGAAGCAAGGCTGGGCGCAAAGGTGAAGAGAAGAAAGGGAGGATGAGGTGTGAATGGGACGATAGGGTATGAATGGGACGCACAGGGTCGACCAGTATCGCGTGTGCACACGTTCGTTCACGTACCGTACCAAGCACAAGCAGATGGGAGGAGACGAACAAAAAGATGCCGAGTCCCAATGAAAGGAAGGGTCTACGGCGATGCGCGAAGGTAGGGCCAGGTCCGGCAGCTCGAGGTTTATATGAAATGGGACAAGACGAACACATCGGCCAGAAGCACACCAGAGCACGGGCACAGGCACAGGCACAGGCACAAGGGACGGGGCACCTAGTCTGCATTGAGTACGTACCTACACACTCGAGTAGCCATGTACTGCTGCATGCTGTCCTACTACTACATAGTACTCGGCGGGCTACTGTGGCACCCGCACGGGACAAAAGATTACACACGAGTAACAAAACAGTACGGAGTACCTTGGTCGACGGAGGACTGTGCAGGGGAGACAGGTGAGGACAGAGAGGGAGAGGGAATCTCACTGGCAGAGGGAACCACTCAGAGGGCCGGCGATCAAGACAAGGATGGGGATGGGATTGTACGCACATGGATGGCCCGCCCAGGCACGGAACGGAGGGTGTCCCGTCAAGGCTTCTGGCCTGCCTGGGCTGCCTGGCTGGGCATGCTTTGGTCTCTTTGGGCGGCTGAACCCGCAGTATGAAGATCGCATCCAGTGCCTGAGTCAAATCCCTCATCGCTTGTGGCCCACCGACACGCGGTTCTGGGGCAGAAGAGGGGGGGCCGGCCTGGGCTGGTGGGCTTGTCCAATGTGTAAATCCGGGACAGGCATGTGTTGTGAGCTGTGATAGGATGTAGTGTACTGACTGTGCTGTCCTCCGTGCCTAGGTATATGCCAGTATGCCAGTATGCCTGGATACTACTCAAGTACCTAGGTAGGTAGGTATTGTGTAATGAATGCACACGCCTGCATCATGTACGGAGTGATCAACTTTGGATGGACCAGCCCGAAGCTGTCACGAGTGATGGGTGACCCGACCTGGCCGGCCCCATGTGCTGTTTGTTGCCCCCGCCCCAGCCCGGCGAGCTGTTGTCCCCGTCAGGCCAACCGAAACCCGAGGGATCGATCGTGCGCACTCCGTACATGATATGGGCGGTGGTGCAGATAGATACTGCACAGCAGCATCAGCCGAGGTATCGGGCCAAGCCCCCATCTGCGGGTGTGCTGGTGGTGATTTTCGAGATTTGGGATTTGGGATTTGGGATTTGTGGGGGCCAGAATGTCGCCGTGATCCGGGGGTGTCTTGTCCGTCTGTCTGCTGTCGTCGCAGCAGCAGAAGCAACAACGACAACCTGGCTGTCAGGGCTGTCAGGGCTGGGGCCACCCAGAGCAACGGGAACCGTCGAATGTCGCTTGCTGGTTTCAGCAGCTGCAGGGTGTGGGACCTTGAGGAAAGAGCTGGAGCCTCAAAGTGACGGGTGCTGAGGTGAGGTGAGGTGGTGAGAGGCGTCCCGCCGAGCTTCTGCCTCCCTAGGTACGACTAAGAAATGTCTGGCTGGTGTCTGGCTGTTGTCTGGTCCGTCTGAACTTCCATGTTCTGGGCCCCGCCAGTGTCTGTCAACTCGTGCCAGGCTGCCAGTCCCGTCAAGCCCTGTCCCTCTTGGCTGGGCAGTCTGTGCCTTTTCTTCTCGATTTGTACAAGCTGCTGGCTGCCAACTCCTGCCGTCTGGCTATTAGGTTAGCCACCAGAGATGGGACGAAAAACTAGCACCTCGCTTCGATCCCTCGTCCCGGTCCAGATTCGTCCATGGAGCCGACGGCGTGATTTGCTCGCGTGTCGAACCCCCGGGGCGACTAATAGCATGAACGGAGTAGGATGGGTCCTGGTGAGTCCTGAGTCCTGACTTGACGGCAGTTGATACCGTTCTGTCTGTCACTCAGTCTCCCCCTTTGTCCCCTGCTGGTTGGTCTCTTTCCGCCTGCAGCTCCTCACATGCAGTTTCCCCACGTAGACTGTCAGACCGCGTCGTGCCTTCCCACCATGTCACAGGCTGCAGCCCCACCTCATGCCAATTGCCAGGACCATCTGCGGCAAACAGAGGAGTTTCTGTAGGTACCTGGCAAGCCTGGGTAGATTATTTTACGAGACAGCCGAGGGGGGCAGACAGGACGATCACCACGAGGCTTGCAGGTGCAGATCAGAAGCTCGTAAAGGGTATGCGGGCCGCGTTCTGGATTGCTCCAATCTCAATCTTGTTGACCAGTCCGAGTAGACTCCGTAACGTAACCGTCGGGTCAACCCCTTGCAGAACGGTCCGGAACCTCGTCTCTACCAGCTCTGCCAGCTCTGCCTTTTTGCCCTTTTTGCCCTTCGCCCCCAGGCCCCCTCTCTTCTTCAGCAACCAGACGCCTGACAGACATGGCACTATTTACCCCGTAATAATAACAAGTCCGCGATACCAACCAACTCTGGCCATGGTCTCGCTGCAACCGTTCCAGTGGCTTGACGCCCAAATCTAAGGCAGTTGCAGTTAGTTGCAGTCACAATTGTCCGTCGCATGCTTGTCATCCGCCCGACCAACACCAAAAAGAGCCGCGGCAAGCAAAAAGAAAATTAGACAACACCACAGCCGTGCAGCGTGCGCCGGGAGGATTGCAAGGACAGACCACCCGCCAGTTCCACCAGGCCCTGAACCCTAGCAGGGGTCTAATGCAGCAATCTGCAAGGCACCGAGCTATCCCTGCCACGCCTCCCTGACGGGCCTGTCTGCCTGTCCACGCCTGTCGAATCATCGACGGCTTCCTGACACGCAGGACACGCAGTGGTTGCTCTTCCCGGCCGGTGGGTTCGCCGCCTGCACCGCCGAGGGAACGAGACCGAAATCCCCACAACCGTTGCATGCAGAGGCCGCGTCCAAATGATGCTTCTCCAGTGTCTCCAGACCCTGCAGGGGAGCCGATACACCTGACCGGTGCGTGAATGGGAATGCATGCTATCGCAGGCGTGACTGACTGGTAGGTAACTGACACGCTGACACATTTGCCCAGGACCACACCACAACCACTGGTGGTAGAGCCACAGGCAGAAACTACATAGGCGCAGCGAACGGACTGTCCAGCATGTACGGAGTATATCACCAGTCCCCACGTCGCGCAGATCCAGACCAAAACCTGCCCCCGTCACTTCACCCGTCGTCCATCTCGAGACAACCACAGATACACGGATGACTGCGCACGACGGCTCGTCTGCTTCAGACTCGTGCCTGCAATCTCTACGGCCGTTGTCTGTGTGTGCCAGCCCCAAAAGTTCGGTACCGATACAAGCATCTACCTGTGGCATCATTTAAACTTTGACTCCGCGGGCGGTCCCACTGCAAATGGATCTTGGAAACGTTGCGACCTTGAAGATTCTTTGGACCGAAATTGCAAATAACTTGGGACATGACCCGGGATCCCTCTCTCGGGATCCCTCTCCCAATTCCCCGCCGCCCGATCTGGAGCTCTCCTGGCGCCCTCGTACCGTGCTCCGGAACGACTTCCTGTACTGTATCACGCTGAGCACGACTCGTCCCGTCAGCTTCCCCGGTCGGAGAGAAAACGGGAAACAGACTTGCCCACTTTGCAAGAGGTGGCAGACTTCTGCTTGCTTGGCTGTCGCAATCCGGCCAACCTGCCGGCGTGATGCTGTGCTGAATCGCCTTCTGAATCGCCTGATTAGGCCGAGTCCACACACTCGACAACCAGGTGGGGCGGTCCGACGCAGGTAATATACACCATGTAGGGTAGGTACTACAGTAGATGCCAGCTGGACGTCCCGGTCCAATCACCGCGGCGCCCGGCCTCTCGGGATAGCGACCGACCGCAAGTTGCTCCCTCGCTCGAGAAGACCGCAGGATCCGGCCCTGCATTGGGCTGCCTGCACATATCGTCGACAGTAAGCACCATCGGGATCGCAGGATTGCAGACAAGACGCTTGCCGCGGGTGATTGGCAAGCCTCACAAGGTCCGTTCCGAACAAGCGGATCTGGGAATCTGTGACAGCCTGGTTCTTCTCCACTGGGCGTGCTGACCGGGCTGGTCCGCTGCCTGCCAACCTGTCAGACGGTAAATTCCATCATCTCACACGCGGAGAGGCGCTTACAAGACCCAGGCTGGCATACATAAACAGGCATAATTTGTGTTGATCACCAGGTACGTGCTGACGTTATATATGATATGCGTGAGCCCAAGGCCGCGAGGGCCTATCATCCATGGACTCCATGCGTCAACAACCTCGCTGGCGCGCCATTGCTACACTGCAGTGTGACCAACCACAAAAAAAAAAGACAAAAGAGACTCGCTCGCGACAAGTACCTGTCAGATTGCGGGCAACATTGCCTCACGATTTCTCGGCGTTTGTCAGCACCGACTCCAGCGTTAAATTCGTGTCACCGTCAAATATGCTCAACCTCTGCGCAGCCTCACGTGCCTCTGACAAGATCAGCTCTTCGGTCTTGCTCGAACGTGGTGTGAACCGTGCTTTGAACGGCAGTGGGCGTATATTCTCGCTGTCATTATACGCAAAAGCACTCAACTGGACTGGGTTTCCCTTCATGTTTGGAATTAAAGTCAGCCACAGGCACTTCTCCCTAACCGCAGCCGACCGCAAATAGTCGCGACATCCGCACACGTGTGTCCTGACCGACCATCACAACTCAACACTGTCCCAAAGGGCAAGTACTCACCTTCTCGTCGAGTCCTGGCTCGACCTTGAACGCCCAGACCAACCTGGCCACCACCATCGACACGCTCTGATCTGCCAACGGCTGCCCGCTGCATTGCCTCCTCCCCCACCCGAAGGCGTTGTGGCCCCTGCTGTTAGGGTACTCAAAGGCGAGCCCTCCGGGAAGGTTGCCTAGGTACCTCTCGGGCCTCACCGTGTCGGGTTCGGGAAAATCACCCGGGTTCCGGTGGATCGCCCACGTGTTGCAGGTCAGCTGTGTGCCCTTGGGGATCAGGTAGCCCCGGTACGTGTCGTCGCAGACCGGCGCGTGGGGTATCCCGCCGAGGATGGTCACCGTCCGCCAGCGCATGATCTCACGGGCTAGAGCGTTCGTGTATGGTAGACGGCCGGCGTCCAGGTCCTCCCAAGTGGGTGACCTGCCTCCCAGCACAGTGTCTATCTCGTCCTGGGCTTTGGTCTGAACTTCTGGGAAGAGGCAGAGGGCGAGGATGGCGGAGGTCAAAGTTCCGCTTGTGGTGTCGACGCCGGCGCCAAGCAGACTTTTCTACGTCAATGTGCCATTTTACACGGGGTACGGGTATTATACACTTACTTCGTTGTCAAAGCGGACACCTCCTCATCACTCAATCCAAGAGTGGGCTGCTTCTCCAGGACATCTTTCGCAAAGCTCGGGTTTGGGTTGTTTGCGGCCGCCTCCTTGTTGAGAGCATAGAAGTACTGGGCCAGGTGTGACGAGATTGTCCTCACGATAGTAGGGAAGGCGTAAAGCCAGGGTGGTAGTTGCGCCAGCCAGGGCAGCGTCTCGACTATCAGCCAACCCGGGATGACATAGTTCACGACAGCCATTGTCTCCAGGGCCTTCTGGCAGACGTAGTCATTCTTCTTTGCGATGCGTCTGCCCCACCCGATTATCGAGACGACCGAGACAGAATACCGCTCGATGGACATCTGTAGGATGTGGAGTCAGCCAACGAGCATTCGAAGCACCAATACAGCAGTTGCATGCAACCAGAGGAAGTAAGGGCCACAACAAGGTCACAGCCTGTCTCGAATCCGAACCCGATCAAATTCTTCGTGTCACAGGCTACATATTGGAGTGTTCTCTTCTCGAAAGGGATAAGTTATTATCCAGAGGACGCTTACGACATAGTCATCTGGATCGGTCAAGAAGTCGAGCGTCAAAATCTTAGACTCGTCACCCTGGAAGTGCCGATGGTCTCGCACCACATGGCTACCGACGATAGCATGCTAACGCTCAAGTCAGAGACAACACAAAAAAATACATTTCCAGATGGAACGCATTGTGGATTTACCGTGAGCTTCCTATGCAGCCTCCACTTGTCCCCATACACAAGCGTGGCCTGGTTCGTCGTCGCCGACCCCGTCAGCTCCCCCATGGCCACGAACCTGGGGCGCGACGAATAGACATCCGCGCGCTTCTCCAGCAGGTCCGACGCGGTCCATGCGTCGTTGAGGACGATGACCGGCCGGCTCCCCAGCCAGATCGTGATCATGGGGTTCGCATACTGCCGGCTCCATTCTTCAAACCTTACCCACGGCTGCCAGTGGGGGATGCGGAAGTGGTTGCCGAGGACGGGCAGCGGGAAGGGCCCCGGTGGGAGTTTCCGGCGCAGGAGGAGCACCCGAATGTAGTCATAGGTGATGATGCAGGTGAGGGCTAGCGCGGCGATGGTCAGGACTCGGAGTGAGACCTGTGCCGGCCCGGCCGTGTCGAATGTCAGTAGCATCTTGGTCTTTGTCTTCTTCTCCTGGTCTGATTCGGGGGGGTGAGCGCTAATGGGTGAGAAGAAGCAATATCGGATTGGTTGTTTTCGTTACACGGCATTGAATCACGATGGAGGTTCCCAAGTCCCCTCGTATTTATATACGTAAGGGTGGTGGGTGGTCAACTACTCATCAAGGGTGTTGAAGAGGGATGCCGGGACGCCCAGGGGCCCACCCCCGTTGCCTCTTGGCACGCCTTCAAGTTGCCAGTCAAGCTCGTTGAGAGCTCTGCCCAGGCGAGATTACATGCTGTCATCGCAGAAGTATAGAAAACCTGGTGGGCGGCACGGTGGTGGGGGACGCCAGTATATCCCAACTCGCACTCAGGGTGCGGGGTGCAGATAATGGGTCCGAAGTGTGCATCGTCGCAGTCGTGCTTATGCAGGGTGAGACGTTGATGCAAGCTTCTTGTTCCTCGACCCTTGCCGCCACTGCTCGGCACATGGCCGTTGAGGTTCCTGGGTCATCCTCTATCTCATGATTTCCGGGTGTTGATATCTCGAGTGAGATGTCAGGAAATTTTCTTTGCCTTGTGCTGTGCTATGTGGCGTCGATGTCATCTGTAGTACGGACTCCGTACTACGGAGTAAGTGTCGAAGAGCGTGGTCATAGTTAAGGTGTTTGGTAGCGACTTTATAGTAAGCCTTGGCAATGATAACGCTTCCAACAACGCTCCTCTATCAACAGAACAAATCATTCCAAGTGAGTCGCGATTTTTTCTCACATTTTCGAAGTCTCTAGGTTGAGACTGGCCGAAGATTTTCAACAATAGCTTTGTAAAGCTACGATACTTTTAGGCCTCGGATCTTGCGGGATCTTTTCTCACCCTGTCACTTTTCGTAATGTCCTACCACATGCGTCTGCTATTCTGCTTTTGAGATGCCGTTGTTGGGGAAAACGTTGACCGGGAAATATCACCATATCCACTTTACTTAACCCTGGATGCCAAATGTGGTATTGTCTGGTGCGGCCAGAATGCTTCTTCTAAATCGCATTTGTTGCTATATGAGGAGTTATATACGATAGATATAATGTGACAGTCATAATCTCATCATTGATTGGCTTCTTACTCTCACAAAGAGTATGGTAAATGTGTCTTGGACACAAGAAGCCCTGGATAGCTGCATCATTTCGACACATCATGGCCCTGACATAAACCATGTCTCCATGTCCCAAACATAGGAAAAGACCAATGTCACGTCCGGCTCAACCACGAACAGCACCGCTCACCTCAAAGGCCCCTCATCCGCCCTCTGCTCAACAGGCGTGATGATGCTGGAGTTATGGCTCAGCCTATCCCTCCCCGCGGGCTCACGCGAGGGCGGCCAGGGCGGCAGCTCCATCTCGCTCCTCGAGCGCGGCGTCGTCGCCGTCTCGGGCCTGCGGAGGTTGACCTCCTCGTCGGCCGGCGCCCGCGTCTCGTTCACCGTCTGCAGCGACTTGTCCAGCTTGGCCAGCTGCGCGCTCAGCCACGACTGCCTGGTCTGCAGCGGCGGAGGGGCCTTGCGCGACGGGCGGGACCCGATCGTCGGCAGGGGGATGTGCGGGTGCTGCGGGTGGCCCACCGGGCCGGCGGCGCCGTCCTCGGGCGTGCCTGTGGTCTGTCTCGTCGAGGCTGCGAAGATGCGGTTGAAGAGCGGCTTCAGGGTCATGACTGAGGCGCAGACTATGGCGGTGTTGACCTCGATCAGGGACCAGTAGATCGTGTCCACGCCTGTGTAGCTGTAGTCGGGCCCGACCGGGATGGTCGCGAGCAGGACGAGGCGTATTATGGAAACAATACAGATGCTATGATTAATTGTTAGTCGCAGAAGAGAGACCAGCAAAGTATTCGGGGTAGAGTGACGGACAAGAAACCAAATGAGAACACTATAGTGAGCACTACCTTCTGGTCCTTGGGCGCTCGAATGGACCAGACGACGGGCAGAGGTAGCAGGAAGATGAGAAAATCTGTCCCTATCTGCAGCCCTACCAGAGAATAGTAAACCTCGTTTGAATGGCAATATGTAGCTTGTACACTGGGGTCCCAGAATGCTTTCAGAGGTATGCAGGCCGTAAAGTCGAGGATCAGATTGATGGTGCCAGTAACGGTGACGATGACCATAAACCCCAAGAGAACCTTTCTCGTCCAATCATAAGTTAAGGTCCGCAAGTATAGTAGCACCACGCTGATTTTCGAGAGATTAAGGCTACATGTGTAGAAAACGATAGTGAACCATGATGCCTATTTGCGTAGGAAACATTATTAGCAACACAATCGCAGGCTTGTTGGCGACCGCATCGCAATGAACGTCACGCTTACCTCGAGCAACGTCACATATTTCTCCATGGGAATTGCAATGAAATGTTTCCCGAGCCCCAGGCCTGCCTGGATGATGAACCCAATGCTCTCTGCCAGGGAGAAAAATAAAGCCGCCAAAATAACCCAGTCCTCCGGGCCAAGTAACTCCATCAAGTTTCCTCTGAGGTAGAATCGACTCGCTACGACCACGGCCGATATCAGCCATGTCAGAGCAGCACAGGCTATAATGTTGCCTTGATGCGACTCGGAGAGGTCATACACCACATTTTCCCCAGTGGACATGGCTTGTGCCGCGGCGACTCAAGCAACGGAACACGGACGGGATGCTCCCTGTCTCACACCGAGAGACCGCTTGTCAGTGGTGGCCTCGGGGGGGCCAAGAAACATCGCCGAGGGTATGTGGTGGGGGTATAATGTATAAGGGGTCTCAAAGACAAAAAAACCCGGTCGTCGATCCTGTGATGGTAAGTGCCGGACTTGCAGGTAGCGAATCTGGGGTAGTGGGAGAAGTGAGATGTGACAGGTGTAAGGTTCAAAAAAAGGACGGAGGAAAAGCAAAACACCAAGAGGTGGAATTCATGTGGGCAGTAAAGCCATATCTTTCGGCCATGATGCGAGACTTCAGGACTCTTCATTACGATAGACCACACACCGCTGCGCAGAAGTGGGCGAGTACAGTGTATTTCCCGCCAAACTTCGACCATCGTATTAACCAGCAAAGTCGGGACGCGCGAGCAAGCCAGCCAGCCCGGACGCCTACCTAGGTACACTATTGGCAGAGGGGGCGACCATGCGCGCCCTGCCACGATGGGGCAGGCGTACACAGTAGGTCTGTGTGGTAAAAAAAGTTTCCATCGATTTGCACGCGGCTGATGATGACCCAGCCCGTCACCGTTGAACCTCAAACGCACAGGTGGGAAAATCAAAGCGCCCTGGAGTCGTCCCACATTTGATCGATGGGTCTCGATTATCCCGACCATGATAGGAAGCGTAGCCGAGATGAGCCCTCTAATTTTCTCCAGATATTTGGGCCGCTAGCCGTGTCGATGTCCCTTCAGGGCTGCCAGGGGAAAAGACTTTTGCTGGAAGCGAGCCTCAGCTGCCGACCCATCACTAGCCGTAAACGATCTGGGCTGTCTGGTCAGTTGTGATCGTAGCTGGGCTGAGGTGTTTTGACCACTTCAGTTTGTGGTTAGCCTTTCGATCTATACACACATCTACTGGTGAGTTGCGCGAAGTCTTGCGTGGTCGTAGACACTCTCAAGCTCCTGTTTTCCCTCGGAGCCATCGAGGTTCGCTGTCAAGCTTTTGCAGGACCATCCAAGTCCAAAGAATTGTGTCAATCTTGCGTGTCAATCTTGCCTTGGTCTTGGCAGCGGAGCCAGCAACTTCTCGAGAAAGAGTGGATCACAACAGGAGGCCGGACTCGGCCCCCACGATCTCATGGTTCACATAGTGTACTTCTGTTGTGGGCTGATAGAAACGCACACTTTGTTTGACCGAAACAATGTCGTTGTGCACATAGATAAACCATCCAGCCAAACCTCCCAGAAGCAAGGGACAGCGTAAGCTGAATTGCAAGCTCGTTCATGTAAATTAGGAGTTTTCGGCATGTGACGATGCTGGTTGAGGGCGCAGACAGCCCATCGCCCCATCAACGGGAAGATAGCGAGTCAAGCTTATGGATTTCGTCAGGAGATTTCCCCCCTTCCCTCCGCCTCGAAGACATGGTTCACGAGAGTTTCAACGGCTGCACAGATCCGGAACTTGCCGTGGCTAATGCACGTCGAAAGGCAGCCGCATTAGGTTCCCGGCACGTGCAAACGCTTAGCATTGGTGCAAAGGCCACAATGGGCCCATCGCTTGCGACAAGGCTTGCAGGCGGACGCGCCCCTGGACAGTGGAAGTGATCTGCCCCAGGCTCGTATATGTGTGTACGGCGATCCGACCAAAACTGCCTTTTCGTTTGCGTCTTGTCCCAGGATTTCCACCCTGACAGCACCCGAGCGGGCAAATCCTCCCGCTGCCAAAAGTGCCAGACTAGTAAAAGAAATTGCCCGTCACTCCACCTGCGAGCCTTTCCCCGATATTTCGCCATCATGAAGGTTCCCCCTGCTTCAGGTCGAGCCATATGAGGAAGTCCACGCCCCGGAACTACAAGCGCGAGCGAAATGGTTCGATCCATATCAGCGGTCGGCTACCTGCCTACAACATCTCGAGAAATGGAGAATAACCCTGTGGACAGAATTTGACGGCCAAAAGTAGTAGCGAGCAGTTGGTTGCCGTGGATCACTGTTCCTGATATTGGGGCCGTTCCTGTCACACGGACTCGGCGCATGGAACGGGAAGCGCGGTGTTCTCAGAAAATACTTCGATTCGCGACTTGCGTTCGCTCGTCAGCTCAGTTCGTGTGCTGCTAATAAAGAGATGTGGGGGTACCTACTGGCTAGGCAAACTGGCCCTTTTCCTCCCACAATAATAACTCTGTGACAATCGGCGCCAATCATAGCGACGTTCACAAGGCTAGCCCTTTTAAATGCCTACTGTTCTTCGCCAGAGGCTTGTTGACCCTAAATCGGGTATGTTTTGCACTCGGATCTTGAGCGACACGGTGACACGCTTAAGAGATAAGATCGGCGACGTTCATCGGCATCTCATCAATCTGGGTCGAGTAGTACACTGCACACTGATTAGCAATCGCTCACGACCCGAGAGCTGGACGAACTCACACTCGATGTCTCGCAAAATGCGCACATCCTCGCTTGTGACGAAGTTGATCGCAACACCCTTGCGGCCAAATCTTCCAGATCGGCCGATACGGTGGATGTAGTTCTCACGATTGCTGGGCAGATCGTAGTTGATGACCAGACTGACCTGCTGGACATCGATTCCACGCGCCCACACATCGGTTGAAATGAGCACTCGGCTGTTGCCCTGTCGGAAGTCCTGCATGATACTATCCCGCTCCTTTTGCGGCATATCTCCGTGCATGCTACTGACTGTGAAGTTGGCCTCGCGCATCTTATCGGTGAGCCAATCCACCTTACGCCGAGTGTTGCAAAAGATGACGGCTTGGGTAATGGTCAAAGTGTCGTAGAGGTCGCAGAGAGTGTCGAACTTCCAATCCTCCTTCTCCACGGCAATGAAGTACTGCTTGAGACCTTCGAGAGTCAATTCGTCACGCTTCACGAGGATGCGGACAGGGTCGGTCATGAACTTGGTTGTCATGTCGAGCACGTCATAGGGTAGCGTAGCCGAAACAACAACGACTTGTGTGGCGGGAGGAAGGTATCGGTACACGTCGTAGATCTGCTCTCTGAACCCTTGGTTGAGCAGCTCATCGGCTTCGTCAAGGACCAACATCTTGATGTGACGGGTGCGCAGGTGCCGGCGTCGGATCATGTCAGCAACACGACCAGGTGTTCCAGAGACGATGTGCTGGCCATAATCCAGCTTGCGGATATCCTCGCCAACGTTTGTGCCTCCAATGCAGGCGTGGCATTGGACGTTCATGTAATCGCCGAGAGCCATGACGACGCTCTGAATCTGGGTGGCCAACTCGCGTGTCGGGGACAGGACAAGCGCTTGGGTTTCGCGAATGGCGGTATCGATGACTTGGAGCATACTGATGGAGAAAGTCGCGGTCTTGCCGGTTCCGGATTGCGCTTGAGCGATTGTATCACGACCCTTGCACACTTGAACGATGGCGCGGGACTGAACCGCCGAGGGTGACTCGTAACCGTAAGCGTAGATTCCGCGAAGAAGAGATTCTGTCAATCTGGGTCAGCATTCGTTGCCCACGCAGTGCGTGCGACGCAGGATTAAGCCTTACCCTTGAGCGACATCGACTCGAAGGTAGGATGGACCGTGACCTCCTTGGAGGTGTTGAACTCCATCCGCTCCTCCGCCTTCCGGTCGATACCGCCTGCTTCAGCCATTTTCAAGATCTGGTGATGCTTTGACTCCCAGTTGACTATTTCGGATGCTGTTGGCTTTGTTGGTGGTTTGATAAGTTTTGGCGCAAAGCAGTGAACGAAGTTGAAGATCGAGCTGGGCTAAGCACCTGGAGGCGGGCAGGCTAACAGCAAATTCCTGCAGGGGTTGGCCAGAAATGCGGGTGCTTATCTTATCGGACAATTAGCTCTGGCTGTCTGGTCCGTGCCCCAGACAACTTCGTGGATCTTGCGACAACTGCGACGGGTTTCCTTCTCGGGAAACCCATAGTGGACAGAACGGGCGAAACTGGCACATTCCCCTTCTCTGACACACTGACACCAGGATGTTGTTGGAAGAGCAGCGATACATTGCCGAGGACCTCGAGCGCCTCGAGCAAGGCGTCGCGGATCGCATCGGCGAGGAGCCCAAGGTGGTACGTGATGCCCTCTTTCTGCCTCGTTCGCGACGAATCCAAGCTGACCACGTCCCCCGCGGCACAGATCCGCGATCGCCTCAACCGAGACCATGAGGTATCTCAGCTCCTTGACCAGATACAGAAACAATCCGCAGAGATGTTGTCTTTGTATCGCGATGCTAATGGCCTCCGGTCCAAAGAGGTCCTGCAGATTGGCAGCGGCGACCCTTTCGAAGAGTTCTACAAACAGGTGAACGAAGTGAGGGAGCACCACGCGCGATACCCGAATGAGCAGGCAGAGAATTCCGAGATCCGTTACCGGCAGCGCAAGACGGGCGACGAGCCTCTGCCTTCGCTTGTCGATTCGATGTTTTCTGGCGAGGAGGCCTACGGACGCTACTTCGACCTACACGCCTGCCACGAGGAATACATCAATCTTCCCAACGTCAAGCGCCTGGGCTACCTGCAGTACCTTCAAATTTTCGACAACTTTGCCCCCGGCCATGGCGGTGTCAAGAGGGCGGACAAATTGACCGACCAATACTTCAAGTACGTTGGCGAGTTGGCAGAATACTTGGAGAGCTTTATGCGCCGGACGCGACCGCTGGAGAATGTCAGCAAGGTGATCGAGTCCTTCGACAAGGAGTTTGGAGAGGCATGGGAGAAAGACGAGGTCGAGGGCTGGACAAATGAGTCGGCTGCTGCCACGGTGGCAGCGAAGGAGTTGAGCACTGCTGACGCTGTATGGTGCGATGCTTGTGAGAAAGAATTCAAGAACGAGAACGTGTACAAGGGGCACCTGAATGGACGGAAGCACGTCAAGGCAGCGCAAGCCCTCGCGGAGAGGCAGCAAGGCGCCGCAGATTCCGCTGTCGCATCTGGGAAATTCTCTGCGACAAGAATGAAGGAGCGCGTAGTAGCCGAGAGAGAGTTCAGGGTGAAACGCCTCGCCAGTGCTATGAGCACCGAGCGAGAGGATACCCGGGTCAATGTGGAGCGGCGGCAAGGAATGACTGAGAGGGAACGGCAACAAGAACTCGACAATCTGTTCAGTATGGCGGAGCAGCCACCACAACTTGCCGAGTCAAATGATCCAGAAGGCGAGGACGGCGAGGAGAAGATCTACAACCCCCTGAAGCTACCGCTGGCCTGGGACGGCAAGCCCATCCCATTTTGGCTCTACCGGCTGCACGGCTTGGGCGTGGAGTTCCCATGCGAGATTTGCGGCAACTTCGTCTACATGGGCCGCCGCGCCTTCGAGAAGCACTTTAACGAGGCACGGCACATCTACGGCCTGAAGCGGCTCGGTATCAACGACACCCACCTTTTCCGGGACATCACAGGCATCGAGGAAGCGCTTAAGCTCTGGGATAAGAGACAGCGTGACAAGAAGGCGAACAGGATTGAGGACGGGAGCATCGTTCAGATGGAGGATGCCGAGGGTAATGTGATGCCGGAGAAGGTGTACTATGACTTGCAGAAGCAAGGTTTGCTGTAGGCGCACGTGCGGCAGCAGGCAGTGCCAGTTTCCTGGAACGTACATGAGGCACGCCAAATGGCATGAATAGACAGCTTAGCAGAAGATTCAAGTTCAGCTTATAGGAACCTCGAGTGTAGCCATCCGTGCTTTACATGAGACAAATGAAGATTTCCTCAAAGGAATTCAGTCAAGCTTGATATCAGACTAATGGGGTATTGAAATGTTCCATTGTACTTATCATATTTTACACCAGGTAAATGAGAGTTTAAAGAATCGCTTGAATATGATCCAAGCCTTATGGGCTTCATTTGAACACAACCCAAGGGCCTTCATAGCATAACCAAAGGGGAAGCTCCTCTTAATCTGTTTCTCTTGATTTGTAGCCAGCCACATCTGTATTTGCAACTGTTCATGAGCAGCCGAGAACCGACATTCTGGTAAATAAATCTTTGCTGGGGACTGATTCCGTGTTCACTTTGGTCATCATTTGAGGCATGGTGTCTAGACAGCTTGCTTCCAAGGGTGGCATAGGAGGTGATTTTGTGCACACCCCCGGGCCTCGACTAGTTGGGCTCTCTGTTTGAGCTCTCTGTTTGATACATCCCCTTTTCCCAGCTGGCTAGTGCCCACCTTGGTAGAGTTCCGGGTGAAGGGTGGACGCGAACGCAAACACCAGCTTCATCCTTTGCCCTTCTGCTACACTTCTGCCCAATTCCTTTCCAGGCTGGCAAGTGCCCACCTTGGTAGAGTTCCGGATGAAGGGTGAACGCGAACGCAAACACCAGCTTCATCCTTTGCCCCTCTGCTACACTTCTGCCCAAATCCTTTCCCATTCCGAGTCCATGCTTCCTGCCGCAGGTGTCCTGTATCAACCAGTCAGAGATGGATCCAAACACACACAAGGTTAGTACCACCTAGATGAAGAGTAGGAGGGCCGAAGGAAAATTACACGGAAGCTATCAGGCACTAACCGATCAGCAGGAGAGCGATTTCAGCTGGGGAATCGTGGGCGTAGGTTTTGACGACATCGAGGTGCCCGAGCCCGAGAACATCCAAGACGACACCGTCCGCCTTTTCGGCCAAGATCCACTTGAGTTTGAGGGCGTATCGTTGAGCCCTCGTTCGCTGCCAAGAAGCGAGCCTCTTTCGATGTTTGACCGTCTGCCTGAGGCATTTGGCGAGGAAGACAAGCTGCCCTACTCCTGGATGGCTCGCAATCCAGGAGCGGTGGCCAAGTGCCTCGAAAACAAGCCAGAACCAGTCGCCATCAGGCCCGCCAATTTGTCTGCTGTCAATGTTCAAGGCGAGGCTCTGTTGGAACATCACTTGAAGAGGCGCTCGCTGAACCCAAATCTTTACTTCTACCGTGTTGCAGTTTTCTGCTGCATCATGGACCTGAATAGCGCAGGGCTGTAGGTCAATCCGATCATAACAAACAACTGGCATCTCGCTCTTTGCTAGTCGACCATTGACGTTTTTCTCATTGCAGGATTTACCCTTCGATTCTGGCAACCCTCGTGGGACGGCTGTTTGGCGGCGACTGGGTCCTGATGGCTGTCTTCAACCAATACTTCATGCCATCATGGCTTCACATCGAGTGTATAATCGATCACGCAGCCGTCCAAAACATCCTCTCCTCGATCGAGCGTCACACCGCGCTGTGCCATCCTTCCTCCATTCCCCCCAATTTCGAAATTTTGATCAAGGTCCTCAACTACATGGTGGAAGAGCAAAAGCACCAGGGCCCGAACCTCAACCAGACGGTCGGCAAGCTGGTCAGCTCCTCGAACGGGCGAGAGTTTCACCCCCACCCCGGTTTATTCACGATACTCCGTGGACCGGCGTTGTCTGGCCGCTTCATGAAGCGGATAGGCGAGTGGTGGCCATACAAGACTGTCACTTGGCAACAGGCGGATTTACTGGGTCTGCACACAGACCGCGAGGCAGAGAAGGAGGACACCGTGGAGGACGTTGACCCGCGGTGTCTTACAGTCAACGGAGAAGCCGGAGGAGACATCAGAGCGGAGGCTAGGGGAAAAGGCAAGGGTAAGGGCAGCAGTCGCGCTTGAGAGACGGTCATACGACAGAGCTGGTTCAGCAGCTTGTGAGCTTCGTTGGTGACCCAAATCTGCAGTATACCCTCGTGGTTGAAGGCATACAACAGTGGATCAGAGCGTCTCGACTATCTTTGGTTTGGAGGAGAGAAAGGGAAAAAAAAACAAAGAAGTGATGGATTGTCCTTGGTTTTAGGCATCTGGTGTTCTACTTGAAGCGGGCAGAACGCCTCGGTGCCCGCTTGTGACGACGACTCACTCTAGTATTGAGGAATTTCTTTAGTCTCACACAGAAGGTACACTACCTAGGTATGCTCAATGTTGGGTTGGACCCTGACCAGCATCTTATTGAAGTGACTCGTTCTAAGTGTCAACAGAGTTTCATCGAGACTTCCAAGATTGAGTCTCTGGATCCATCGTAATGAGATACCAATTATCCATCCGAAAATAAGGAGACGCTCCACCGGTCGCGTTCAGATCAGTTAGGGACATGCCTTCGGCCGCACGATGCCATTTTATTGTTCTAGTGGACATTGGAAGTTACCACGGCGGGTATTGCGTCAAACCAAACCCAACGAAAATGGTTGTAGGTGCCCAAAGGCGAAAAGCGTTGAGAATCTAAGATACGCAGCTTCAGCCGTGTACTCTTCTCCCAAGTATTTCGAAGATCTCTTATTAGCCGAAGCGAAATCGTGAAAACACAGCAATGGCCAGCACGCAGACGCTTGTGATCTGCCATACCATTAGCTGGAGCTCAAATATCACTGAATAACAGCATCAACTTACAGACACGACTATGAAGGGAAATTCCACCCAAATGTCGTATTTGTGAGAGTTTGCCCGACCGGCCCTCTCGGAAATCGGCCAGGTGACAAGTTGCCCGATCGTCATTGCAACCTGAACTACGCCATAAAGCCGGCCACGGAGTTCTGCCTCAGCCAGAGAAGCAACGTACGAGAGCAAAGAAATTTCTAAGCCTGAACCCATGGCGAGGAAGATGCCAGCTGCGACTGTCAGATACAAATATCGATAAGACCAGCTAGAAATTAGGCACGTACTCACCTATAATTCGTGTTGCATAATCTGAAGCCACTGTCACGTATGCGCCGGCAATTGCCAAGGCTAATATGTTGCCGCGAATTAAAAAAACGTTGAGTGCAGACTGGCGGACGCCGAAGCGTTTCTGTGCGGATATGATGGCCCACGGGACAAACAATGCAAAAAATACAGCTCTGGAAACTTGGTGATACCAGAGCGAGACGAAAATATCGCTGATGTGCCCATGGCCTGGGCTGTGCCAGTGGATCATAATTTCATATATTGGGAGTGTCACCCAGGCCGTCTGCCAAAACGCTGGCAGAATAAAGGCAACAAGGGCGAAGATGACCTTGTTTGACCTGAGGAATGTCAGGGACCTCGACAGGCCTGAGACCTGGTTGGAAAAGGCGGGATCTGCACTCGAACGCTGCATTGCTGTCGACTCTGCATCCTCTGGACGTTCTAAATCATCTCGAATGGCAGACTCGCTCACAAAGTGAAGTAGGACAAAAGAGCCGATCAGGAAAGCCAAATTGAGTGCCTGCCAGGATCCACAGTTAGAGGTTAAGTATTTGGATAATGCTATAACTATACCAGTAAAAAGAATGGTTAGTACCTATAAACGTATTACACTTATAGTAAAGTAGAATTAAATAGCTATAGCTTTATAAATATAACTTATAAGGTGGATATTATTTAATAGAGTTTAAATTTTAATTTTATAAAAAAAGATATAATAGATATAGGGTTAATAGATACTAATCTATATATTTCTTCTAATAATATTAAGCTTTTAACTAATATTTATTAATAAATTTATATATTTATAAAGCTATTAAATATTAATTTAAAAGTATTTATATATTAAGTATAAAACTTAAGTAATTAAATTTATAACTTATTAAAAGTATAATATATATACTCTTATTATCTTTAAAAGGTAAAATCTATTATAGTTTATAATATATAATTTATTACTCTTATTTTTACCCTTTAAACTCTAACCTTTATTAATCTTCTTAATATTTAAACTTTAACCTTACCCCTTTATTTACTTTAAAGTAAACCTTATAAGTAGGAGCTATAGAGGTTAACTATTATTTTTAATAGTAATAAAACTCTATTATATAAATATTATTTATATTATTATAAATATCTTAACTAAACTTATAGCTATAATTATATCTAGTTAGTTACTATTATTATACTAATAACTATAACTATTATACTAGTAGTTTAATCTTATAGAACTAATAATATTTATACCTATTAATAAAAGTATAAAGCCACTTTTAAATTAAATATTTAAATATTTATTAATATAAAATTTATTATATTAAATATTTAATTAGAAGCTACTTAAATAGAAGTTACTTTACTAGGAATTATTTAATTAGAATAAACTTAATTAATATATACTTAATTAGAATAAAAGAGGTAATATTATAATGTTAATTTAGTTAATAACTCTTAATATTTTAAGTAAATTAAACTAACTAAAAACCTATTATAGCACTATAGTTATAAGGGTAGCTTAAGTTAATAAATAGTTAGTAATTTTATAATAAATAAGGTTATTATATAAGATACTATTAATAGTATTAAATATAAAGCTATTCTAGTTATTAGAAGCCTAAGCCTTTATATATTTAAACTAATATATATATTAAATATTAAAGAGGTTAATATAATTAATAATTTTATATTAATTATAAAGGCCTTTAAGTTTATATTTAAGTAAAGTTAAAATTTTAAGTTAAATAATATAAGTAAAGTTTAGTTATTTAATTAAATTAAACTAATAGTTTATAAGCTATATAAATTAAAGGAGTTAAAGGTTAATAGTTTTAAAGTTTAGCTATAAATTTATTAGAAATTAATATATTAGTTTATTATAATAGGTATATTATAAGATTTTTATTAATA